AGGGGACACGGAGGGATTCGATCAGCCTGGTGAGGAAGACACCTTATACATCCTGCACTTCAAAGACAACGTGTATAGGCGGGTGCCGTTATCAGATTTTAAAGAGCCTGAATGGGTAGTCAACTTAACCCTCGCCTCACCTTATATCTCATTAAAGGAACAAAATTAAGAATAGCGGTATCTTGCCTGGGTGTTTCGTTCCGGGGCCTAATACAAGGGTTACACTGAGCCCGGGTTTACCCAATATGTTACTGGCATCCCACGGGGGTGAGTTAATGTATGACTACTACGGGCACATAGGGATTCCGGCTATGGTACCAGGCTCCACACTCATCATAGAAGTCTATCTCGGTAGATTTAATATTAATAATGCAGTACAACAACTTTTACCTGGGGTGACAGTGTACTGGAGTCCCCAGAACTATGGTAAACGTTACCGTATCATTATACAACCAGACCCCTCAACGGGTTCTATAACCCCCTCAATAAGCCCCTCTGAGGCTCTTGTGAATGGAGAGTTACCTATTAAATTCTCACCTATTCTCCTACATGAGGATTTATTCCTTATAAGCCTCAAGTACGTTGATCGACTGTTAAATGAAACCCAATTAAAATATCTTTTGTAATATATATTATAGGATGGGTCTGTACCCAGTCGTAGAGGAAGTAGCGAAAACCCTGGAAACCGTAGACCCGCAGACTGCATCGTAAGGCATTGAAACACGACGAGATCAGGGTTCTGGCTGAAGCAAAGCTGAACACAGTAAGTGAGCGTATTTCCACGGCACTTACTGACAGTAAGATCTCCGAGGAGGAGTTTCGTTCAATCCTCTCTGAACTCACAAAATATAATAAAATGAAACAAGAGATTCGATCCAAGTCTCGTAAGTCTGCTATCAGTGAGGATGAGAAAAAAAAGTACATAGAACAGGGAGTACCAAAAGCCCGGCAAGCCTTTATTACAAACACCAAAGAGATTATAGGCGATTCACGTTAAACTGTTTCATCGAGGTAAACGTGGTATAGCGGCACGTTAGACGCAGCCCAGCTTTGGATAATACAATCCCAGGATAGACCCGTTAAACCGACATACTTCAGCCAAGTCCACGGTAGCTCAGTCGGTTAAGCGTCGCGGATAACATTGGGCGTTCGTAACACGCTGGCGTCTCAAACTTTTTTATAGTAGGGGTAATGATAGCTGGATCAAGGGCCCGACCAAAGCCTTATTTCACAAATAAGGCTTTGCAGAGGCTTTTGTTGGACTTGGTCCAAAATCCCCATTCCCTATACTACTGGAGTATCAGGCATTCATTAAACGGCGTGTCATGCATTCATCAGACGGTGTATCATGCATTCATGAGATGGTGTATTATGCATTCATTAAACGGTGTATCATGCATTCATCAGACGGTGTATCATGCATTGGTGAGTAGGTGTATCATGCATTCATTAAACGGTGTATCATGTTTTCATCAGACAGTGTATCATGCATTGGTGAGTAGGTGTATCATGCATTCATTAAACGGTGTGTCATGCATTCATCAAACGGTGTATCATGCATTCATCAGATGGTGTATCATGCATTGGTGAGTAGGTGTATCATGCATTCATTAAACGGTGTATCATGCATTCATCAGACGGTGTATCATGCATTCATCAGACGGTGTATCATGCATTCATGAGATGGTGTATTATGCATTCATTAAACGGTGTATGATGCATTCATCAGACGGTGTATCATGCAGTGGTGAGTAGGTGTATCATGCATTCATTAAACGGTGTGTCATGCATTCATCAGACGGTGTATCATGCATTGGCTAATAGGTGTGCCATGTATTCATCAAACGGAGTATCATACATTCATCAGACGGTGTATCATGGATTGGTGAGTAGGTGTATCATGCATTCATTAAACGGTGTGTCATGCATTCATCAGACGGTGTATCATGCATTGCTTAGTAGGTGTACCATGTATTCATCAGACGGTGTATCATGCATTGGTTAGTAGGTGTATCAGGCATTTATTAAACGGTGTATCATGCATTCATGAGATGGTGTATTATGCATTCATTAAACGGTGTATCATGCATTCATCAGACAGTGTATCATGCATTGGTGAGTAGGTGTATAATGCATTCATTAAACGGTGTATCATGCATTCATCAGACGGTGTATCATGCATTGGTTAGTAGGTGTACCAGGTATTCATCAGACGGTGTATCATGCATTCGTGAGTAGGTGTATCAGGCATTCATTAAACGGTGTGTCATCCATTCATCAGACGATGTATCATGCATTCATGAGATGGTGTATTATGCATTCATTAAACGGTGTATCATGCATTCATTAAATGGTGTATCATGCATTGGTGAGTAGGTGTATCATGCTTTCATTAAACGGTGTGTAACGCATTCATCAGACGGTGTATCAAGCATTGATTAGTAGGTGTATCAGGTATTTACTAAACGTTGTGTCATGCATTCATCACATGGTCTATTATGCATTCATGAGGCAGTGTATCATGCATTCATCAGACGGTGTATCGTGAATTCATTAGATGGTGTATTATGCACTCGTTAAACGGTGTATCATGCATTCATGTGATGATGTATCATGCATTGGTTAGTAGGTGTACCATGTATTCATCAAACGGCGTATCATGCATTCATTAGACGGTGTATCATGCATTGGTGAGTAGGTGTATCATGCATTCATTAAACGGTGTATCATGCATTCGTTAGTAGGTGTATCAGGCATTCATTAAAAGGTTTGTCATGCATTCATCAGACGGTGTATCATGCATTGGCTAGCAGGTGTACCAGGTATTCATCAGACGGTGTGTCATGCGTTCATCAGACGGTGTATCATGCATTGGCTAGTAGGTGTATCAGGCATTCATTAAACGTTGTGTCATGCATTCATCAGACGGTGTATTATGCATTGGTTAGTAGGTGTACCATGCATTCATCAGACGGTGTATCATTCATTGGTTAGTAGGTGTATCATGCATTCATTAAACGGTGTGTCATGCATTCATCAGACTGTGTATCAAGCATTGATTAGTAGGTGTATCAGGTATTTACTAAACGTTGTGTCATGCATTCATCACATGGTCTATTATGCATTCATGAGGCAGTGTATCATGCATTCATCAGACGGTGTATCGTGAATTCATTAGATGGTGTATTATGCACTCGTTAAACGATGTATCATGCATTCATGTGATGATGTATCATGCATTGGTTAGTAGGTGTACCATGTATTCATCAAACGGCGTATCATGCATTCATTAGACGGTGTATCATGCATTGGTGAGTAGGTGTATCATGCATTCATTAAACGGTGTGTCATGCATTCATCAGACTGTGTATCATGCGTTCAGGAGATGGTGTATTATGCATTCATTAAACGGTGTATCATGCATTCATCAGACGGTGTATCATGCATTGGTGATTTGGTGTATCATGCATTCATTAAACGATGTGTCATGCATTCATCAGACGGTGTATCATGTATTGGTTAGTAGGTGTACCATGTATTCATCAAACGGTGTATCATGCATTCATCAGACGGTGTATCATGCATTCGTTAGTAGGTGGTGAACCAGGCATTCATCAGACGGTGCGTGTCATGCATTCATCAGACGGTGTATCATGCATTGGTTAGTAGGTGTATCAGGCATTCATTAAACGGTGTGTCATGCATTCATCAGACGGTGTATCATGCATTGGTTAGTAGGTGTACCATGTATTCATCAAACGGTGTATCATGCATTCATCAGACGGTGTATCATGCATTGGTTAGTAGGTGTATCAGGCATTCATTAAACGGTGTGTCATGCATTCATCAGACGGTGTATCATGCATTGGTTAGTAGGTGTACCAGGTATTCATCAGACGGTGTGTCATGCATTCATCAGACGGTGTATCATGCATTGGTTAGTAGGTGTACCATGTATTCATCAGACGGTGTATCATGCATTCATCAGACGGTGTATCATGCATTGGTTAGTAGGTGAACCAGGTATTCATCAGACGGTTTGTCATGTGTTCATCAGACGGTGTATCATGCATTCGTTAGTAGGTGTATCAGGCATTCATTAAAAGGTTTGTCATGCATTCATCAGACGGTGTATCATGCATTGGCTAGCAGGTGTACCAGGTATTCATCAGACGGTGTGTCATGCGTTCATCAGACGGTGTATCATGCATTGGCTAGTAGGTGTATCAGGCATTCATTAAACGTTGTGTCATGCATTCATCAGACGGTGTATCATGCATTGGTTAGTAGGTGTACCAGGTATTCATCAGACGGTGTGTCATGCATTCATCAGACGGTGTATCATGCATTGGTGAGTAGGTGTATGATGCATTCATTAAACAGTGTATCATGCATTCATCAGACGGTGTATCATGCATTCATGAGATGGTGTATGATGCATTCATTAAACGGTGTATCATGCATTCATCAGACGGTGTATCATGCATTGGTGCGTAGGTGTATCATGCATTCATTAAACGGTGTGTCATGCATTCATCAGACGGTGTATTATGCATTGGTGAGTAGGTGTACCATGTATTCATCAAACGGTGTATCATGCGTTCATCAGACGGTGTATCATGCATTGGTCAGTAGGTGTACCATGTATTCTTCAGACGGTGTATCATGCATTGGTTAGTAGGTGTATCATGCATTCATGTGATGATGTATCATGCATTGGTTAGTAGGTGTACCATGTATTCATCAAACGGCGTATCATGCATTCATTAGACGGTGTATCATGCATTGGTGAGTAGGTGTATCATGCATTCATTAAACGGTGTGTCATGCATTCATCAGACTGTGTATCATGCGTTCAGGCGATGGTGTATTATGCATTCATTAAACGGTGTATCATGCATTCATCAGACGGTGTATCATGCATTGGTGATTTGGTGTATCATGCATTCATTAAACGATGTGTCATGCATTCATCAGACGGTGTATCATGTATTGGTTAGTAGGTGTACCATGTATTCATCAAACGGTGTATCATGCATTCATCAGACGGTGTATCATGCATTGGTTAGCAGGTGAACCAGGTATTCATCAGACGGTTTGTCGTGTGTTCATCAGACGGTGTATCATGCATTAGTTAGTAGGTGTACCAGGTATTCATCAGACGGTGTGTCATGCGTTCATCAGACGGTGTATCATGCATTGGTGAGTAGGTGTATCATGCATTCATTAAACGGTGTGTCATGCATTCATCAGACGGTGTATCATGCATTGGTTAGTAGGTGTATCATGCATTCATTAAACGGTGTGTCATGCATTCATCAGACGGTGTATCATGCATTGGTTAGTAGGTGTATCAGGCATTCATCAGACGGTGTGTCATGCATTCATCAGACGGTGTATCATGCATTGGTTAGTAGGTGTACCATGTATTCATCAAACGGTGTATCATGCATTCATTAGACGGTAGGTGTATCATGCATTCATCAAACGGTGTATCATGCATTCATCAGACGGTGTATCATGCATTGGTTAGTAGGTGTATCATGCATTCATCAGACGGTGTATCATGCATTGGTTAGTAGGTGTACCATGTATTCATCAAACGGCGTATCATGCATTCATTAGACGGTGTATCATGCATTGGTGAGTAGGTATCATGCATGCATTAAATGCATTCATTCAACGGTGTATCATGCATTCATCAGACGGTGTATTATGCATTGGTGATTCATCAGACGGTGTATCATGGCATTCATTAAACGGTGTGTCATGCATTCATCAGACGGTGTATCATGTATTGGTTAGTAGGTGTACCATGTATTCATCAAACGGTGTATCATGCATTCATCAGACGGTGCATCATGCATTGGTTAGTAGGTGAACCAGGTATTCATCAGACGGTTTGTCGTGTGTTCATCAGACGGTGTATCATGCATTGGTGAGTAGGTGTATCATGCATTCATTAAACGGTGTGTCATGCATTCATCAGACGGTGTATCATGCATTGGTTAGTAGGTGTATCATGCATTCATTAAACGGTGTGTCATGCATTCATCAGACGGTGTATCATGCATTGGTTAGTAGGTGTATCATGCATTCATTAAACGGTGTGTCATGCATTCATCAGACGGTGTATCATGCATTGGTTAGTAGGTGTACCAGGTATTCATCAGACGGTGTATCATGCATTCATCAGACGGTGTATCATGCATTGGTGAGTAGGTGTATCATGCATTCATTAAACGGTGTATCATGCATTCATCAGACGGTGTATCATGCATTCATGCATTCAGATGGTGTATGATGCATTCATTAAACGGTGTATCATGCATTCATCAGACGGTGTATCATGCATTGGTGAGTAGGTGTATCATGCATTCATTAAACGGTGTATCATGCATTCATCAGACGGTGTATCATGCATTGGTGAGTAGGTGTACCAGGCATTCATCAGACGGTGTATCATGCATTCATCAGACGGTGTATCATGCATTGGTTAGTAGGTGTATCATGCATTCATTAAACGGTGTGTCATGCATTCATCAGACGGTGTATCATGCATTGGTTAGTAGGTGTATCATGCATTCATTAAACGGTGTGTCATGCATTCATCAGACGGTGTATCATGCATTGGTTAGTAGGTGTATCAGGCATTCATTAAACGGTGTGTAATGCATTCATCAGACGGTGTATCATGCATTGGTTAGGAGGTGTACCATGCATTCATCAGACGGTGTATCATGCATTGGTTAGTAGGTGTATCAGGTATTCATTAAACGGTGTATCATGCATTCATTAGACGGTGTATCATGCATTGGTTAGTAGGTGTACCAGGTATTCATCAGACGGTGTATCATGCATTGCTTAGTAGGTGTATCAGGCATTCATTAAAAGGCGTGTTATGCATTCATCAGACGGTGTATCATGCATTGGTTAGTAGGTGTATCAGGCATTCATTAAACGGTGTGTAATGCATTCATCAGACGGTGTATCATGCATTGGTTAGGAAGTGTACCAGGTATTCATCAGACGGTGTATCATGCATTCATCAGACGGTGTATCATGCATTGGTGAGTAGGTGTATCATGCATTCATTAAACGGTGTATCATGCATTGGTTAGTAGGTGTATCAGGCATTCATTAAACGGTGTATCATGCATTCATCAGACGGTGTATCATGCATTGGTTAGTAGGTGTATCATGCATTCATTAAACGGTGTGTCATGCATTCATCAGACGGTGTATCATGCATTGGTTAGTAGGTGGTGTATTCATACGGTGTGTCATTCATCAGACGGTGTATCATGCATTGGTTAGTAGGTGTATCAGGCATTCATTAAACGGTGTATCATGCATTCATTAGACGGTGTATCATGCATTGGTTAGTAGGTGTACCAGGTATTCATCAGACGGTGTATCATGCATTGCTTAGTAGGTGTATCAGGCATTCATTAAAAGGCGTGTTATGCATTCATCAGACGGTGTATCATGCATTGGTTAGTAGGTGTATCAGGCATTCATTAAACGGTGTGTAATGCATTCATCAGACGGTGTATCATGCATTGGTTAGGAAGTGTACCAGGTATTCATCAGACGGTGTATCATGCATTCATCAGACGGTGTATCATGCATTGGTGAGTAGGTGTATCATGCATTCATTAAACGGTGTATCATGCATTGGTTAGTAGGTGTACCACGTATTCATCAGACGGTGTATCATGCATTGGTTAGTAGGTGTATCAGGCATTCATTAAACGGTGTGTAATGCATTCATCAGACGGTGTATCATGCATTGGTTAGGAGGTGTACCATGCATTCATCAGACGGTGTATCATGCATTGGTTAGTAGGTGTATCAGGTATTCATTAAACGGTGTATCATGCATTCATTAGACGGTGTATCATGCATTGGTTAGTAGGTGTACCAGGTATTCATCAGACGGTGTATCATGCATTGCTTAGTAGGTGTATCAGGCATTCATTAAAAGGCGTGTTATGCATTCATCAGACGGTGTATCATGCATTGGTTAGTAGGTGTATCAGGCATTCATTAAACGGTGTGTAATGCATTCATCAGACGGTGTATCATGCATTGGTTAGGAAGTGTACCAGGTATTCATCAGACGGTGTATCATGCATTCATCAGACGGTGTATCATGCATTGGTGAGTAGGTGTATCATGCATTCATTAAACGGTGTATCATGCATTGGTTAGTAGGTGTATCAGGCATTCATCAAACGGTGTGTAATGCATTCATCAGACGGTGTATCATGCATTGGTTAGTAGGTGTACCATGCATTCATCAGACGGTGTATCATGCATTGGTTAGTAGGTGTATCAGGCATTCATTAAACGGTGTATCATGCATTCATCAGACGGTGTATCATGCATTGGTTAGTAGGTGTACCAGGTATTCATCAGACGGTGTATCATGCATTCATCAGACGGTGTATCATGCATTGGTTAGTAGGTGTATCAGGCATTCATTAAACGGTGTATCATGCATTCATTAGACGGTGTATCATGCATTGGTTAGTAGGTGTACCACGTATTCATCAGACGGTGTATCATGCATTGGTTAGTAGGTGTATCAGGCATTCATTAAACGGCGTGTTATGCATTCATCAGACGGTGTATCATGCATTGGTTAGTAGGTGTATCATGCATTCATTAAACGGTGTGTCATGCATTCATCAGACGGTGTATCATGCATTGGTTAGTAGGTGTATCAGGTATTCATTAAACGGTGTATCATGCATTCATTAGACGGTGTATCATGCATTGGTTAGTAGGTGTACCAGGTATTCATCAGACGGTGTATCATGCATTGCTTAGTAGGTGTATCAGGCATTCATTAAAAGGCGTGTTATGCATTCATCAGACGGTGTATCATGCATTGGTGAGTAGGTGTATCATGCATTCATTAAACGGTGTATCATGCATTGGTTAGTAGGTGTACCACGTATTCATCAGACGGTGTATCATGCATTGGTTAGTAGGTGTATCAGGTATTCATTAAACGGTGTGTGATGCATTCATCAGACGGTGTATCATGCATTGGTTAGTAGGTGTATCATGCATTCATTAAACGGTGTGTCAGCATTCAGCAGACGGTGTATCATGCATTGGTTAGTAGGTGTATCAGGCATTCATTAAACGGTGTGTAATGCATTCATCAGACGGTGTATCATGCATTGGTTAGGAGGTGTACCATGCATTCATCAGACGGTGTATCATGCATTGGTTAGTAGGTGTATCAGGTATTCATTAAACGGTGTATCATGCATTCATTAGACGGTGTATCATGCATTGGTTAGTAGGTGTATCAGGCATTCATCAAACGGTGTATGCATTCATCAGACGGTGTATCATGCATTGGTTAGTAGGTGTATGAGGCATTCATTAAACGGTGTGTCATGCATTCATCAGACGGTGTATCATGCATTGGTTAGTAGGTGTACCAGGTATTCATCAGACGGTGTATCATGCATTCATCAGACGGTGTATCATGCATTGGTTAGTAGGTGTATTCATCAGACGGTGCATCATGCATTGCTTAAAAGGCGTGTCATGCATTCATCAGACGGTGTATTATGCATTGGTTAGTAGGTGTACCAGGTGTTCATCAGACGGTGTATCATGCGTTCATCCTACGGCGTATCATGCATTGGTTAGTAGGTGTATCATGCATTCATTAAACGGTGTATCATGCATTCATCAGACGGTGTATCATGCATTGGTGAGTAGGTGTATCATGCATTCATTAAACGGTGTGTCATGCATTCATCAGACGGTGTATCATGCATTGGTCAGTAGGTGTATCATGCATTCATGAAACGTTGTGTCATGCATTCATCAGACGGTGTATTATGCATTGGTTAGTAGGTGTACCAGGTATTCATCAGACCGTGTGTCATGCGTTCATCAGACGGTGTATCATGCATTGGCTAGTAGGTGTATCAGGCATTCATTAAACGTTGTGTCATGCATTCATCAGACGGTGTATTATGCATTGGTTAATAGGTGTACCAGGTATTCATCAGACGGTGTGTCATGCATTCATCAGACGGTGTATCATGCATTGGTGAGTAGGTGTATCATGCATTCATTAAACGGTGTATCATGCATTCATCAGACGGTGTATCATGCATTCATGAGATGGTGTATGATGCATTCATTAATCGGTGTATCATGCATTCATCAGACGGTGTATCATGCATTGGTGAGTAGGTGTATCATGCATTCATTAAACGGTGTGTCATGCATTCATCAGACGGTGTATTATGCATTGGTGAGTAGGTGTATCATGCATTCATTAAACGGTGTGTCATGCATTCATCAGACGGTGTATCATGCATTGGTCAGTAGGTGTATCATGCATTCATGAAACGTTGTGTCATGCATTCATCAGACGGTGTATTATGCATTGGTTAATAGGTGTACCAGGTATTCATCAGACTGTGTGTCATGCGTTCATCAGACGGTGTATCATGCATTGGCTAGTAGGTGTATCAGGCATTCATTAAACGTTGTGTCATGCATTCATCAGACGGTGTATTATGCATTGGTTAATAGGTGTACCAGGTATTCATCAGACGGTGTGTCATGCATTCATCAGACGGTGTATCATGCATTGGTGAGTAGGTGTATCATGCATTCCTTAAACGGTGTATCATGCATTCATCAGACGGTGTGTCATGCATTCATGAGATGGTGTATGATGCATTCATTAATCGGTGTATCATGCATTCATCAGACGGTGTATCATGCATTGGTGAGTAGATGTATCATGCATTCATTAAACGGTGTGTCATGCATTCATCAGACGGTGTATTATGCATTGGTGAGTAGGTGTACCAGGTATTCATCAGACGGTGTGTGATGCGTTCATCAGACGGTGTATCATGCATTGGTTAGTAGGTGTATCATGCATTCATTAAACGGTGTGTCATGCATTCAGCAGACGGTGTATCATGCATTGGTTAGTAGGTGTATCAGGCATTCATTAAACGGTGTGTAATGCATTCATCAGACGGTGTATCATGCATTGGTTAGGAGGTGTACCATGTATTCAGCAGACGGTGTATCATGCATTGGTTAGTAGGTGTATCAGGTATTCATTAAACGGTGTATCATGCATTCATTAGACGGTGTATCATGCATTGGTTAGTAGGTGTACCAGGTATTCATCAGACGGTGTATCATGCAGTGCTTAGTAGGTGTATCAGGTATTCATGAAAAGGCGTGTTATGCATTCATCAGACGGTGTATCATGCATTGGTTAGTAGGTGTATCAGGCATTCATCAAACGGTGTGGAATGCATTCATCAGACGGTGTATCATGCATTGGTTAGGAAGTGTACCAGGTATTCATCAGACGGTGTATCATGCATTCATCAGACGGTGTATCATGCATTGGTGAGTAGGTGTATCATGCATTCATTAAACGGTGTATCATGCATTCATCAAACGGTGTATCATGCATTGGTTAGTAGGTGTACCATGTATTCATCAGACGGTGTATCATGCATTGGTTAGTAGGTGTATCATGCATTTATTAAACGGTGTTTCATGCATTCATCAGACGGTGTATCATGCATTGGTTAGTAGGTGTACCAGGTATTCATCAGACGGTGTGTCATGCGTTCATCAGACGGTGTATCATGCATTGGTTAGTAGGTGTATCATGCATTCATTAAATGGTGTGTCATGCATTCATCAGACGGTGTATCATGCATTGGTGAGGAGGTGTACCAGGTATTCATCAGACGGTGTATCATGCATTGGTGAGTAGGTGTATCAGGCATTCATTAAACGGTGTGTCATGCATTCATCAGACGGTGTATCATGCATTGTTTAGCTGGTGTACCATGTATTCATCAAACGGTGCATCATGCATTGGTGAGTAGGTGTATCAGGCATTCATTAAACGGTGTGTCATGCATTCATCAGACGGTGTATCATGCATTGTTTAGCTGGTGTACCATGTATTCATCAAACGGTGTATCATGCATTCATCAGACGGTGTATCATGCATTGGTTAGTAGGTGTATCATGCATTCATCAGGCGTTTAGTTTGACGCCGCCTTTAGCAACATTCCAGCAATATCACGGCGGGTGACATCAGAAATGGGCTTCACACATTGTACCCATGTGGGGAATCGAACCGGGTCACCAGCGTGACGAGAGAAAGCTTTAACCACGAGGCTACCCCACCGCCCTTGCAGAACTGTAGATACAGCCCAGCTGTTGTTGTAGATACCAAGTTACACCCCACAAAGACAGAAGACCAAGGCGCGTACCAGTGGCAATGGTTTGATGAGATCCAAAGTGAATGGCGACCTTATTCCGAAGTCACTGATGCCAAATTAAAGACATCTTTCATGAAGAGACCAAATGGATCATGTCTTCTACAGAGAGATGGACAAAGGTTTGTGACTGAGTTGTAGTGTACGCCATACATCTGTGTTGTCAGACATTGTCGCCATACAATTCACATCCGTGTCTGTTCTACCATGCTGATTGTATTAGTTCTTTCATCAATTTATGTAACCAATGTTTGTCTTAAGAGGCGACTAATGGGATCGGGTGGTTATACCCGATGACTTGGTTGACACATGTCATCATATCCAAATTTCACATATCGATGCTCATGATGGTGATCGATGGATTGTCTGGTCCAAATTCAATTATTTACAGACCACCCCATATAGCCGTGATATTGCCGAGTGCGGCGTTGAGCAACAACCTAACAAACCATCATCATTTCATGTGACGTCTCTCCAGAAGGTGGTTCACTGTTATTTTTCATTTTAGTTTCAGAGTCTCCTTCACGAAGTTAACCGAAAGGTCTATGGACAAGGGTTCTACAACAGCAGTTCGAAAATTTGATGGTAGGAAGAACTGAAATCATTCTACTTGGAATCAGGAAAACAAAATGGTTGTTTCGGATGATGGGCGGACAAGCCCATAGTGCCACCATTTTCCTCCGGTGACGAGGGCGGTAGGGTAAAGTAATGGTTAAAGTGTTCGCTCGTCACGCCGAAGACCCGGGTTCGATTCTCCACATGGGTACAATGTGTGAAGACCATTTCTGGTGTCTCCCACCGTGATATTGCTAGAATATTGCTAAAAGCGGCGTAAACCTAAACCCATTCACACACTCTGTTAAAGACGGTAGTAGACGTATTAAGGTGACTTCCAAACTGAAGCACTCAGGAATCCGTACTCAAATATATTAAGTGTAAAGCCAGCAAATAACAAAGAACAGTTATAAATTTATTCTTTTTAGTTTATTTTAAGCATATTTTATTTTAGTGAAAAGGATCGGGGACAAGTTCTTACAACTTATAAGACCCCTCTCATAAGATATCGTTGTTATTTGCTTGTACTGCTGTACATGTTTTAAAATAATTTCATTTTTATGATTTGTCAAAACATTGAGTGTAAGGCCAGCAAATAATAAAGAACTTCTAAATATTTAATTGTATTTTACTGACTGACTGAGTTTGGTTTTACGCCGCTTTCAGCAATATTCCAGCAACATCACGGCGGGGAACACCAGAAATGGGCTTCACACATTGTACCCATGTATTTTACAGTTGACTGGGTATGTAAATCAAAACAAACTGTTTCAGAGTAATACAAATGGCAGTTGGCAACGGTACAACATCCAGTGGTTATACGTTTACAACGGCAGTAGACAATACAATAGTACTGGCAATCGCAATTAAGTCCGTGATCACTGAATTCTACTACCCTAAATCAGAATCACTTGCTCGCCGAGTCAGTGTCGTAAGTAAAACCTCTGGCCAGGTAGAGACATGCGAAAGCTATGATTGGATAATATGTTTTTTAAAAGCACATCCATCCTGTAATTAAAACTGACGATAGTTTTAGTATTTAATGCAGACATTTTATCACCATGACCTATGCTTAATGTATGTACAGATATTTTCAAGTAGGTAACATTTTGTGCGGAACTGGGGTTGATGTGTTCAGCTTCCTGTGCTTGGAAAATAGACGGAATAAGTTAGCCCGAATTTGTGTTTTTATTGTAGTTTAAAGGCGGACTGTACCGATGTTTTCATGGAATGATGATTTAAAAAGAATATTACGTTACTAATATCTAGGGTGAAAACAATATATTCACACAACCGGTGGGCTTGATGCAATGAGAGTTGATAGAAGTCTAGTTTGCGCTTACCCACGTTGCCACCTTCCAGAAAGTTCCAAACAATGCTGGACTAGTCTAAAGCTTGTTCTAGAACATCCGAAAATCATCGAAATATAGTAACTTCCTTATAGTAACACCGTTGCTTACATTAGATAGTAATATGCTCCTGACAACTAATATTTGTTAAACCCAATGTTATGAACTTCGACTGAAACTTAAGAGAAACAATTAAATATTACAACAATATTTAACAAGGCATTACATCTAACAAATATTGCATATGATTTACTAAGTATTATGTGTGGTAATAATGACTACGAAATATTGTATTTTGAAAATAATTGCGTTACTTTGTAATGATAATTGCTTTTCTCTCTCAGTTTGATCATGAAAGAAGGTTTGCATACAGAAGCAGGGATACCTTGCTTTGAGGATGGCAGCTTCACATGGGATGTTTCTGCTAACCATTAGAACATCATTCTGCAGCAAACATTGAATACTATCCACGTGGACATTGATATTCTAGCTTTGTACTCGTTTACCATACGAAGTGTCCGTGTACAAACAATCCGTTTCTGAGTGAGTGAGGGTTACCGCTTAACAATATTCTATCATTATGACGGCGGGTGACACCAGGAATGACCTTAGCACGTTGTACCCATGTAGAGTATCGAACCCGGTCTTCGGCGAGATCAGTGAACGCTTCAGCCACGGGGCTACCCCAACGCCCCCAATCTCTGCATGTGGGATTTTATATGGCCCAAGACAGTATCTCAAGAAAGTGGCGGCACTTCAATTTACTTTGAAACAGCTGCAATGATTTGTTATCTGTTGACACCAAAGTTGTTCTGTGGTCATAAGTAACATTTACCAAGGTAGTTGTGACCTGATTACCCCTAGACTGTGTATAGAGGGAGGTGGAGGAAAACTTGGTTCCAGTGTACCGTATATGTAACGGTATACTTATTGCTTTCATTGTTAAAATACAGTCAGGGGAGAAGGCGTTATGAAAACACAATACCATTTAGAAAATGGTCAAATGTTATATTTGGGATGTGTACCGTAAACGGTATACTTATTGCTTTCACAATTATTTGAATATGTTTTCGAACAAAATTGCTTATAACCCCCTCTCTACTGCATGTGTACACAATTGATGGTCCCCTACCTCCCCAGAACATAACGAGTGACCCTCCTCTCTCTCTCTCTCCTCGCCTTAAAATCATCATCAGCTCCCTACTCCTGCAAGTCTAGATTTCCTCAGGTTCTGAATCGCCGATATCGCCGGGGCTCCTTTTCAGTTTAAAACGACTTGTTTCTCTTTATAAAAATGATATACATTATATCTGAGACTAAGTGTTAGTGTGGAGGAGGAGTCTCAATGGTTAGTTACAGACCATGAGAACCGCGAAGTTGGTCTTTCAGAAATAGATGGGAATTTCAGTATCGGAGTGGTGGTATCAGCAACTTTGACTGTATTCGTTTGCTTTTCATGATTAGGTGTTTGAAATTGAAAAAAACAGAACAATAAGAAGACAGACATAAATGTTAGAAAAAGACATGTTCACATGTATATTCTTACCGGAACTAGATGATTGAGTTCATTGATTGTCGATAAAAAAACCGATTTGTAACCATTATCAGCATTCATTTGTACAAGCTCCGAATGGTACGATTAAACTATATTTAATAGATTTCTACTGTTTGTTTTGGATTTTATATTATACTAACAAATGGATCAATACAGATCAACCCGTGAAGATCCAGGTTAGAATTGATCTTCAGTAACCCATGCTTGTCGTAAGAGGCGACTAATGGGATCGGTAGTGTACGGGTACTGATTTGGTTGACACATGTCGTCCTATCCCAGTTGCGTAGATTGATGCTCATGGTGTTGATCACTGGATTGCCGACTCGAATATTTACAGACCGCCGTCATATAACTGGAATATTACTGAGTGCGGCGTGGAACTAAACTCACTCACTCACGCCAATACAAATCACGTCCTGTGGATGGAGATATCAGAAGGAAACATGGTTGTGGTGATAGCCTTAAATTCAACCTGCTATGCAAGGGCTTGTGGTGAGTACATACGTTCCACGTGCAACCGACAACCAGGACGGCCTTGTCCTCAACACAAACTACCAGCTGACAGGTTTGAATAATCATATCTCGCAGATGTAGCCTGCATCCTGCATAAAGCATGTCTCCGGAAGTAAGAACAATAAACAGACAGATGATAACTGTTTGTCATTGTCGCTCTCCGTCAAGGTTGGGTTCGAGGACATTGGTATGTCAGTGGGTGAACTGAGCTTTACCAACCATTGAAACTACCGAGTTGCTTCCCTTGCATCATATCCGAATTTCAAACTCCTACCTTCCCTCTCCAAAAAGAAGTATTGTTTGTAACCTCATGCATAATTTACTGTTAACGTTAGTGGATCAAGGAACACACCACCACCACACACCCACCCCCACACACCCCCATCCCCACGCACACACACACACACACACACACCCTTGGTTGAGTTGGGTTTTACGTCACATCGGCATTATTCCAGCCACATAGTGACGAGAACAAGTTTGCATTAATAAACATTGTAAGTACATACTCGGAATGAGTTTTTATTTCAAAAGCATAGGTTCATTACATTGTTATTTAAAAACCGAAAAAGAAATAGCACCAAATTTCACACCCCTTGGATCCGCCAATGGTTAGAATATGTTTCTATGTAAGTCTTTCGAATTTTTACTGTAAATTGTGTTTCAACATATATGGTCAGAAGTGCACGATTCATTATTAAACGTACATTATCATTTCGTGAAATATTCGTGTATATGAAAGGAGACACTACAGAAGGTGATGTGGAGTCTATTATATCTGCGTGATCCAATTCCTCGGTTATGTCTGCGTGACTCAATTCAATTCCTCGAGAATCGTGTATACAAGGAAGTGGTTTGGAAAACCCAGGCCTATCACCGACGCATTCTATCTATAGTCCGCTTGGCAACCTTCCAACAACATATACAATCAATACCGTCGTGACATAATCACCAGGTCATGGTCACTGGTAAGTCACATGACTGATCTAATTATAGAAACATGGAAATACCAGTTTCTCGCCTAAATTTATACCCATTCTGAGCGATAACAAGAATCTGCATGTAAGTGTTTACAAATTAACTTTTCCTGACACAATGCGTTGATTAAGTCAACTATACTTATTTATAACTTTATTTCATTTATGAATGATGTACGTCTGCATGTTGATGTGTTGATATAAAGGGGTTATATCGCATGAGTTTAAGAGATGAATCCGCCATTATGACATGTAGCCAGTGTAGGTCATTATGTGTTCATCAACACAACTCTGGAATCTGTGTCCCTCATGTAACTATATCTCTGTATCACAGAAAGACAATTGTATTGCCAGAAGTTTATTCATTATGCAGTTTATTACGCATCAAAATCTGAATAGTTTCCACAATGTCATACGGTATAAATGTGTTCGTGTTAAATCAGCTGTCTATTTCCTGTGACACTGTTGGAACGTTTAAGCGTGAGTATGTAGGGGTATTCTTAGACTTGCACAAGTCTCTAGGGTCATAATTAATTGTATAAATGAACACTTATAAAAAAAATATAATTAACAAACTAGCCGGTCATCTGGACTTTCCTCTTTGAAGGACAGAATTACTATACATCCACTGGCTTAGCATTCAGTCGAGCCTTGGAGCAAGGCCAGGCTATTCGTAGTCTTGTAAATGTCAATTTTATCACATGTCTTCATCTATATATGGTATGAAAGCTTTTTTGCTAAGACCTGCTGCTAAAACGATACCCAAGGGAATGGCTCTTAGCGTCCTGGGTTCTTGATGGAGAATATTACTGATGAAATGATGATGAATCTTCAATATTTCACATTAGATGTGGCCTAGATTTATTCCCTGAAACCAGTTATGGTTGATTTTATAATCAGATCTGATTGAAAAACTAAGGTATAACATCATTACCACGGACTCAAACTGATACATTGAATCAGAATATTTCCGTCACTCTCAATGCCGACTGGACTTTGCATGACATTAACTGTTGCGTGTACACTGCTGCTACAACACTGGAGTCAGCGAGACAGTAAGTGAGTGAGTATGGCTTTACGCCGCTTTTAGCACTATTCCAATATCGCGGCGGGCGACACCAGAAATGGGCTTCACACATTGTACCCATGTGGGGAACCGAACCCGGATCTTCGGCGTGACGAGGAAACGCTCTAACCACCAGGCTACCACACCGCCCCTGTCAACACTGGAGAATCTCTGTTCAGTTACTGAGCGACAAGACAAAAATAACGGGCATTCATAAAGACAAACCCCAGAATAAATGAAGGAAATTGAAATAAGGAAATATTTCTCCTGGATAGAACTGTGCTGAAGATTACATTTCTCATGGAAATTAATAACTAAACGTCAGAAATTGATTTGGAAAAAAAATAAAACCAAATATAAGACAATGAAACAAATCTAAATCAGATTCTTAATTCCTCAAAGGCAAAGTAAAACACGGACTGAAAAAAAAAGAAAGTGAGACAAAAAAATAGATTCTTTAAACACAAATAAACTTTTCAAATATGATAAACAACTTGAGGCACTGATATGAAAATATTCTACATGGATTCCATTGTAAGGTTTTGAAAATAGCTGTGGTTTATAAAGCGACTGTAATCTTGAGTACTTATGGGTAGAGAAGTACAGTTCTTATATACATGTCCATTCGTGCGTTTCATTTGTCCAGATTGCCGGAAACGAGGAATTGAAAAGTATTAATTCAAAACACTGAAAGGCTCTCGTGGTATTCAAAACCGATAGTAGAAACCATTCCCCTTTGTTCCATCGCTAATGATTAGCTGTTTAAATTCTCTCATAGATACAGTACTTCTCCCAAAGAAAGGTGATTTGACTGATCCTAATAACTCCGGCACTATTACATGTCTGAATACACCGTAAGGATGTCTTACAGATCTTGTGTCATCATACTACACCTCTAAAAACATTTTTAAAAGGACCCTGAAAGAGCTTTTGTGTCAGTACTGCGTGATGGTACAGAAATGAGCGTCAACAAGCAAAGTTCCATATCAAATCAGCATGGGTTTGGCTGTGATAACTATATAGTTCGGGAACAGTGATTCATTTTCGCATCTTGACAAACTAGCTAGGGTGAACATTTCCATATGCTCAGAAAAGTCGATACTATACTTCTGATTCAGCACAGGTTAACATAGACATATTCTGTGTATGCGAACAAGTAACATATCTTGTCATGTGTGATACATAATCTCAAGGTCGGCTATCCATCTATTTCAGAATGGACGGTGGCGGCGACCTACCAAGGGCCCCCAAATCGGATTTTCTCAATAGGATTAAAATCAAACTTGCAGGTCAAGGGAACACTTTACAGTTCGGAAAGAAGAATCAAATGGTTATCTCCAGTTCATCAGCTGGGGCTCAAGGTATTGGTTAATACACAGGAAAAACCTTTGTTTCCTTAATGGACATGAGTAAGTAGGTGTGGTTTAAAGCCAAATTGAGGTCGAACGCTTTTACCTTCACCATACAATCGTCTTGGTGTACGGTAATGTACTGAGAAAAACAAATAAAGGAACACATGGAAAACCAAGTGTTCCTCTAATATGTTCCAGTTTTCATCACCAGCTTTGAATAGCGCTGTGGGAGGAGATCTGAGAATAAATAAAGGGACACTGCCATGAAGTGGTGTTCCCTTAATTGCTTCCTTCAGTATGTAACCTAAAGACTCCAAACAAACCTACCCCACGTATATTGAAGTGTAAGGTCACCTGTCTTGCATCTGGATGTAAGTGTATTCGTTTTCTGTGTAGGTCCAGATGTCACCGAAATGGATCCGAGTGACCTAGATGAGTCCACGACAAACCCTGAAAGTTTGAGAGGAAGTGGTGGACCCGAGCTAGATCTTGGAGGAACCGGAAACAAGGTTCAGATCAGTGAGGAAAACATACTTGTTTTCACCCAACTTGATGACAAGGAGAGTAAGTATAGAGTAGCTTTCCAACTGTAATAATATCATGAAACAGTTAGAACTTGCTGCAGACTGAAATGAGTTGATAATGCGCTGATCAAATAACTTTAGGTTCCCGTGGAACATTTGCAAGCCTTTCTTTTGCAAATTATCGAATGAAGGACATACATATATATGTGTATCCATGTTGTTCTGTTTTGCATCTGTCATGGACTAAAGTAACGAAGGTTTAAAGGTTTTTGGAAATGCACGTATATTAAATACCGTTTACACTGTTATGATGTGTGCACTGCTTCAGTACCAATGGAACAGGAACCCTCTCCATCTCACCGTAGTTTGGAGCCAACAGTAACAGCAGTTCAAGCATCGTCTTCCCCAGGTAGGAATGAGTTGCTGGAGTACAGCACAATAGTCATAACAAACTGAATTATAACAGTACAGTAAGTGTTGCTGAATTGACGAAGAAATATAGTGGCCTTGATCAGGCAACGTTTGCTAATTTGTCTTCATATTGATGTTCAAGATATTTTTCTGTGTACCGACAGATACTGATGGAGATGTAGTTCAATCGTCAACGACAGAGACACCGATGAATACCAGCGTTCCTCAACATAGCCTCAGTACATCGAATGTTAAATCCCAGACTTGTGTTAAATCTGCATACGGGCCCGATGATAGATCTCTTGTAATAGACGGCTTAGAATTAAGATCATCTCTTAACACATTCCCCGAAGATCAGTCGCCATGCCATGATGAACCTCCTCCAGTTGACCTGTCAAGAACACGCTCTGTGAAACTCCAACCAGAAACAGGTAGATCTGGTGGTGAATCGCCCGGTTTCTCAGCGGAATTGTCAGGAAATCGTAGGGTCAAGTCTTCTCCATCAAGACCTGTAGCAGGACATCGACAGTCACAGCATGGACACCAACGTGACTTTCCACCATCCGCTGAACGTCAACAAACACTGACAAGGCAGACATCTGAGAGTGGTCACATGAGAGAAACACCCCAAAGACTTCACTTCCGGGAGGTTCGGGGCCAGGAGTATCACAGACTTGATCACTGCTGCCATGTTGTGGACATACGAAGAAGAAGTGATGTGTTTGGAGACGTATCTCAAGGTAGTAAACCTCATTATACTCAGTCGGACTCATGGAACATGTGTGTCAGTACTCACATTGTTACGAGCGAAGATGTAATACAGGGGTATATTACAACTTCTCTCGCACAGCTAAATAGACTACACAACAATATGTCTAAATGAGAACAATTTAATCTGCATAAATTTAATAATATCCTAATAGTTGGTTGGTGCAAAACATTGATTTATCAGTGTAATACATGAAGAGGGCATTCACTTAACAATAAGTAGTGACAAAGCAATATGGCAGTTGGTAGTTAAAATCACCTCATTTCCTGGGCTTTCGAAGTCTGTAAGACCATCATGATTTCACAGTTAGGACTTTTCCGTATTTAACACATTCCGACAGGACCGACATGGGTATAAGAATTGTATATACTGTCCTCACATCCATATCATGAGAAGAAAACTGTCAGAAGTCAAAACTACGATCTACTTCTCAACCAGACCAGAGTTACACGGAGCTTCAGTCCAAGTATTTGAGTTTTAATGCTTTGTCTATTGGCTGGCCACTGTGAATTCATATACAAAGGCAGCTTGCCTGAATCAATCAAACCCCAAGATTACATTCCATTCAGTTATATAACAATTTTGTTTCGCTCCAGTGGATGTCCCTCACCTCAGGCTAAATCTAATTGTGTCATGTATGTTCATCAATATATAAAAGTATGCAATATATTATCAGACATGTATCATCACCCATAACAACATGTATCCCGATCTCAAAGTATGGGATGTTTCCCTTCACTGGTCTTGTGTCGCTCTTCTGTCACCTGAATGACGCATTATCCAGCAATATGGTGCCCTTCTCTGTTTGGTTATCATGGAATCCCGTTATCATGTATAACAGAATGTAATGTAAGCTTCACTAATTGCTAAAATGTGATATTTTTCAGGGACTTTGTTGAGTTTGTCGTGGGATGCGACAAATAAGCACGTTGTATATACGTCATGGACTGTGAGGCTGGATACAGACATACACAGAGATCGTGCTGCTGTCATCAATCAGCTGGTTGATGACAAGTTCCGAAACCTACAGAGTCTTGCTGGGAACATATTTCGGTCATACACAGCTCATCTTGTACGTGTAACAACCGACTTTTCATTCACGTTTGGCCACTCAGAGCAACGGTCTGCAAACAGAATGATTGAAAACAAGGACGACGTCTGCACAATACTTTCTGCACATTTACCAGTGCATTGTGACTTTAGTCTGGAAGTGTCGAACAATGCAAGTTACGATGTGTCACGTGAGGAGGGCCCTGAGGACTGCCATACCGAAGTCCCAGCAGACGTTCAGATTATTTCGGAAGCGATACTCAAGAAAATGTGAGTATGACGTAATATCTGAAGAAGACACAGGGACTCGAGTGTAGCCTTCAGTGTAGGTGATTGGTCACACATCATATTATGTACTGAGTTTTCTATGTGCATTTTTGTGTGTGTTGTTTTAGTGTATCGGTAGTATACATACTTCTTTGAAATGTTCATTTGGAAAATATGCACTATGAAATCCAATCCTAGGGAAGTTCGTAACAGACCAGTGCTAGTCTTAATAGGCAACTTGTGGGATTCGGAAGCTCAGTGACTTGGCTCCCAACATGTCCCAAAAGGCGTCGATCGCTGCCTATCATATAGCAAACCTGTCTAGTCCAGACATATATTTCCAAGTCACCTCCATGTTATTGTATTGCTGGGTTCGATGTTAAAAAGCAATAATATATAAACACCACTTCACTTAACTTTACTATCGAATATGTCCCTTGTAGGAATCTGTCAACGCAGTCAAGGGAAGAGAACAATGGTAAGATTCGAATATCTTGTCATTAATACACGTACCAAATGATAATATGATGGTACTTGAATGTTCTTGACACAAAATAAATGGGAAATTGTAAAATTATTAACATATGTTATATTCTGGGATTACACTTTCTCAGTAAAGTACGTATTTTAGTACTTTTGTTAGGTTTAGTCCAATCTGGGATTCGATCCCCCATTCACCAGCACACATAGTCAGTCGTCTAACCCACTCAGACTTCGCGGCTTCCACAAAAATGGATGTCTGACAACTGGTAGTCTAGATCACACACTTTATGCACCCTTCTGACAAGTGTAAATTGGCATGGCTCACACTTTCGAAAGCTATGAATACACAATGCCATTTGAAAGTGGTTGCATTTAGCATATGTTCTATTTTGTAATATAGACTATCTTTTATAAAAGATTGGTTCCAATTTCCTTTACAGAAATTGCGGAAGTTCAAGGTAGACTTGCAAAGATGGAATCTGAATTTATGAATGCTGAGACGGAGTTAACCCAGACTCTAAAGACCCAGAAAGAGAATTCCGAACGCCAACTGCAGAAAGGTCGAAATAAATTTGAAAAGTGTATAAGAGAATTACAACAATACCAATCACCGGTAAGCGCGACCAAATCCTCAGCCCCTATACATGGACCAGTTCTGGAACCAAACGCTGGTTTTACAGTTCCGCCAGGCACGCAGGGTCAGTAAGTATACACTATTTCACCATGTTGACCGCCAGCTGTCAAATGAGTTGCTTTTGATATATTTTAGTGGTTAGAGGATCCGCCCGGTGAGCGGAATGTCGCGGGTTCGCTCTAAATGACGTTATAATATTGTACTTGTTGGTCCCTGCCTGGCGCATGGCATTAATGGGTACAACAAGGACTGGTCGGCTCGGGGTCTGAGTTTGGTATTCATGCTTAACTACGGTATGGTATCTGAGGTGAGCTAGCGCTATAAAACCAGCATAAGTCTGGGCTAGTACAAGCAGCCACACATACGCAAGCATGCACGTCGTCATATGAGCGAAATATTCTCAAGTACGACGTTAAACCCATGTCACCTCACCCTTGGATGTATTTAACGTTCTGTGCAAGCAGGAAACAGTGCCTGCCAATTTAGATGATTCAAGTTGTGTTATTGCTTCAATTTCAGAATGTATGCCACAAGTGAAAGTGAGCCCAATGTTCTAGATCAGAAATCATCGCCAGCTCACACGGTGCAGTACTCAGAAATACCTGAAAGTCCAACTGGAACAAGGCGAGTGTGAACACCTGCATTGACTGAGTAATTGACTGATTAATCAATTGATTGATTGGTTTTGTAAGTTGATTGGTGAGTGAGGTACCTTTGACGCTGCTTTGTTTATGATGGCGTGATTATGTGGAAAGATTATGCAAAATGTCTTTCATATTTGATAAAAATCGTAGAAACCTAACACGAAACCTGTAAAAGGTACAAAAGTCTGACTATGAACATTCCATGCCTTGGAACGACATACTTTCAATATATCTAATCATGAATATTTGTTGATTAGGTATGATATTGGGTTCATGAACAAAGCAGAGTTCTCCTCAAGAGGAGCGGGATCCACAACAGACCAACAACCATCCGGGGGCCCACCGACTGGCCAACGAGCATCCACGGGCGTAGCAACAAGCCAGCAATCATCCGGGGGCCCACCGACTGGCCAACGAGCATCCACGGGCGTAGCAACAAGCCAGCAATCATCCGGGGGCCCACCGACTGGCCAACGAGCATCCACGGGCGTAGCAACAAGGCAGCAATCATCCGGGGGCCCACCGACTGGCCAACGAGCATCCACGGGCGTAACAACAAGCCAGCAATCATCCGGGGGCCCACCGACTGGCCAACGAGCACCCACGGGCGCACCAACAGGCCAAAAAGCAGCCACGGGCACACCCAACGGTCATCAAGCGCCACAGGGCGCACGAATAGGGAAACAATCAACCAGGGGCGCACCAACAGACCAACAAGCACCGCATTGCGCACTAACAGACCAACAAGCCCCCCAGGGAACAACAGCGGCGCAGCCCACCTACATCCATAAAGACACACACAAAAAGTATGATTCTGCGAATAACCATTCTTCATAATATAGACCAACAAAGAAGAGGTCCAGTCTTTCAACTCCTAACGTATCAAACTTCATTTTGTTTCTCATAAAAACATGCTTTTCTTGTAGTTGTGCCTTTGGTATCGATTAAGTTGCATTCTGTTGTAGCGCGTATAGGTACGTGTTGTTTTCAATCATTATGTTTTTTTTCAGTTCCAGGCAGGATGTCGAGGATCTATTACAGATTATACCAGAAGGTAGCGCTTAACACGGAGATTTCTACAATCTTATTGTTTGTAATTCCTCCATGTTTACCATTGTTGTGCTCAAATGGCAGCCATGACTGTACGTTATTCTGTCATTGTATCGGTATCTAGATACAACATTGTAATGGAATAGAGCCAGGGAAATCCGTTTGGAGCGGACGAACAAACGATGTCATCACTTGACCAAGCGTGCTCCCTGTCCCTGACCCGACAATTGTTGACCTTAATCGCCTATCCTTACTTATGACATTTTCTTATTTGAGAGGCATTTCCTTCCTCACTTATGACAGTTTTGGTAATTGTCTTTATGTTAGGTGTTTCTAACATACAGCATCAATTTCACAGTTGAGATCTGACTAGGAGGATTTACTCAAATATTCTTATGGTATGTAAAAACACAGGCAATATGGGGGACTAATTTGGGGTTAACAAGCAAAATACTGTTGCCGCATTATCGGCTAAAGTACACCTTCCATTGCAGAAAGTCTTGTTACTGCTGAAAGGTTGCTGCAAGCATTCAGCGTTTCAAGCGTTGGCGATAGAAGGTCGCACCCAGAGGTGAAACGCCTGGCAGATTCCATAGCTCTGGCACTACAAGAGGGTAAGATTGTCACGAACAAGGAAGTGCTGTGTGCGGCGCGGCGTAATTATTATGGTAATATGTTTGTTAAACACACATAAAACTACATTGCGTATCACCGGGGAAATACCTCTCCACCATCTCTCTCTCATTCACCCGATTTTAAAGGAGAATACTAAAACATTTTGTTTCATAGGGGTAAAAGCATTCTAAAAGTCATCTACCATCATTAGTTTGTAAAAGCTTTTAAAATGGCAATAAGCACGTAAAACACGCACTATTTCCGCCTATTACGGAAACACACGACAATTAATGAACAGCAGCGGGAATCACGTGACATGCACTCAGTATAGGGTTATGGGATTGGTGTACGCTGCTTTTGGCAATATCCGAACAAAATCTCGGTGGAGGGCACCCCGTATGGGCCTCAAGCATCGAACCCGGATTTGGCGTGACCAGCGAACCTTTAACCCCTGGAATACTCAGTTGCTTGTCATAAAATTTGAAGGACCGTCAGTACGATTGTTACTACTTTTTGTGTGCTTTGGAATGTGAAATACTACGTATATGATGACATGCATATATATTGTTTTACACAGACATACATTTTATTCAGTAAAAGACCACTGGCCCAAAATACATTCATAAATATATGCACCTCGTCATAAATATCGCACCACCCACTTTTTTCACTAAGTAAAACTGGATCTACAACCTCATAAAAATGGTGCTTAGAAAAGCACATTAAACTGTTTAGATGGCCTCATGTGAGCGTTTAGTCAGAAAATTGACAACACAAGACCGAATTTGTGCACTAATTGAAGGTTTAATTGTAGCAAACTAAAATTTCATAAATGTTGAACACACTAGTAAGGTCCACAATGACTGGCTATAGCTAACTCAGTAACTGGTGTAACCGCCTCGCACTTGGATAACATTTTCAACACGGAGTCTCATGCTGGCCACCAGACGTCTGATTCTCTGTTGGGGGTTCTGCTGCCACACATCATGCAATGCATGGGTCAATTCCTGAAGGTTCCGAACTGAAGGATCCTTTGCTCTCAACCTACGTCCCAAAATGTCCCACACATGCTCAATAGGATTCATGTCTGGACTTCTGGCTGGTCATGGTTGTGTCTCAGTGGCGTTGTGTTGGAGATGCTGAACAACGGCTCGAGCACGATTTGGTCTGGCATTATCGTCCATGAAGACTGAACGTGTGGCGAGAGCATGGTAATCGAAATGAGACACTACAGCACCGTCCAGGATCAAGTTCTGGTACCTCTGTCCATACAATGCCCCGGGAACTGTGATGAGGTCAGGTTTACAGTCATAGGACATAGTCCCCACACCATGACGGATCCACCCTCAAATGGAACCTCAGCTTGAATGTTCCTCTGATCATATGCTGTGCCTCTCTGCCTCCAAACTCGTGCCCTCCCGTCTGTATGATGCAACAAAAATCGTCTTTCATCGGACGAGTGGATCCTTCTCTATGTCCTCAGGTTCCAGCGAGCACATGCTTGGCATCAGGTTAAACTGGCATGGCGGTGCTGATTTGTGAGGAGTGGACGTCTGATTGGTAGTCTTGCTCTCAACCCTGCAGAATTTAGGCGTCGTCTGATGGTGCTGATGGACACTCTGTTGTATGGATGCCATCCATGTCGCAATTGTGTACAAGTAGACATTTGGCTTCGTCTGGCATGGCGTACGAGAGCACGATCTTCCCTGTCATTGTTTTTTTCTGGGACGTCCAGACCTCGGTGCATCCTTCATTTCACCGGTAGCAGTATGCTTACGTATCAGCCTGCTGTTGATAGTGTGATTAATGTTCATTTGTGCTCCAATAGCACGACATGACATACCAGTCTGGTGCATACCAATAATATGCCATATTTGGTTCAGAGGCACTGGACGCTTGGGCATTTCACTAGTTTGTCGAAATAGAGCTAATTTATGCCTACAATAATTTTTTTGCTGTGTCTGCCAACATAACATACGCCAAAAAGGGCCTATGCGCATACTGCATTTATAGCTAACCGACCCCCGGGACATGCATGCTTAAGGCAAGCATGCACGTGCAGCTCGGAACAGGGTGTGTTTGTGATATTATATTCACAGATGGTGTCGTATATTACATATGTACGTGTAGTTTAAAAAAAACGAAACTTATATTTCTACTTTGACTTCCAAATGGGTGTTGCGATACTTTTGACGAGGTGTATATGTTTTGCATGAGTTTTACACAATAACATCAGATTTTTTTATTTTCCTAGCATTATATAAAAATAGGCATACATTATTTATTATTTTCCAATATCCTGGGAAATCCCCCCAAAAGCCAAACCCAAATCTAAATAACATATCCTTGATATATTGTTTTACATCAATAAGAGGGACGACCACCATCCAGATCGAACGGCCCCGATACCATTCTTTGTCTTGACGTGTCTGACAGTATTGGACAGAACGGCCAGGAGCAGCTGAAGGAAGCGGCAAACGTCTTCATCGACGGTAGGCGACCTCCATGAACCTCTTCCTACTAGTAAAACAGATTTTGTTGAAATAAATATGTTTTTGAGAGTAATTGTTGTATGATATTGTTGAAATGGCATCCCCGTCTTCTTCAGGCATAGAGGACGTAGCTGAACAGTTCGGTCTGGAGGAGAACATCGGTGTGGTCGCGATGGGAGGAAGAAGCACAGTGGTTCAGGAACTCACTAATGACTTTGGAATGGTCAGGGAAGCTATAGGTATGGGAAACGGCTCTGTGTTTTACATTCTGCGTCACAGTTCATGTTCTTAACGCTATGCATTTAGGTATGATGTCCAATGGTTTTAACCACATCAAACGTGTTATATACCCTTTTCAACTAAAATTCGATTTGTTGATTTGTTTTCTAAATTACTGTATTTGTTATAGTTGAAAAAAGGTATTTTTATCAATAACCATAACAAATCTGTTATTAGCATGCAAGGTAACAATAGTATTACCAGTTGCCTCACGTGCAGCTATGTACCTGGGCCCAGTGTTTCAAAGAGTGAGTAAATGAGTTAAGATTCACATCGGCAATATTTCAGCCATACCGTGACTACGTTTTTCAAAGAAACAGTAGCGTCAAGAGATGTTTTTCAATAGTTGTAAAACTACGAACGTTTTGTGAAACGGCACACTGGTCTTTAAACGTTAAATACAAATCGCTGATTCTATTCATTTTAAATTATTTTGTTTCAGATAATCTTAAGTTCGGTGGCCGAAGTCCACTATTCGAAGCGCTACTTGTTTGTGCTGCGGCAGTGAAAGGCCGGGGTATGTGTATACTTCCATGTTATATTCAATGTATTGCAGCCCAAATAATATTAATTCCACCCATATTAAAGTCCAATACACATTTTCCTGAAATATGGTTTCGACAAGACGTACAAGTTTCGTTCTTATTTCAGGTGGTATTTTAAGTATTGGTGACGAACACAAGATCCGACCTCGGATTATATTTATAACGGACGGATTAGCAACAAGCTATGCTAGTTGGACCGGCTCTGACGGATGGAGCTCTGACCATGAAGTAAGATCCATGAACACCGCCGTTGCTCCTGGAGACGTTTTCTGTCAAGACTCAAACATCCGTGTTGTTTGTTCACAATAGATAATGCCATACACTTTATACTTATTTCCTGTCTTAAATCGCTACTAGATAAGGAAGAGAATACAATAAATATCCCATTTCCCTCTCTGTTTAAGAGACCCGTGAAGATCCGGGTTAGAATTGATCTTCGGTAATCAACATGCTTGTCGTAAAAGGCGACTAACGGAATCGGGTGGTCAGGCTCGCTGACTGTGTTGACACATGTCATCGTTTCCCAATTGCGTAGATCGATGCTCATGCTGTTGATCACTGGATTGTCTGGTCCAGGCTGAATTATGTAGAGACTTCCGCCATATAGCTGGAATACTGCTGAGTGCTGCGTAAAAAATAAACTCACTCACTCACTCACACACTGTCTTTATGAATCATATAAAAGTGTAACAGGGTGTACCGCTTGTCCTCAAGTGAAATATTTACGTAAATGTGGTGAGAAATGGCTTACTTGTGTATTTTCTCCAGACCAAAGTTAAGCTGATTCAGCTTGTTCAACAATTTCTACCGAAGAATAACAGTTCCGCTCCTCATCCGATAGCATGGGTTCCAGTGGGAAAGGCGGACAGAGTGAGTAAACAGATATCTGTCACTGATTATCTTCAAAGTTGCATCAACATATCATATGATCACCAGCTGGACTACCTTTACATGATCAAATCTGTGATTGACAGTTGTTGGAAATACGCCTAAGAAGTTTAATGTCTTTACTGAAATGTTTGTATCATCATGAATTTATCATTCGGGGCGGAAGGGTAGCCTAGTGGTTAAAGCGTTCACTCGTCACGCCGAAGACCCGGGTTCGATTCCCCACCTGGGTACAATGTGTGAAGCCCATTTCTAGCGTCCCTCGTCGCGATATGGCTTGAGCATTGCTAAAAGCGGCGTAAAACCATACTCACTTACTCACTATTTGTTTTATTCATGATAAAAACATAAGCAGAAACGGCGCCATGTGTTGCGCCCCATAGTCATACAGGAGCCGATGATTATAGGCTCGTGTTGCGCCCCATAGTCATACAGGAGCCGATGATTATAGGCTCGTGTTGCGCCCCATAGTCATACAGGAGCCGATGATTATAGGCTCGTGTTGCGCCCCATAGTCATACAGGAGCCGATGATTATAGGCTCGTGTTGCGCCCCATAGTCATACAGGAGCCGATGATTATAGGCTCGTGTTGCGCCCCATAGTCATACAGGAGCCGATGATTATAGGCTCGTGTTGCGCCCCATAGTCATACAGGAGCCGATGATTATAGGCTCGAATTCGGAATTCAACCCATGTCGACATGGTTCTTGATGCTCTAAGTGGTTACCCTGATTTGGTCCTCCTTCCTTAGATTAAGCCGATACATGCTGTGGTGGCAAGCTATTTGTCTGGTCACTCACAGGAGCACGCGTCCCAACTGAATCAGCCAAACTCTTTAACCATATACATCAATATGAAAATGTACTGGTAATTTCAGGGATTTTTGAAGTCGCTTGCCAAACTTGGACACGGAGAGGTTGTGGAACGTGACAACATTGCGAAACTCAGCAGGAACTACAGAATCCAGGTATATGGCAAATTGTTTTTCCAAGAACATAAAGGTTGCCAGAAATGCTGAGTGTATTGGCTCCCGTGTTTTAGAAACTGTCATGCTTGTGATATAACCGTGAGTGTCCTGTGAACATACAAGCACAGTGTTATTAGTTATGCTCAATGTAATTTGACAGTGATATGAATTACGATAGTTGTTGACGTCCAATTGAAAACTTCAAATATCTTCCTATCTGCAGATGCTCGTGGTGAGCATGATATTCCATGGCCTGTTTCATTCTCGTGACAATTTACTTAACACTTTCTATTACGTTTGTTTTAACAGGGAAGTATAGGAAAGATCCTGATATGTGTGAAAACAGGTTCTGAGTCAAGTAGTATAGAAACTCTTGCAGAAGCCCTGCTCGGAGACATGGATCCTGAGGAAAAGGTTGGTAATGATATCACAGTACTGTTGTCAGTATTCGTGGATTGTAGTAAAAGGCATGAAGGTTTAATGATATCCTTCCGTTCACGCGAGGAAGGGTAAAAGGGAAGCATTGTTTGTTTCCGGAGCATAAGGCAAACAGCCTTCAATGTTTCTTAGTCCATTTCTGCTATTCAATATATTTTAATGGTGTGTATTTTTGTAGCGGTTTTCATTCTTTGGGATAGCCGATCTTTTCGATATGCTTCAAATATTTTCACTTTCACACTCGCGTACCGGGAGTGCGTAAGTTATCAATAACTTGAAAGCATATTATTAATAATTAGTTTTGTATTCACTATTTCGAACAAGTCCAGGCAGCGTCTGTCTTCTTGCCGGAGACATGATTACATCATGCTTATCCATTCGTTTCATTTACCAAGTCCGCCATAGTGGAAGCAGTGAAGAGGAAGCTGGACCACACACACACGGGCGGTGATGATGATGATGATGATGATGATAACATGGAACCAAACGACTTCAAACGCTTCCGAGAGAAGAACGCTCTTCTTGCCCTTGGGACGAGAGTCAGTCGGGGTCCTGACTGGAAGTGGGGCGACCAGGATAGTGGAGGACCCGGGACAGTGATCAACCATGCCAGGGAAGACAGTCAGTACATTTCAAAATATCACACTTTATCGAGAGTGACTTGCCTATCATTATAGTGTGTAAATGGAACTCAAGACTGTTGCACTTACAGCGTAGATGAGCTGACTGGACGTACACCGGTGTTGTAGTGCTGTCCTACTGGAATACTCAGGGGCGGATCCAGGAGTTTGGAGAGGGGGCAGTGCATATAAATCATGAAGTCAAAAGGTTAGGGGGGCAATGGTCTTCAGAGAAAGCAATTTCGGGGGAGGGGGTGGGGTGAGGTGGGGTGCGCACCCCCTGGATCCGCCCCTGATACCATACCTCAGTTGGCATCAGTTGAACATGGATACCCGGACTCAAACATATCCTAAGCAAACTGAAATTATCTGAAGCACGAAATGAAATTAAAGTTTTGAAAACAGCTGTTTGTTTGTTGAACTTCTCTCATGTCAGGATTGATAGAAACATTAGTTACGCCCGTCTCAAATTGTTGGAAACTGCGACAATATCATTCTCAAAACTTATGCTTGTTGAAGACGTCTGACTTGCATACTTTTAGATTTGGTCTGGGTATGTTGGGATTTCAACTCCACATGCTGTAGATACAGATATGGATACGAGAACAACTACGACCTGTTGGTGACAGACACTGCGCGGTACCTATGTGATGACGAACTCATTGAAATAGGGAACAAGGTCCAAAGAGGTAGGCATACAAATTGACCAATGTAGACATCAACGGATATTCTTACACAATATTCAAGACAGTAACAGTATCAAATAAGCATTCAGCGATATTAATTAGAGTACTGTGGCGGTAGTTAGTGGTGTATGCAGTATTGTGACTTTGTGCTATTCGTAGGACGTGATTGGGCGTATGGAAACCAAGATGGAGGACCCGGAAATCACGGGGTCGTGATCCGGAAATCTCCGGAGGGAAAGGTCAAGGTAAGTACACATAGGCATATGTGTTATACACATTGTGTCATCCTGAACATTTATTATATATTTACAGCTTTTCAACATTTCACAGAATTACATGTATCATTTTTCATTGGATCCTATTTACGCCGTCATTCTTTCCAAATTCCCGGCAGACTTCAGAACATACTGGTTGGTCTATCCATCCGTATCTATAATGTCTTGGCGTACGTGTAAGACTAATCAGATACGTAACATGTGTTTCAGGTGCGATGGTTTGCACAGGATACTATTTGTACATACAACTATGGCTGTGATGGACGCTTCGACCTTGAAATATGGTGAGTGAATCCTGTTGTCCATATGTGGCGACAATTGATGTCATATCATATCTGGACTTGGATTCTGTCACCGGTGACCAATTTAAAACAACAAGAATCATTCTGCCTGGGAGTAAAGCGTTGTAGAATTTCTTCAATGGGTCAGTGACTCAGTGTGACAGTATTGGCATTGAATAACTGAGTCGATGCAAGATAAAATTAACCATATGCTGTATTGCTATCCGTATATATTTTCAATGTCGGAAACCCATTGCTGGCGTCTCCCGTCGTGATATTTCTGGAATATTGCTAAAAGCGGCGTAAAACTAAACTCACTCACTCACCTTATATATTTTAAAACTTGATCTCTGCCACTCTTGTGTAATGCCAACCGATCCCGTGACAGTAACTACTGTCGCGTTAATAGTATGTCTCCATCATATACAAAATTGCCATCCATTCTGTACAAACGTACCATCCATACTGTACAAACGTACCATCCATACTGTACAAACTTACCATCCATACTGTACAAACTTACCATCCATACTGTACAAACTTACCATCCATACTGTACAAACTTACCATCCATACTGTACAAACTTACCATCCATACTGTACAAACTTACCATCCATACTGTACAAACTTACCATCCATACTGTACAAACTTACCATCCATATACTGTACAAACTTACCATCCATACTGTACAAACTTACCATCCATACTGTACAAACTTACCATCCATACTGTACAAACTTACCATCCATACTGTACAAACTTACCATCCATTACTGTACAAACTTACCATCCATACTGTACAAACTTACCATCCATACTGTACAAACTTACCATCCATACCATCCATACTGTACAAACTTACCATCCATACTGTACAAACTGTACAAACTTACCATCCATACTGTACAAACTTACCATCCATACTGTACAAACTTACCATCCATACTGTACAAACTTACCATCCATACTGTACAAACTTACCATCCATACTGTACAAACTTACCACCCATACTGTACAAACTTACCATCCCATACAACTTACCATCCATACTGTACAAACTTACCATCCATACTGTACAAACTTACCATCCATACTGTACAAACTTACCATCCATTCTGTACAAACTTACCATCCATACAAACTTACCATCCATACTGTACTGTACAAACTTACCATCCATTCTGTACAAACTTACCATCCATACTGTACAAACTTACCATCCATTCTGTACAAACTTACCACCCATTCTGTACAAACTTACCATCCATACTGTACAAACTTACCATCCATACCATCCATTTCTGTACAAACTTACCATCCATACTGTACAAACTTACCATCCATTCTGTACAAACTTACCATCCATTCTGTACAAACTTACCATCCATACTGTAACTTAAACTTACCATCCATTCTGTACAAACTTACCATCCATACTGTACAAAACTTACCATCCATTCTGTACAAACTTACCATCCATACTGTACAAACTTACCATCCATACTGTACAAACTTACCATCCATACTGTACAAACTTACCATCCATACTGTACAAACTTACCATCCATTCTGTACAAACTTACCATCCATACTGTACAAACTTACCATCCATTCTGTACAAACTTACCATCCATTCTGTACAAACTTACCATCATACTGTACTGTACAAACTTACCATCCATACTGTACAAACTTACCATCCATATTCTGTACAAACTTACCATCCACTGTACAAACTTACCACCCATACTGTACCAACCTACCACCCATACTGTAAAACTTACCACCCATTCTGTACAAACTTACCATTGATAATGTACAAACGTACCACCCATTCTGTACAAACTTACCACCCATACTGTACAAACTTACCATCCATTCTGTACAAACTTACAATCCATACTGTACAAACTTACCATCCATACTGTACAAACTTACTTACCATCCATACTGTACAAACTTACCATCCATTCTGTACAAACTTACCATCCATACTGTACAAACTTACCATCGATTCTGTACAAACTTACAATCCATACTGTACAAACTTACAATCCATACTGTACACACTTTCGATTCATAATCTACAAATTTCCCATGCATACTGTACAATATACCATCTATACCTACATGCTGGCTACCTGTAATGTACTAAATGACCTTCCCTGCTACAGCCCAGTTAACATTTGCATAATTGTTGATAAGACAAGCCTAGATGTTCTACACTCTTATTCCCTAAATATATTGCCGCACAGGGAATTTTGTTTTTATTTTACATAATTGTATATTGTTAATGTTTTGGGTAATTACGATAATTCCAAATGGATGTTTATATATTTATTTAAATTCATTTTCAGTAAACCAGATTTTGAAACACCTCCAAGGAAACCTAGTCCAGTCCCTGCAACATCTGATTCAGTTCCTACAGTAGTTGGTATGTACCCGCAGTCGATACCCCGCCATATCCCATAATATGGTGCAGTAGAATGCAATATTCATTGTTTGAACTATACTAACTGTGTACACGCCAAACCTCAATGCCGGTTTTCCCCCTTACTTTCACATATATTCCATATACCTTGCAGCATGGGAGTGGTGTGACAACGCTGGTGCGTGGACACTTTACGACGTGGAGACGTCGCAAAAACTGGAAAAAGAGTTTCAGAGAAATGGAAATGGGTCGTGCTTGATACAGAAGAATGGGAAAAGGTACGAGAGTGGAGTTGAGTGTAGTACAGTAAAAGTGTGTATATATATACAGTTCAACTGTAGTTCGATTCGGGTTATGTTGTAAAATTGTTTGTTTCAGTTTCAGGGTGGTATACAAAAAGGACCCGATGATCGAGAAGTCAGTGTCTGGCAATGAGGTGCACAATGTTCGGCGAATCGGTGAGATATGTACTTGTTTTTTTTAGGTAGATTAATATTGTTCAGAGAAAGATAATACTATATATGTACAACATTTATTGCCAGCGTGGGAACGTTTGCTGTTACTGTATCTTAGACAGGCAGTTCTAAACCCTAAACAGACCCTAACATTTCTAAACAGACCAGTGTGTATATCTTTAGGACTGGTATAGTCTAGTGTATTATCTTTGGGTATAGACAAGTGTGTATGTCATTAGGTATAGTCCAGTTTGTATATCATTAGGTATAGTCCAGTGTGTATATCATTAGGTATAGTCCAGTGTGTACATCATTAGCTATAGCCCAGTGAGTATGTCATTGGGTATAGACCAGTGTGTATATCATTAGGTATATACCAGTGTGTAGATCATTAGGCATAGACCAGTGTGTATATCATTAGGTATAGTCCATTGTGTATATCATTAGGTATAGTCCAGTGTGTACATCATTAGGTATAGTCCAGTGAGTATGTCATTAGGTATAGACCAGTGTGTATATCATTAGGTATAGTGTAGTGTGTATATCATTAGGCATAGACCAGTGTGTACATCATTAGGCATAGACCAGTGTGTATATCATTAGGTATAGTCCAGTGTGTATATCATTAGGTATAGTCCAGTGTGTACATCATTAGGTATAGTCCAGTGAGTATGTCAGTAGGTATAGACCAGTGTGTATATCATTAGGTATAGTGTAGTGTGTATATCATTAGGCATAGACCAGTGTGTATATCATTAGGTATTCCATTAGGCATAGTATGTCAGTAGGTATAGACCAGTGTGTATATCATTAGGTAGTGTGTGTATATCATTAGGTATAGTCCAGTGTATTATCATTCTGTATAGACCAGTGTGTGTCATTAGGTCTAGTCCAGTGTAGATATCAGTATGTGTATATCATTAGGTATAGTGTAGTGTGGTAGGCATAGACCAGTGTGCATGTATAGTCCAGTGTTATAGTCAGTAGTTATAGTATAGTGTGTATATCATTAGGTATAGACCAGTGTGTATATCATTAGGTATAGACCAGTGAGTATATCATTAGGTATAGTCCAGTGTATTATCATTCTGTATAGACCAGTGTGTGTGTCATTAGGTATAGTCCAGTGTGTATATCATTAGGTATAGACCAGTGTGTATATCATTAGGTATAGTGTAGTGTGTATATCAATAGGCATAGACCAGTGTGTATATCATTAGGTTTAGTCCAGTGTGTATATCATTAGGTATAGTCCAGTGTGTATATCATTAGGCATAGGCCAGTGTGTATATAATTAGGTATGGTCCAGTGTATTATCATTGGGTATAGACTAGTGTGTATGTTATTAGGTATAGTCGAGTGTGTATATCATTAGGTATAGTGCAGTGTGTATATCATTAGGTATAGTCCAGTATGTATATCATTAGGTATAGTCCAGTGTGTATGTCATTAGGTATAGTCCGGTGTGTATATCATTAGGTATAGACCAGTGTGTATATCATTAGGTATAGACCAGTGAGTATATCATTAGGTGTAGTCCAGTGTATTATCATTCTGTATAGACCAGTATGTGTGTCATCAGGTATAGTCCAGTGTGTATATCATTAGGTATAGACCAGTGTGTATATCATTAGGTATAGTTTAGTGTGTATATCAATAGGCATAGACCAGTGTGTATATCATTAGGTTTAGTCCAGTGTGTATATCATTAGGTATAGTCCAGTGTGTATATCATTAGGCAAAGACCAGTGTGTATATCATTAGGTATAGTCCATTGTGTATATCATTAGGTATAGTCCAGTGTATTACCATTGGATATAGACCAGCGTGCATGTCATTAGGTATAGTCCAGTGTATATATCATTAGATATAGTCCAGTGTGTATATCATTAGGTATAGTCCAGTGTGTATGTCATTGGGTATAGACCAGTGTGTATATCATTAGGTATAGTGCAGTGTGTATATCATTAGGTATAGTCCAGTGTGTATATCATTAGGTATAGTCCAGTGTGTATATCATTAGGTATAGTCCAGTGTGTATATCATTAGGTATATACCAATGTGTATATCATTAGGTATAGTCCACTGTGTATATCATTAGGTATAGTCCACTGTGTATATTATTGGATATAGACCAGTGTGTATATCACACAGCACACAGCATATGCAGATTTTTTTAAACTAACCTCAATCTAATTTTCATCTCGAGCTGTGCTATTTCATGTTATTCATAGCAATAGTGCATTCTTGTCTTTCAGCATGATGGAACACGAACTGTGGTATACGGAAGGCCATTGCAAGAAACAGATGTGTTTTTTATGTGATTCTAAATATGGGACCAATTGCTGTCGATCCTGACAGTGGCTACTTCCTTGTCCGTGTAGCATAATCTAATTCCATCGCCAGTATTCATCTGCTAAACTGGGCGTCGGGGTAGCCTAGTGGTTAAAGCGTCCGCTCGTCACGCCTAGGACCCGGTTTCGATTCCACACATGGGTACATTGTGTGAAGCCCATTTCTGGTGTCCCCCGCCGTGATATTGCTGGAATATTGCTAAACGCGGCGTAAAACCATACTCACTCACAAATATACATGTAGGTGATGTACATATCTTACCTGTGTGTACACCCAATTCGTACATATTGTATATTGTACATATTGTATATTGCCATATTGTACAGTACTGATCATGGTACACAACCCCATCGGTATTCAACAACCAAAGATCGTTAGTTCCGTAGATCGATACTCATGATGTCAATCACAGGATGTTCTGGACCAAACTATATCATTTACACGATTGATGTACAACACACGCTGCCGTTATATACTGGACTGGACTGTTGCTGAGTTTAACAACAAATGAATAAACACATAAAATGTATGTATTCTTTTATTATTGTTTATGTGTATGATTTTAAGTATAAAGTAATACCAAATATGAAAGAGTTTTCACATGTTTGTCTTGTCAGAATTCTTGCAGTTCAATGCAATTTCCAAGGGAATACACATCCTGACGAACTTGACTCGTGACATAAAACAGAACATCATGTCAACATATACTATTCCAAAAAAGAAACGCATAACCCAGAAACCTGTTGCGAAAATGTTGTATTTTCAAACATGTATAACTAGCCCACAAATAAACTTTAGGACATGAAGTTTTACATCAGTTTAGAAGAAGGTAATACCCATACAACCAAGTGGATAATTTTAGATAACGGTGCCGTTGAGCACAATGGTGACCACGTAGCTTGGTCCCGACGTCGGGTCTCTTGGCTCTCAGTGCAATCTCTCTCAACCTGTTCCGTACAGTTTGACCAGATATCCTCCGAAATCAAGGCACCCTGGCTGCTGTGCTCTCACCCGTGGCAGTACGATCATGCAAATGTAGTACCCGGATGTACCGATCTTGGGCTGCAGTGGTGACTCGGGGTCACCTGTACGGGGAGGGTTATTTGATGTACCTGTTTGGTTGTAACGGGCTGCAAGCAGTGATATCATGTTCAGACTAACATTCAGACGCCTGGCAACAGAAAATTGGTAATCTCCAGCGTGCATTCTTTCAATGGCGATGTTCCTTGTCGCAGTGTCAAGACGTGGCATAGTGATTTGACCTTAAAACTCCTTCAAAACGAATGCCGATAGCCAGACAGTGCATGCTCTTTGCTGCACAATTTCAAGTGGAAGGTGATTTATGTTGCGTTGTGGCGATGCCTTTTTAATTCTTGTAAGAAATCCCATCAAAAACAACATTTTAAGGTAAAGTCGATTTTTCACTTGTGCAATAGTGTAAAATCATATTATCAACACTTTTGTTACATATTTTGACGACTGTTTGAACTCAATTGGTTATTAATAGATTGTTTAAAATACAAAACGCTATGCGTTTCTTTTTTGGGATAGTATATGTGTCATGGCTAAAGTTTACTGCAGTCAAACTGTGCGTCCTTTTGAAGTGTTTGACCTGTATGATCGTGCATCCTCAAAAAACATGCATCACGTCGAAACCTGTACTATCCAGGTGCTAAAGTTCCGTAATGTAATACTTGTTCCGGGTTCTGTAACTGCTTATCAGCAAACACGTTCAACGATCGTGTGTCAAAACATGATTTGATTACACTGTACTGTTCCTTCCTTTTAACAAAGTTCTACCTAATGCTGATTTCGGAGAATTGTCTATACTTGCTTTTTTGTATTTGTATTATTAGGGACCGTTCATAGTTTATATCTGGGGTGGTGATTATTTTTAAGGGGAAGCGTGTAAAATGTGACATGTACAAATTTAATGACCCACCCCTTCCCTTTTAAGCATACTTGTTCTATATTCTAATGTACAAAATTGCTGACACCCCGTGTGCATGTGCACAAAATTGATGACTTTATCCATTTCGTTATAGGATTTAGCTATCATCTTGACGGTGTATTCCCAGAGTGGGTGGCCTCTCTGTCTATTACATAATAACCAAATTCAGGGTCCACTCCGGGACAACTCGTTGAAAAGGTGTGAACGTGGGGGCCAGTGTGGAACATCAACAACTTATTAGGGGCCACTGTGGGAAAGGCCACTCCGGGCATAAACCATCTTGACGCCACTCGTGATACTAATCTATGCTACAAATGCCGATGATAATAAATGACTTCAGTCGGAAATGTTGAATACAATAGGGCAATTATACACAAATACGCATCATGAATATATGCAACACGCATACATTGTAGGAATACTTACACATTTATCAGATTGTAACAAAAGTACTTTCACACTGACTGAGTTTGGTTTTACGCCGCTTTTAGCAATATTCCAGCAACATGACTGCGGGGGACACCAGAAATGGGCTTCACACATTGTACCCAGTACTTTTACAAATGCTGCTGTATTGTTGGAATAATGAAGTTGTAACGGAAAATGGTTTACAGTATTGGCTGTGCAAATTTGCCGGAAGGTTAGGCTACCTGGTAGGGATATATCTGGGTTATACCAATACTTTCTCGGGAATAAGGCTTTCAGAGGGTTTTATTGTTTCATTACGATACTTAAGAGGTCATTTCCAAATCTCACTTATCAGTGACAAAAATGTTCATTGCAGGAATTACCTCATGTAAACGACATGTTTCCGCGGTTTTTAACAAGAATACATTGTCTACGCATGGGCGGCGTCTATGCGCAGGAAACCTTCGCGAAAATCGGGAGTCATTCTTATTGTCATTATTATTTCAATTCTTATTTTTAAAAAAGCCACAAGCTTATGATGAAGTCGGAATTGTGCAATGGCGGTTACAACACATTGTCTATACATTGTCGCTGATTTGTGGGGAAGAGCAGGGATTTTTCGGCAGACTGTTCATAGTAGTTCATGGTAATGCAGGCACAGATATTTCGAAAGGAACAGGAGCCTAGCGATATCTATAAAATAAAATATTGTCTTTCCCTTTGTTATGCTTTTTTTCTTCCTTGATCAGTATAGGCGCGGTGAGTAGCCTAGTGGTTAAAGCGTTCGCTCGCCAAGCCGAAGACCCGGGTTCGATTCCCCACATGGGTACAATGTGTGAAGCCCATTTCTGCTGTCCCCCGCCGTGATGTTGCTGGATTGTTGTTAAAAGCGGCGTAAAACCCAACTCACCCACTCACTTGAGCAGTATGGAGGTGACGAGTAACTGATAGTTTTTGGTAGAAGTAATTAATAGCCTCGCTCCTCACATGTCAAGAACAGGTACCAATCAGCACTTAACGGTATCTTAGTTTTATTTGTAACTGATCAGATGTTGGTAATAGCTCACTTTATTATATATAACTCTTCGGTAGAACAATTTCCCGACAGGCCCAATCGTCCCAGGCGTCGCAGCTTGCTGCGCAAAGTTGCTTTCCTTCTGTATGTCAGGATCCTATGTTCTAATCCTATAAGCTCTAATGCCACTTTTCGCACTGAACAATATACCCCGATGACGTAGGAAGCTCTTCAGTCAACATTAAACTTACACCATGATAAAATGTTTAGCATTCAAAGAATTTCCTTTCTTTTTAACTTTCCCCGAGAATATATAATATGTAAATGGAATTGGGACTTGAATGACGCGATAGAATCATCCAGAAATACATTTTTCCACATACGCTTCCAATTGAAGTTATATTTTCTTGTTTTAGTGACACATACTATTATATATCAAATGAAACATACAAAAGCATCAAGCGGACATATACAGTCTACTTTGGGGTCATGTTGCACAACGTTAAATAATATATTTCCTACTATTCATATGGCTTACTACGAAGCCGATTAACGCTAGTTTCATTTTAGGCATTGTGCTGCTTCTCTAAGGTCAGTTGACACCTCGGCTCAGTGTCGCGCACAGCTGAAGTGCTCCCACAGCGGTATCCGGATGTTGAACGCTTGCCAAGTCAGCCTGCTATAGCAAATGACATGTCACGGTTATATTTAGCCGACTGGGAAAACCCACATTGTTCAAAACGAAAATGGGCGAATGGAGGTTTCGTGTTGGAAAACTGATTGTGAGTTAATTTTTGAATCTCTGTGTTGAACTAGTCGTACACGAATAGTCGTACACGAATAATTACACGCATGTACGATAAGTCCTAGCAGTTATCTTAGAGGCAAGTGTGGAGTGATATGGAGTTTCTTATTGTACTTTCTACCATTTAGGAAGATGTTTTGTAGCAGGTACTTTGTCTCGTTACGGTACGCCTGAGGCGTGTTCAGAACCGCGAGTGCCCGCGAACGCTAGCGAGCGCTCGATGCTGAACGCCTGTGTCCGTTCTAGCGCCCGCGCGCGCACGCGAACCATTCTCACAGCTGCCTCGCCAAGCGAACCAAGATGGCGATCATGTTTAATGTCATTCGTCACCACTCGCCCCTTTCCGTAACCTCCAAAAAGAAGACATGGAGGATATTTTGTTAATGTTGTCAAATAACATGTATATGTCATCGAGTGGTCTGAAAAAGTTGATATGTTCATGACAATTGACAACCTTAACAAAATATATTTATTATATTTTGATCATTGTTTATAAATCATCGAGACATCGATTTCGTAGTTCGCGTTTCGTAGTTCCAGGCAAAAGTGATATTCTACTCAGTGAAAATGACAATACCATTTTTATTTTCACCAATATTTCACCCTTAAGAATATAATAAAGAAGCTATTCGGCTTGTCCCGGAACAACACGAGTTGGTCACGAATGGTTTATTGTAACCAAGCGCTCGTGTCCGTTCAGGGCCGAAGCGAGCGCTCGCGGGAGGCAATCGCGCGGGCGCTCGCGGCTCTGAACACGCCTCAGTATTCAGTGATACAACATGTATCCAGTGGGACGGGAAAATGAGCTACGAAGTATTGGGGAATGCAGGATGAAGTAAAGTGAGCTTCTTGAGGAAGGGAGATAACTCGAGCGATACAAATGTCATGAAATACGCCTCTTCTGGTCTGACAACATAATACCGTGCTCTATGTATATATGCCTGTATATATGCGTGTGTGGGAGTTGGGGTGGGAAGGGGGGGGGGGTGATTGGGTGGATGGAGAAACCTGGGTACCCTGACATGCCTGGTTGAAACACCTGTATGTTTATTGGATACGCACGTCGCGGCCACACCTTGCCTACTCCGCATGAGGGTTTGAGGCCTAATGGTTAAAGCGTTCGCTCGTCACACCGAAGACCCGGGTTCGGTTCCACACATGGGTACAATGTGTGAAGCCCATTTCTGGTGTCCGCAGCCGTGATATTGCTGGAATATTGTTAAAAGCAGCGTAAAACCTCACTCACTAACTCACTAAATATGACTGTTTCTATAATTGTTACATTTGCAGATACCCGGAACGTGGCATTCAGTTCATTAATGATAATTCGAACTTGCTGATCATTTCATGTGTATAAGAAATAGAGCATAAGCCAACTGACAGTTCAGTAATGGGGAGCGTGGAAGGTGAAAATAATGCAAGGATTAGACAGAGATTTGCTTCCATTGAAGAGGAAATACTTGCCCAAAGAACATTGATAGAGACAGAAGTCGAACGTCAAAGGCAACAACATGTTGAACTGAGATCCGCCCTAGGGCAGTTACTTGCATTGATTGCCGACAATGCAGAGTTATTTGAGTATAGAGAGCAAGAGGACAGCAACAGTCGAACAGGCAATGTCAGTTTACAATCAAAACAACAGCAACCTCAACAGCAAACAGACAAACGTAGATTGCTAGCCACACAACAGCACCCTCAACAGGAAACAGACAACACTGGATTGCAAGCCAAGCAACATCAACCTCAACAGGAAACAGACAACAGCAGATTACAATCCATGCAACAGCAACGTCAACAGCAAACACACATAACTGCGCCACAATCCAAACAGCAACAGCATGGAGACAACGGACCCGACAGACCGGAAACAACGGTCGTCTTTGGAACGTTAGACGCCGACAAAGTTGCAACACCACCAACAGATCTGATTAATCATTCATTGCAAAAGGACCAGCAAAACAGTCCCCCGTCCCCCAAAACAGGCATCATAGGAACCAGGGGCCATTTGGTCAGGGAGAAGAGTAAGAAGCAATTATGTGATTTGGTCCGCCAGTTTCTCCGCTCAAGTGTGTTACCCGGAGTGACTGTGGACGACTTCCGGGTCGTGGGGAGACTGACCGGTATCAGCTGTGATGATCTGAACCCAGACGGCGAGGACGACGCTGTTGGTCTGGTGGAACGAATGCTGAGGAGGGAAATGGGGGGTCAGACTGATCCATTACTTCATGATCCAGATGCAAGGTACAGTACGCCGAGATTTATAATAATGATGTATACAACTTTGCATGGTTCAGTAAATCAGCCCGATATGAGTAGCGTTACCACAGTGTACTGCACAGCAAAGTTCGGGCGGATACAGGGGCGGATACAGCTTTTTGAGGGGTGCACACTCTTGAGAAAGGGGGCTGCACACTTTTTTTTTACACGTTCTCACGAGAGTGTCAATGGTCATTTAATACACTTTCAGGACAAAAGGGGTTGGGGATCACATCACCCTCTCTGGATCTGCCTATGCAATAATAGTATATACATATCTGAATTAGCTAACCTCTGTTCATTAAGAGTAAAGATGTGGTAATCGCACGGCCATGTTGTGTTTGTAGAAAAAGATTTGAAGCAAAGCTGAGCAAAAGGAAGTCTGGTTGTAGTCGGTCCGGCAGAGCAAGTATACAAGCATTACTGAGGATGGACGTTCTGAACAGCAGAAACCCCCACAACGGTTCACTTTGGCATGGTGTACAGGAGGCACTGAAAACAGGTTTCTGTCCTTGGTCCTCACTTTATCATGAGTAAAGTGAGTGAGTTTAGTTTTACGCCGCATTCAGCAATATTCCAGCTATATGGCGGCGGTGTGTAAATAATCGAGTCTGGACCAGACAATCCAGGGACCAACATCATGCGTATCGTTCTACGCAATTGGGATACGACGACATGTGTCAACCAAGTCAGCGAGCCTGACCACCCGATCCCGTTAGTCGCCTCTTACGACAAGCATGGGTTACTGAAGATCAATTCTAACCCGGATCTTCATGGGTTTATGAGTAAAGTTTGTTTCCGCCTCAGTACGGACCAGAGGTGGATACAGTGTTTTGAGAAAGGGGTGGGGGAGGCGGGTGGTTTGGTGTGCACAGTTCATTGTCATACGTTTCCCGAGAGTTTCAATGGTCATTTAATAAACTTTCAGGACGAGGGGCGTAGGGGTGGGGTGTGTGCACCTCTGCACCCTCGCCCCTACCCTCTGGATTCGCCTATGTGGACCACTTGTGGCCAAATGTTATACATATAGCCGATCGCAAACAATATTGAAATCATGTAAGTTTGTCAAAGTTGCTGTTATCAGTATTTTGAATCAATGTAATGTAGATATTAATTCATGGTATAGGTGTTTCTTCTTGTAGCGGGAGATATTCCGATGGCTGAAACTTCTCTTGACACAGTCCTGTGCGTAGATTCCTCCGAGAGTATAGGTGACAATGCATTGAAGGACATCAAAGACTTTCTTCTCGGATTTATCAAGGGTAATATATTCTCATAGATACAATCACATAGCTAGTGATCAAACACGTGGATTTCTTAAAATAAATGTACTGTACTATTAGTTTTAGTCAGTTCAGTAAATAGAGCTGTGTGTATGGAATACTTGCCAAATCAAATTTTTGTCTGCTTTTAGCATATAGCTTCCTTCCATACAGGACTTGAAGAAACTGCAGAAAACCATAACATTGAAGAGAATGTTGCACTTGTAACATTTGGAGGGCGACCGAGGGTGTTGCGTCATTTAACTAACGACTATGGAAGTCTCAGGGATGCAATAGGTATCACTTTCATTTTGTGTACAGAAATAGAAATACCACCATTAATATAATGGTTGCTCCACATTGTGCATTCCAGTTAACTATGATTGGTTATAAGTTGAAAGCTAAATGTTCTTCTGACTAACTCAGGACGTAGAGATCCCTCTCCTCTCTTTGTGAAACCCGCCTCTCTGCACACTCTCTGTATATGGTTTCTATATATGCTCTAATTTCCATAACTTTTGCTTTTACAGAAGACATCAGCCTTGGGGGACACTCGCCACTTCTTCAGGGCCTACTCTATTGCTTGGCGTGCATTACTAGAGGTGGGGAAACTCTTAATTAGAGTCTAAATCCAAATACGAAATGTGGTCTCTATATTTGGAACCTTTTGTTGAGGTTTATTGTGCTGATGGTTTGTTTCAGGAGGTGTATGCAGATTTGGGCAGCTGAAGGTTCCACCAAGGATTGTCTTCATCACTGATGGGCATGCATCCAATGAATGTCGTAAACATACTACAGACAATCGCCATATCAGTGAACAGGTTTGCAGTACGATCATATATACACAGAGCAAGTGGGTTACAAAATCTCTTGAAGTATTTTTACTAACGTTTAATTGAGAATTATCCCGATTGTAGAATTATGAAAGTAAGTATTCTATCTGCTCTGCATTGTGCATATGTCGATGTAAGTAATGGAGAAGTGGAAACAAACATAGATATCCCCCAACACATGAAACATTTTCGGTCATGTTATTTTGTTTTTCTGTTGATCGTTTCTATGTTAGATTTTGTTTTCCAAATTCTGTAAAGCTGAAATGTTTGTACTATAGGAGAAAACGAAGCTTCTGTCCATTGCAAGTGTTTTGAGTGGTGACCGCAGTAAACAGGACATCGCGGACCCCCTGGTGTGGGTGCCTGTTGGAAACGCCAACAAGGTGAGGCCACTTTCCTAGTTTGACATGCATATTGTCTTCGCTAGTCTTAGCCAGTCTTCGCAAGTGGTATTTAATATATGCGAGTGTATTTTACGTAATTAAAATCAGTTGATTATGAATACAAGACGCAAAAGAAATTTGAAATCTTGAACATCCTTAGAAACAGATTCCATTTGGTGTATGGGGCGAAATAACTATGAACGTTTAGTACAATATTTTGACACAGGAAATTATATCTACAGGAATTCCTTCGACAAATGGCATCCGCCAGTCTGGGCACATATACTTCGCCAAGTAATCTCACTACACTTTGCAATTACCAGAAGATAAAGGTAAGAAGAACAGGTATACACCGCTAGAAATTGAGTAATGTGAAGTTATATGTATTGACATTGTGCCTGATCACTCACTAACATCGTAATATAGAATACATGTATCATATATCACAGTCCTAGAAGGTAATGTACCCGTGAAGGTCCGTGTTAGAATATTGATCTTCAGTGACCCATGCTTGTCGTAAGAGGTGACTAACGGGATCGGTTGGTCAGGATCGCTGACTTGGTTGACACATGTCATCGGTTCCCAATTGCGCAGATCGATGCTCATGCTGTTGATCACTGGATTGTTTGGTCCAGAATCGGTTATTTACAGACCGTCGTCATATAGCTGGAACATTGCTGAGCGCGGCGTAAAACTAAACTCACTCACTCACTAGAAGATAATGTGCACCAGGTATCTCTGTTTTATCATTTCTAGAGGGTCAGTGCCAACGTTTTGAACTACATGAAATCTCATGCTGACAATCAACGAATCATCGACCGTGTCATCGACGCCTTTGGTTTGGATCTCCGATATGATGATAAGGTAAATGTTGCTTCACGCTTATATTAGCATATATTATATATATATAAGCAGTATCAGAAAGCGATCTTAGCCCTCTCATTCCTTAATATACAGTTATCGCTAAGGAGGTCGTATTTCTCCAACCTTAACACAGACTTAGCACTAAGATTGTTTTGTACAGTGGCGCCATGGAGATCCGTCTCAACTGCCGATTTGATTTCAAAGTGTTGTCACATGAGCATTGGCGTTAACATCTGTTCCTGGTGTTCAGACAATCAAATATCAGTCACATTTTACACTTGTAGTTTGATCAACCAGAACACTTCGAATTATTCCGTCCGTTGTAACCAAATCATTTTCAGATTCAAGTGGCAACACTCGTCCATAATATCCTGAACAAGGGCGTCTTAAATATAAAGTCACTGGACAGATTTGACAACATCAACATAAAGGAAAACCTGCCGCCGTTAGGTTCCAGGGTTGAGAGGGGTCCTGACTGGATGTGGGACAACCAGGACTCCGGACTTCCAGGAACCGTTTACAACCACGGAGAAGAAGGAGGTAGAACACATCAGCTGGGACAGTTATAGAAAACTTGTAATATATGACTTATCACTAGTGTAGTTACATGTATCGTATAAGACAGGAGTGAGTGAGTTAAATTTTACGCCCCATTGCATCAATGTTCCAGCTATAAGCGGCGGCCTGTAAATAATCGAGTCTGGACCAGACAATACAGTGATCCACAACAAGAGCATCGATCTACGCAATTGGGATACGATGACATGTGTCAGCCAAGTCGGCTATAAGATAGGCAATTTGTCATGCATTAATTTGGAAGGTCATGATTACATTTATTGTTTCAGTGTTGTACTCTCAGTATGATTTCATTACTTTCAGAATCGGTGTGGGTGCTGTGGGACAATGGCTTCAACAATGTGTATCGTTGTGGTGTAACAGCAGGGTACGATATCCTGCCAACAGACCGCCCCCGACAACTACTTCCGGATCGGCTGATAGATGTCGGTGTGCAGGTCGAGAGAGGTAGTATGCCGTAATTAAATACAATTAAACACCGTTGTGTCGATCTTTAGTGTGCGACGGTTGTCTCGAAGTAGAAACTCCCTGCAAATTCGTTTTAGTCGTGATTTTTCGGATAACATAAGTTATTACTACTCATGTGCCTTCAACCTAGCCATAACGGTGTTTAACTGGCAGTATTGTCTTCACTGCCAACTATTGGATTATAGAAGACTGATATATGCTTATTGTGAAACTTCATGAAATAGTTGTAAATACATATCGACGTTAAAGTGTAGACAAAAAGGTGTTCGTCATTGGAGTTTCTTACTGCACTTTAATAGTAGGATGTTAACTGTGCTGTGTCAAAACGTCAATCGTTTACTACATCAGGTTCTGACTGGTCTCATGAAAATCAAGATGGTGGACCAGGGAACTACGGCGTGGTCATTAGAGTCAGGGGATTGCGTGTGAAGGTAAAGTTATGCTACCACAGTCATCTGTTTGCCTTCAAAAGTAGTTGCATTTGTTGAACTCCATCCTTAAATGAAATATTCTTGTCATGTAAGCGAGACAATATATGTATGGAGTAAAGTGCATTGTTACAGGTACGTTGGAACAATGGGGGGATACACGAGTACAGGTTTGGTGAAGACAACAAGTTTGACGTGTCAGTTCGGTAAGATGTGATTATATAATATTTGTAGTACGAGTGTGCAAAAGACTCAAATCACTCTAAAGTTGGCCGTCAAATCATCTCACTGCGGTTTCACAGTTGTGTTCAGAGTTTTATCATCCAAAACGGTGTTCCACCGGAGATACTGCTTGTGTGAGATCAAACGATATCTCCTAGGATATCATTTTGACAGATCTTGTACAATGCCCTGACAATGCTATGACGTCATGAACTTGATGACGTCACAAGGCTGTGACGTTGCAGCACTGCAAGTCTAATGGCAGAACCGTGATCGAAGAGTGATTTTTGATGATAAATATAATCTCACGCTCGTGTCTTCTGATAGCAAATATATCAACAGCCGTTGATAAAAGTAAAAATATCCTCGGAAATTTGTAATTTATCAACTCGTGATGATATATTTCATATCAAAAGACACTCTGGTGAGATTCTCTATATGTTAAAATATGAGATGTAACATATAAAATGACAGTTGCTAGAAAATATCAAAATGTAATGTCCACAGCAATCTGATGAAAGCAAAAGATCGGAACAGACAAGCACCAACATCAGCGAAGGTTAGCAATCTCAAGCAAAGTACAGGTAGGTTTTAATTACAGAAAACAAAAGTGAGGGTATGCAGAAGTTATTCTGAAAACTGAATGAAGGGACACTGATAGTTCTCTATGTGTTGTTACTAACTGTAAAGCTACATTCTTAGACGAGATAAATATTTATAATAATTTATTTTAATTAATTTAAATATTTATAATAATATTATTAATTTATGATAGATTCACAATTACATCTTCACGGCGTGCAGCCTTTTTACACTACGCTGTATGACGACGGGGAGGTTTTACAACACACAGATCACGAGAGGCAGCGAGAGGAGGAGAGTCGGTATGTGTGGCAGCGTCAAGACAGAACAAAGGGTTGGCAGAACTACACAAAGGAAGAAGATGCAAAGATGAAAAAAGAATACAGGAGGAACAAGACAGGGACATGTTTGTTACAGAGAAATGGACAATGGTATGTAAAGGCAGTAGTTACACACTATAGTAGACAGACATAGACAATTGTATGTAAAGGCAGTAGTTATACACTGTAGTCGACAGACATAGACAATGGTATGTAAAGGCAGTAGTTACACACTATAGTAGACAGACATAGACAATGGTATGTAAAGGCAGTAGTTATACACTGTAGTCGACAGACATAGACAATGGTATGTGAAGGCAGTAGTTCCACACTATAGTAGACAGACATAGACAATGGTATGTAAAGGCAGTAGTTACACACTATAGTAGACAGACATAGACAATGGTATGTAAAGGCAGTAGTTATACACTGTAGTCGACAGACATAGACAATGGTATGTGAAGGCAGTAGTTACACACTATAGTAGACAGACATAGACAATGGTATGTAAAGGCAGTAGTTACACACTATAGTAGACAGACATAGACAATGGTATGTAAATGCAGTCGTTACACACTATAGTAGACAGACATAGACAATGGTATGTAAATGCAGTAGTTACACACTATAGTAGACAGACATAGACAATGGTATGTAAAGGCAGTAGTTATACACTGTAGTCGACAGACATAGACAATGGTATGTGAAGGCAGTAGTTACACACTATAGTAGACAGACATAGACAATGGTATGTAAAGGCAGTAGTTACACACTGTAGTAGACAGACATAGACAATGGTATGTAAAGGCACTAGTCACACACTATAGTAGACAGACATAGACAATGGTATGTAAAGGCAGTAGTCACACACTATAGTAGACAGACATAGACAATGGTATGTAAAAGGCAGTAGTTACACACTATAGTAGACAGACATAGACAATGGTATGTAAAGGCAGTAGTTACACACTATAGTAGACAGACATAGACAATGGTATGTAAAGGCAGTAGTTACACACTATAGTAGACAGACATAGACAATGGTATGTAAAGGCAGTAGTTACACACTATAGTAGACAGACATAGACAATGGTATGTAAAGGCAGTAGTTATACACTGTAGTCGACAGACATAGACAATGGTATGTAAAGGCAGTAGTTACACACTATAGTAGACAGACATAGACAATGGTATGTAAAGGCAGTAGTTACACACTATAGTAGACAGACATAGACAATGGTATGTAAATGCAGTCGTTACACACTATAGTAGACAGACATAGACAATGGTATGTAAAGGCAGTAGTTACACACTATAGTAGACAGACATAGACAATGGTATGTAAAGGCAGTAGTTATACACTGTAGTAGACAGACATAGACAATGGTATGTGAAGGCAGTAGTTACACACTATAGTAGACAGACATAGACAATGGTATGTAAAGGCAGTAGTTACACTATAGTAGACAGACATAGACAATGGTATGTAAAGGCACTAGTTACACACTATAGTAGACAGACATATAGACAGTGGTATGTAAAGGCACTAGTCACACACTATAGTAGACAGACATAGACAATGGTATGTAAATGCAGTAGTTACACACTATAGTAGACAGACATATAGTAAAGACAGACATAGACAATGGTATGTAAAATGCAGACAGTTACACACTATAGTAGACAGACATAGACAATGGTATGTAAAGGCAGTAGTTACACACTATAGTAGACAGACATAGACAATGGTATGTAAAGGCAGTCACACACTATAGTAGACAGACATAGAGTGGTATGTAAACAGTTACACACTGTAGTAGACAGACATAGACAATGGTATGTAAAGGCAGTAGTTAGACACACTATAGTAGACAGACGTAGACAATGGTATGTAAAGGCACTAGTTACACTCTGTAGTAGACAGACATAGACAATGGTATGTAAAGGCAGTAGTTACACACTATAGTAGACAGACATAGACAATGGTATGTAAAGGCAGTAGTTATACACTATAGTAGACAGATATAGACAATGGTATGTAAAGGCAGTAGTTCCACACTATAGTAGACAGACGTAGACAATGGTATGTAAAGGCAGTAGTTACACACTATAGTAGACAGACATAGACAATGGTATGTAAAGGCAGTAGTTATACACTGTAGTAGACAGATATAGACAATGGTATGTAAAGGCAGTAGTTCCACACTATAGTAGACAGACGTAGACAATGGTATGTAAAGGCAGTAGTTACACACTGTAGTAGACAGACATAGACGATGGTATGTCAAGGCACTAGTTGTACTCTTCAGTAGACAGACACTGGAATATGGTATACCAAGAAAGTTGCACAAGTTGTTGTGTTTTAGACCTGCATGAAAGATATATATCAGGTGATTTCATCCATGGCATTTTCAGAAATTCTTTTGTATTTTATATTTTGATATCTTCCTAAAAAAGCCACCCGAACACGTTCGGTTTCGATTTCAGGAGAAAATGGAGGTTAACACATCAATGGTATAAGAAGAAAGTGCACGTAAAACTAATCAGTTTATATTTCATAGTTTCAGAATCTTCTTCAAAAACGAAGTTGAGAGATGCGTCCTGGATGACAGCCTTGTGAGAATACGGAGGATGTTTCATGGCAAGTTACACCTCTAAATGATCATAATGGCAAGGCTTTGTGATCATAACTGTGTGTCAGTCAGGGTCGTCTTTTGCACCGTCACGTTTTAGTACAATGTTTTCCTTCTAATTAGGCCTGCCCTTTGTAACAGCCCAGGACATGTGTGTCCAATTTCATTCTGAGATTATGTTTAACAAACTACGTTTATTTCGTTTAGCCCAAAATATGTTGTCTTGCCATGAAAAAACAAACAAATAAACAAATACATACATTTTTAGTCATAAGATTGCAAGTACTATTGTGCTAACCCACATGTATATTTTTAATAATAGTTTCTAATAACCCGACACGTGTGGCTCATGAATATGTTCATTAACCGTTTTTGTATTCGTTTGTATGTAAACTCCAATAAAGTAAAATAATAAAGTTAATAAAGTATTTTTGCACCATTGACGACACGGACAATCAATAGCGCAATAGTGCATGATATTTGCTGTTTGTCTGAAACAGACACACAATACAAACTGTTTGTCATGATAAAGGCAAGGTAGTGTTAACAAGGTACAACATCACAAGTGGTTACCGCAACGATTAATAGTTACTGACAATGTGTCTCTATTAGTAAATATGTTATAACAAGTTCAGAAGAAACCTCATTTTTGTGTATACTTAACACTGTTTTCTCTCTATTGCAGATTGATGGAGTGCGGTCATGACAAGACTGTGGTATCTGGGATGAAAGGTTTCTGTTTGAACTGGACTGTCGCCCCAGAAAGACTGTGTTTGTGTCAGTCATGGTTTCAAAGTTGATAATAAGCTTTAATAAGATGCCCTTTGAACACCTGAGTGAGTTTCATTCAGCGCCGTTTAAACAGTAATCATTAATACCACGTGACGGGCTGGGGCTGGGAGCTTGGGCTGGGGCTGGGGCTGGAGCTGCGGCTGGGAGCTGGGAGCTGGGGCTGGGGCTGGGGCTGGGGTTGGGGCTGGGTTGGGGCTTGGAGCTGGGGTTGGGGCTGGGGCTGGGGTTGGGGCTAGGGCTGGAAGCTGGGGTTTGGGCTGGGAGCTGGGGCTGGGGTTGGGGCTGGGAGCTGGGAGCTAGGGATAAAAGCTCTAAGTGATAGTAGTCTAAGACATCGTGACAAAGACATCCTAGATACATATATAACCGGGGTTCAAACATAAGATCACAACTTTGCAGCGTGGCCAAGAAATTCTGCCTTTAAGTTAGCTATTTACTACACCCTTGTGACGCTAAAGTAAATGTGTACCGTGAAGAATATAAGAAGTTTTGTATGTTCAGGTAATCATCATAATTTACTTAAATGTATGATCGAAGAGGATATTTTATTCATGATCTTGACATCGTTAGTTGATGATGATGATGATGATGATGATTTTGAGATATCCGACTTGATGGGTATTTCGCACATGGAATCGTCGTCTGGACTTGAATGGCTGAAATATTGCCGAAGCAGAGTGTGGAACAGCATTCTCCCTCCTCCTCGACTTCCACACATAGAAACATACACGCGTGTGTTCAATGTGTTGAAGCATGAATAAACAAGTTATACCAATGTGCGCTTGATAGTCATTTATTATTGTTATGAGACTGGAACTACACTTTGTTTTCCTCATGTAGAGTCATGCTGTTCGTCAATGTTCGACCCTTACATCGTCGCCGACGTACAATTCCGATGGAGATAACAATGAGAATATTTATAACGCGCCTTTTTCAGGCAAGATATCCTGCTCGAAGCGCAACAATCTCATCATGATTCCCCCGGATAACCCAAGCTGCCTGATAGGCGCGAGAAGGTTAATAGTGTTATTTCACCAATTTCTGCTGGGTGAAAAGAGGCAATTTTGAACAAACTGTCAGGAGTTAAGCTGCCAAACACGGTCACCCATCCATGGACTCTCCCCGCCCAACGTTGCTTAACTTCAACTGAATTGTGACCTGAGCGCTATGCACAGGACCTCACGCCACCAGATTAATTTATATCAACCCCCCCTGTCATGAGGTGCAGCAGAAAGCTATGTAAGATCAAAATGGGTGATTATCTTTATTCATGAAGAATGTAGGCCTCTGGCCAATGTTCATACAGGTGGTCAGTCAGCAGATAATGTATATGGCAACACAAATATACAGTATATAATGAATAATAATTTAAGAACAAGTTATTCGGGAGCAATTCGCATAAAAATATACATTGCCAGCTTTCTAACGACATTAACATCCGTTGATGCCAAAAGCATAATATATTTATTACACGTAGGGAATGATATAGATTTAGTAGGTATGTACTTCTCACGCAGTGTTTTATAGAAAAATGGTGTCATGGGAAATTATTTCAAGTAATCAAAAAACATGTATGAAAACGTTTGTGCATATGTATAGGTTGATTCCCACCGTACGGATGTTTTCACTCCGCCATGCGGCGTAAGACAAGGCGGTATGTTAAGCCCTCTGTTATTCATCCTATTCATAAATGAGTTGGTAACAGAATTAGAAAAATAGTAGACAAATGGCATTTTGTAAGCGATGCCATTGGCCTGATAAAGTTATTACTTTTGGCAGATGAGGTTGTCCTGTCATCTGATTCTGTTATAGATCTACAAAGAATTAAATATTTGGAATCTTTCTGTGATAAATGGGGCATGGAAGTAAATTTAGATAAGTAAAAAATCATTGCTTATCGCAATGATGGTTGTTTAAAAAAAATGACAAATGGCATGAAAGTGTGTTTTCCTGTATTTAGTATATTCAGTAAATATTCGGATATGTCACTTAAAACAGCCACTAAAATGTTGGACACTAAAATATTACCGATTCTTTTATATGGTTGTGAAATCTGGGTTATACATATCGAGAATACATTGAGAAATTTGTATTTCAACACAGTTTGTAAGCTGGACCGAGAGGCCTACAATACTGAATAAAGACTACTACTACTACTACTACTACTACTACTACTACTACTACTTATAACGGACACAACCCATTAAAACGTGGTATTCATCTTCGGTGCAGCCTTCACTACACACAGTGCACACCCATTTATCTATAGGAACATTAACATATGTACCTGTTTCTATTTTGAGCCCATGGGAACTGCAACGAAACTGTGCTATGGCCACGCGGAAATTTGCAATTGTTAATTGTTGGAGGTATAATTCAGTTCCAAAGGTACCTTTAAAGAACGTATAATTTCTAGTTTTAGATTAAGATAGTATTCAGTTGTTGCTTGCTGTTTGTTATCTAGCGCCAACAACAATCCGATGCAGGACACACACAGAATAACAATTTTGACATCGGAACATCTGACATCACACTGACCAGTAAATATTAGAGTGAGTGAGTGAGTTTAGTTTTACACCGCTTTTAGCAATATTCCAGCAATATCACGGCAGGGGACACCAGAAATGGGCTTTACACATTGTACCCATGTGGGGAATCGAACCCGGGTCTACGGCATGACGAATGAACGCTTTAACCACTAGGCTACCCCACCGCCCTAGTAAATATCAGAACTGTCGACGCGTAGATGTGGTGACTGGGGAATTAGCTCGGAATTAAGACGAACATAGAAAAATACGTTGATGAAGTGTGCATTGACAAAGACGAAGAATAGGTTGAGTTCAACCTTCTTAATTTGGTGACACAAGACATAGCAAACAAGTATACAAGAATGAGGTGGGTGGATTCCTGCTCAGCCCATTTCTTGACTCTCACTTTTCTGGACTATATAGTTTTTGGGCTTTTTAAATATTTGATCGATGGCTGTCCTGAATTAGTCACTATAACAGAACTATGAAAAACTATCGGAACAATCAATGGTTACATTGTATCGAGAGACGGAACAGATAGTTTCAAAAACAGGATGAAAATGGCTCAAACATCAACATTTTCTTTTGTGTTACATTTATTTTAACTTGATGGGATCCGTAAAGATCCGGGTTAGAATATATCTTTAGTAACCCATGCTTGTCGTAAGATCGTCAGGCTCGCAGACTTGGTTGACACATGTCATCGTAGCCCAATTTCGTAGATCGATGCTCATGATGTTGATCATTGTTTGGTCGTCTGACCCAGACTCGATTATTTACAGGCCACCGCCATATAACAGGAATGTTAAACTAAACTTGATGGTCAGCAAATGAATATGATGAATGGCTGGATAGGTATTTACAAACGACGCCATATTCATTGATGAGATTGGGTATAAAAAGATCACGGCATGAAATGAGATTGACAAACTAAATGTATAAAAATAGAACTGTAGAAAAAAGCAGAGTTAAGTGATTTCATATGGAAATGGGTCACACATGAATCTGGAACGTCGAGGCTGCACTATCCTCTTCTATGAGACTTCACATTTCTAAAACAGAACAAATATTGATCAAAACCGGTGAAATAAACTACCGGGAAAAAGAAAGTTATAACCGACTTCACTGGACCAGAAAATATAAAAATAATCGTATGTGAGATAATGATTAATGATAATTATCTTACAATCAGAAATCATTTTAGAAAATGACATTTATGCTACAATCATGCACGTGTTTTTTCACCAATGTCACACGTTTGGGTTTTTCACATTTTGAAAAAAAATGCACGATTCGTTTTCGGACAGCTTCGTTGTTATCGGGACCACGTGGCGTTTTGGCGTATGTTCTCTGCTTGGTTTCAAACCTGTAACTGCGCTTGTATTTTGTATACAACCACTTTAAAAGTGGTAACTTTCTCTGTAGAATATTTAACTAACACATACATCAGAAACAGCTGATATGTTGCCGGAAGGATCATATCACAACAGTGTACACTAGATAACGTTTGATGTCTTGTTATCAGTGTGAGGTAAACATACAGGAACACTTACCATGTTACTGAAAATATTTTCGTACTCGCACCCATGATTTATCAGCCAATGACCGTTCCTGTAGGGACTTGAAGGACACCCTGAAACTGTAACGAACCCATGTATGTAAGTGTAACGAGAGTCGTGCAACTACAGTTGAAATGAAATCGTTGTCTCCAGATGATGATGCCAAGCATGTCACATACCTCTGTGTATTTCTTTGGACCAGACATGAACCTGTGGAATTTTTACCATACGCCTTCTTCATTTTGGCATCAATGGCTTCTGGATATGGTTCCCAGCCATTCTGTTTGTCCTCCCTCTGCCATACGTAAGGTCTGTCGCCATCTTTGCTTGACAGGGCATTTGCAGTATCTAAGGAATGAAATAATATACTGATGAAAATATAACAATGTTTGTCTTATGCCATAAATAGCTGCTTACCATTACAACTAAATGCTTAAAGTTGTTTCTCAAACAAAAAAGAGCAAAACAAATGTCAACCCAGAGGATGTGTACAAGGGATTTAATAAAAAAGACAAACTAATTTATATTGCACCTTATCTTGCCTCCCACATAAATTGCGTTTTCTGATTGACTGAGCGCTCTTCTATTATTTTCAATGTACCCCGCTTACAAGCGACTAACATTTTCTATGTACCCCGCTGGGAATGAGAAACTCATTTGGAACTTCGTAGTAATAATTCTTTATCTCGAATAACATTGAATCACGTATGATGTACGGAAATTACCGATGTTTTGCGAATGCAAATCGATAGAAGGGAGATAACTCTAAATTTGCTATTCTTGTCGTCTCGTCGTCTGGTATTCCATACTATGATCCGATACCCGTGCTTCAAACAGTTCCAAATTACCATTGAGGTGTTCAGTAAGATAAATACGTTGTTCACTGGTCCCTCGGGGCTCACGGGTTGATGTACCTTCGATGTTTCTTTGTGTTCCCCTCGCCCTTTGAGAGTACTCCAGCCCATGTTCCCCTTGAAACCAGTGAACAACTTATAATGTTCATGTCAAAGCCCATAAACATATTTACCTTGACTAGTTCCTATGTGAGGATTTATCTTGGCAGTTGTTTCCAGGATGCACGCAATTGGGTCACTACAAAACAGTTATTCCTTCATGGAAATTACATTTTTTTATAAAACTGGAGTGAAAATGACGTTTGTGATAATACTGGACTGCATAGAAGACTTAATTTCAAAGACATGCCAGTCGGAGTTTGCATGTTTTTCACTTGCTCATCTCCCATGTTTATTTCCACAATAGATCCTGTTTGTTTCCAGGATGCACGCAATTGGGTCAATTCAAAACAGTTATTCCTTCATGGAAATTACATTTTTTATAGAAACTGGAGTGAAAATGACGTTTGTGATAACACTGGACTGCATAGAGGACTTAATTTCAAAGACATGCCAGTCGGAGTTCGCATGTTATTCCCTTGCTCATCTCCCATGTTAATTTCCACAATAGAAGACATCCCTGGGGGAGTTTTAGTATTAACATCTGTAAGTCACCGTGCGGTGTCACATTTCACAACGCGTGAGGCAAACATACCGAATAGCTATGTCCACCATGCCGCACAGTCCATATCTGTAGTCGTTCATTTCACCATTCTGCCATCGAACCTGTAACAATTATTAATTTATTTTTTTATACAATGAGATGCGGATTAAATTCGGCTTTGCTACGCAGGATAATTATCCAAGTGGGTTTAATACAATTGATCCGAAATTATTACTTTGATCTTTCTCAGGGTTCTAAGTAGTATCTATCACCTTGACTTTCCCAGGTGTGAGACGAATGATGGTGCCATAGCTGCCATGTCCACCGTCTTGGTTTCCATACACGCGATGCCATCCAGGGCCTTATAGGATATAAACACAAACATGTCTAAGATGGATGGAGGATGGAATTGTAAATTATTGCAAAGTTGATCGAGGTTCCTAATGTAGTTGGGCGGTGGGGTAGCCTAATGACCAAAGCGTTCGCTCGTTACACCGGAGACCCGTGTTCCATTCCCCACATGGGTACAATGTGTGAAGCCCATTTCTGGTGTCCCCGGCGTGATGTTGCTGGAATATTGCTAAAAGCGGCGTAAAACCAAACTCCTAATGTAGCTGTTCATTCTCATGTACTGGTTACATCACATGAAGAGGGTATGAAAATCAATAAGCAAAGTTTCATGCCAAATCTGACCTCTTTCGACCTGTACCCCTACTGCCACTAGGTTACCGCTGAGAACCCGAGGCTGGTCTTCCACCACAGTGACGTCATACTTTCCGTCATGACCATATCTGTAGTAGTTGGAATGACCGTTATCCCAGATCACCCAAACTATACCTGAAGAAAGGCAACACATCTGTTTGAAGTAAGCTTATGTAATGATTCAGAGTAACCTCTATATCAGCTTCACCTTCGGAAGAAGGTACACCATGACGCGAACATAGACATCTCAAAACTACTGATTTCCTTGTTTAAAATGTTATTGATGTGATATTGATCATCCCTACCACCAATCCAAAATATATTCTTGTTGCAGTAGATATGAAAAGCCATACTAATCTGAACCGCAGATATAAACATTGTGATATAATATATAAAACATTATTAAATCCTGAAACTAATATATTATTTTCACCTAGTTTGGCGTGGTTGTAGATAGTGCCTGGTCCTTCTGTATCCTGATTGCCCCACTCCCAGTCCGGGCCTCTGACCACCCTTGTCCCCAGGGGAGGTAGACCTGGTTCTTCGTTGATGTCATTCGAGATTGACGTCAGATATGACTCTATTACCTTGTAAATCTCCATCTGAAACAGACCATATAATGAAGTATTTATCATGAAATGGAAGACTTACCATATTCCAATCCTCAATATTAAGAAATCTCCAGTGAAAATGGACGTCCATTGACCTGATATCCAATGACCTGATGTCCGACAAAGTCATAAGTGGGAGTTTATGAATCAAGATCAACTATTCAAGTTGTTCGCGAAAAGGTGAACGTCTCAAAGACCCCACTGGCACCCGTCACAAACGCATGGAAAGGTACGCAAATCATCCACCTAAAAATACACATTCCATGCATATGAATGTGACACTGACCGTACTGGCCCTGTCGATGTCGGGTCCAAGATTCGAGAACAAAGACCGCAATCCTGCCACAAATATGTCCGTCTCATTCCCTTTACGGCTGACGTATTCGATGGCTTGAGCGGCAACTTTCTGAAAGTAAGAACAAAATCAAATCATTATTACACACACATCTTTACACCACAACACAAAACAGAAAGGACATTTAAACATTGTTCAATTTCGCTTGTATGATGTTTGTTTCACATCATGGATACTATTATATAACAAAATCAAATCATTATTACACACACATCTTTACACCACAACACAAAACAGAAAGGACATTTAAACATTGTTCAATTTCGCTTGTATGATGTTTGTTTCACATCATGGATACTATTATATAACAAAATCAAATCATTATTACACACACATCTTTACACCACAACACAAAACAGAAAGGACATTTCATTTAAACATTGTTCAATTTCGCTTGTATGATGTTTGTTTCACATCATGGATACTATTATATAACAAAATCAAATCATTATTACACACACATCTTTACACCGCAACACAAAACAGAAAGGACATTTAAACATTGTTCAATTTCGCTTGTATGATGTTTGTTTCACATCATGGATACTATTATATAACAAAATCAAATCATTATTACACACACATCTTTACACCACAACACAAAACAGAAAGGACATTTAAACATTGTTCAATTTCGCTTGTATGATGTTTGTTTCACATCAAGGATGCTATTATATAACAAAGCTGAAATAGAGACGGGCTTTTTGCCTTATATATTTAGAGATAAAGTCAATATCGGAAACAGACAAAGGACAATTGCTTACGCGCAAGTAATGAAACTTTGACAGCTGGACAAAGGACCCAGCATCTGTCACTTTGCCATCACATGCTAATGCCAGGGTTTCAATGCATTTCTAGAAAAGGAATCAAACGGACTACATAAGTCAATGAACATTATTATATGGCAGCTGTAATTTATCTCTCGATTAAGTCATAATAGCCTATTTGCGTATTGCTGGATTTGAAGTATCAACGGTGGATAAAAGTTGGATTATGAATTTCGACAGGATATATCAGAGACTTTCCAACATGAATATCGATAGGATATATCAGAGACTTTCCAACATAAACATCGATGGATATATCAGAGACTTTCCATTATGAATATCGACAGGATATATCAGAGACTTTCCATTATGAATATTGACAGGATATATCAGAGACTTTCCATTATGAAACTCGACAGGATATATCAGAGACTATCTATTGTGAATATCGACAGGATATATCAGAGACTTTCCATTATGAATATCGACTGGATATATCAGAGACTATCTATTGTGAATATCGACTGGATATATCAGAGACTTTCTATTATGAATATCGACAGGATATATCAGAGACTCTCTATTATTAATATCGACAGGATATATCAGAGACTATCCATTATGAATATCGACTGGATATATCAGAAACTTTCCAACATGAATCTCGACAGGATATATCAGAGACTTTCTTTTGTGAATATCGACAGGATATATCAGAAACTTTCCAAACGAATCTCGACAGGATATATCAGAGACCTTCCAACATGAATCTCGACAGGATATATCAGAGACTTTCCATTATGAATATCGACTGGATATATCAGAAACTTTCCAACATGAATCTCGACTGGATATATCAGAGACTTTCTTTTGTGAATATCGACTGGATATATCAGAGACTTTCCAAACGAATCTCGACAGGATATATCAGAGACCTTCCAAAATGATATCGACTGTATATATCAGAGCCTCTCCATTATGAATATCGACAGGATATATCAGAGCCTTTCCATTATGAATATCGACAGGATATATCGGAGACTTTCCAACATGAATATCGACAGGATATATCAGAGACTTTCCAACATGAATATCGACAGGATATATCAGAGACTTTCCATTATGAATATCGACAGGATATATCAGAGACTTTCCAATATGAATATCGACAGGATATATCAGAGACTATCTATTATGAATATCGACAGGATATATCATAGACTTTCCATTATGAATATCGACAGGATATATCAGAGCCTTTCCAACATGAATATCGACAGGATATATCAGAGACTATCCATTATGAATATCGACAGGATATATCAGAGACTATCCATTATGAATATCGACAGAATATATCTGAAACTTTCCAACATGAATATCGACAGGTTATAGCAGAGAATATCCATTATGAATATCGACAGGATATATCAGAGACTTTCCAACATGAATATCGACAGGATATATCAGAGACTTTCCAACATGAATACCGACAGGATATATCGGAGACTATCCATTATGAATATCGACAGGATATATCAGAGACTTTCCAACATGAATATCGACAGGATATATCAGAGACTATCCATTATGAATATCGACAGGATATATCAGAGACTTTCCATTATGAATATCGACAGGATATATCAGAGACTATCTATTGTGAATATCGACAGGATATATCAGAGACTTTCCATTATGAATATCGACAGGATATATCAGAGACTATCTATTGTGAATATCGACAGGATATATCAGAGACTTTCCAACATGATATCGACTGGATATATCAGAGACTTTCCATTATGAATATCGACAGGATATATCGGAGACTTTCCAACATGAATATCGACAGGATATATCAGAGACTTTCCATTATGAATATCGACAGGATATATCGGAGACTTTCCAACATGAATATCGACAGGATATATCAGAGACTATCTATTGTGAATATCAACAGGATATATCGGAGACTTTCCAACATGAATATCGACAGGATATATCAGAGACTCTCTATTATTAATATCGACAGGATATGTCAGAGACTATCCATTATGAATATCGACAGGATATATCGGAGACTTTCCAACATGAATCTCGACTGGATATATCAGAGACTATCTATTATGAATATCGACAGGATATATCAGAGACTTTCCATTATGAATATCGACTGGATATATCGGAGACTTTCAAACATGAATATCGACAGGATATATCAAAGACTATCCATTATGAATATCAACAGGATATATCGGAGACTATCCATTATGAATATCGACAGGATATATCAGAGACTATCCATTATGAATATCGACAGGATATATCAGAGACTTTACAACATGAATATCGACAGGTTATATCATAGACTATCCATTATGAATATCCACAGGATATATCGGAGACTTTCCAACATGAATATCGACAGGACATATCAGAGACTATCTATTGTGAATATCGACAGGATATATCAGAGACTATCTATTGTGAATATCGACAGGATATATCAGAGACTATCTATTATGAGTATCGACAGGATATATCAGAGACTATCTATTATGAATATCGACAGGATATATCAGAGATTATCTATTATGAATCTCGACTGGATATATCAGAGACTCTCTATTATGAATATCGACTGGATATATCAGAGACTTTCCATTATGAATATCGACTGGATATATCAGAGACTATCTATTATGAATATCGACTGGATATATCAGAGACTATCTATTATGAATATCGACTGGATATATCAGAGACTTTCCATTATGAATATCGACAGGATATATCAGAGACTTTCCAACATGAACATCGACTGGATATATCAGAGACTTTCCAACATGAATCTCGACTGGATATATTAGAGACTTTCCATTATGAATATCGACTATATCATACGGATATGGACATAATACAAGTAAACAAATGTAGAGTTGATCATGGAACCAAACATTTACCCTATCACAGGACTGTCCTACTGAAACCAACATTTACCCAATCACAGGACTGCCCTACTGGAACAAAAATGATTTCATCAGGTAGATCGTCACTTGGCTGTCTACTTCTGACCTCTCGGAACGCCCATATAATCCTATTTTGGTCCTGTGGAATGGAAAACGTGAAGCTTATTCATAGATGCCTACATGAAGTTTACAATGTAATCGGGCCGGTGGGGTAGCTTAGTGGTTAAAGCGTTCACTCGTCACGCTGAAGGCTGAGGTTCGATTCCCACATGGGTACAATTTGTGAAGCCCATTTCTGGTGTCCCCCGCTGTGATATTGCTGACATATTGCTAAAATTGGCGTAAAACCATACTCAGTCAGTCAGTTACAATGTAATCAGAACATATACGGCTGTGCTTCACCTATTTGATTATCCCATTACGTATTGCTTTCCTTTATGGATTAGAGATTACACCAATAAAACTATGCCATTTCTGAGGAAAGGACTGTGACAGTTTGGAAACGTTGGTTTAGCACCTGCACACTGATCCACTGGGTGTCCCCGGCAGTTTCAGGCAACTCAGCTGTGGGCTGGCCGTCGGTCAGGAATATCATTCGTGGTCGAAGCTCCATTCGATTGTTGACTCTGAAGATGCCACCTTTCACAACACGAAACCGTTTCAAAGGAATATTGCATTTACCTACACCCTTCTTAAACGGGAGACAGTGACATACGGCGATATATATCAATTATGTTCATATTCCGAAGTTTGGTGACATGTATTTATATTATTAAGAGTGTGAGTGAGTTTGGGAGAAGTGGTGCACTCGTGCCTAATCCCGTTGTCTTTTGGACAATAAAATGTGTTTAAACCAGTGAATTTGGGTTTTACGCCCGAATAGGAAATAATACAGATATTACTATATATCTGTAACACCTTCCTTACACAATCGAGTCTTAGCTAAACAAAGCCCACATTAATACCTCAGTCGGGACACAATTGTACACCATAACCTAGGTAGCATATGTAACCTGCCAGGCTGCACTAGTCAGCTGTTACGCCAAACTAACTCATGCCACAGAATCATCACGGAGGTTCGGCCGTTCCAATTAAACGGTGCATTTAGTGCCAAAGACACAGGTGAAATAAGAACACAGGTCAAGTAACATACCTTTTGCAAGTGCTGCCATGGAGACAACCAGGCCTTCATGTATCGGTGAGGGACCTCTTGGTGTTACTTTCTCTAGGAACACAATGCAGACAAATCAGATGACGTTCCAATCCCATATACCCGTGAAGGTCCGGGTTGGAATGTGCTTTCAGTGACCCATGCTTGCCATAAGAGGCGACTAACGGGATCGGATGGTCAGGCTCGATGACGTGGTTCACACATGTCATCGGTTCCTAATTGCGCAGATCGATGTTCCTGCTGTTGATTACTGGATTGTCTGGTCCAGACTCCATTATTTACAGACCGCCGCCATATAGTTGGGATATTGCTGAGTGCGGCGTAAAACTAAACTCACTCACTCACTCCAGTCCCATACAGTTCATGTCAGTCTTTAACGAGGTTCGTGAAGAATACATTAAAACATAAACATGTTCAAGTCTAACATATATAATATTTATAGATTAGCAGCTCAAATGACGGTAATATATGCGGCAAGATGCATAAAAGGAGATACCTAAAGCGTCTCGGAGGCTTCCATAGTCATTGGATAAGTGATGGATCACTTTGGCTCGACCCCCGAAGGTGACGAGGGCAATATTCTCTTCAACATCATGTTGTTCTGCAATGTCCTCGATTCCTGTAAATATGAAACAAAACATTTGTGACCATAACATTGTAGCCCTGTAATGCCTGTAGTTCCAGCGAAGCAATTTGATACAGATTTAAAGCAGTAAGAAATACAGTTGAAAACACAATAAGCATCACGCCCTCTACAACTTTGTCTACCTTGTGAAAATACCTCTGTAGTAGACGTAACACAGACATCAGTTTTACGTTATATTGTAAAAGATATTGATACCTCACAGTTTGTCATTATTGACATCATCGTGGCCCTGTCATCTTCTTGATAAGGTTTCCAATATGGAGCGCACGCCTTCTGACATGATATACAACAAAACAATGGTCCGCTTTAAGCTATTACATGCACAAAATAAAATATATTTTTAAGATATTACCATTTATAAAATCAAGAGTAATTTTCTTCATTTCTTGAAAGGCTTCTCCTCGCATGCTTCCAGACGTGTCCAAGCATATAATAGTATCGAGGGCCAGATCATGTCTTGGAGCAGGACATTCCTCTGAAACAATTAGCCCTTCAATGTATTCAGGTATAACGGGTTGTACTATAAATGAAGCAGAGTGAAGCTTTGTGTGCAGTGAATACATACATGCGTTATACAGATAATAATATGTTTACCTTAGTACACTGACAAACCTGTATAATGTAAACAGCAAACGTTTCTTCTCCAATAGACGTATCATGTGAACGACAATACGACACACACACACACACACACACACACACACACACACACACACACACACACACACACACACACACACACACACACACACACACACACACACACACACACACACACACACACACACACACACAAAAACACATGACAGTAGCTTGTTCCAGATTAAATCCGTGATTCATAGCAAATAAAACTGACAAAACACAAAATCCAATTCCACCTGACCAGCACGACTTACCTTCTAACAATGCTTCTTCAGCACTTTTCCATATTCTGCTCCAGTGCGGGCTGTTTCCAATCGCGCATTCAATCATTAAACGCAAAGCTTGTCCTTTTGTTTCATTTCCTTCGATCTTCTCCTTTTTCGGTTCCCCGCTGACAAGTAATATAACAAGATTGGTCAAACACTGAATAAGGTAATACTTCGTTTGGTTTAGGACTTGCCTGGCATTGAGGTATATAAAGTAATTGTTCTCAATTTCAATCATGAACATGCAAGAAATATACATTATATATAATTACAACTGTAGATGCCTACGCTACGAGGAAACTGATGTAGTTCGTGGATGATATATGATGGTACATTCCAGTAAATCCTTACCATGTGTCAGGTGTTGATGTGTATGGGGGCTGGATATTTACTGCATCTGACTGCATATCAGAATAAGCATCCTGTCGTGACGGCATGTAATTATAGCTATACAGCATGTCCTCGAGAAAATTCATTGCTTCATCAGAGGCAGCTGCAACCCCCCTCCTCGGTTCCTGGCTTGCTTGTTGTTCTTTGTTAAGTGATCTGCATTGTGCAATGGAAGCGTGTCCACGTACTGCCTGGCTTCTGTTTTCAGTGGTCTGGTACGATTTCTTGTAGGAGTATGGCTTTTCGTATGTTGGCTTCCTGACGGGATATATGCCATCTACTTTTCCTGGAAATTCTTTGTTCTCTGTGCTTCTCACCCGTGAGTCACTATTTTGATTATAAACATTAGTGTCATTTCTGAGATCGGGAAACTTTCGTTTTTGTTGAAGAACAGGTCTTTCTCCAGTTGGTCTACTTTGCCTATACCCCAACTCGTCATGCTCATCCTCAGTGTGGTTTGAGGCTGCAGTGTCCGATTCATTTGGCAATACCATCTTCTCATTGACTGCCACATCATCACTGAGGTCCTGGTTTGATTCTCCTTGTCTTTCTTCTGTTTCCTCTTTACTCCCAACACTTACTTCACCCAATTCCCTAGCCACCGAATCCTCACCCTGTCGCCTTTCCTCATCGTTCTGCTCCTTCCCATCATCGCCATCATGGCCCTCCTCCTCCTCCTCCTCCTCCTCCTCCTCCTCATCATCATCATCATCATCACCATCATCATCATCATCACCGCTAAGTATTTCTATTACTGGACGGTATGCTGTTCCTTTAGTCGAATTAAGCGACGAAGCATCTTCAGATGGGTCCAAATCAAAGTCAATAAGATTTCTGACTGGTTTATGTTCAATATTCTCCTCTGAGGCTGAAGGTTCAGGAGCTTGTCTTCTGCCGTTTGGGAAGGCCTGTGAGATTTTCATAAGTGAAGCACGTATATTTTCATATTGCTGATCCTGATCGTTGAACTGTGACTCCATGGTCTGTCTTTGTTTGAACAGTTCGTCTTCAATACTGGTGAATCTCCTTTCTATTCTGGAATGTATGGCGTTCGAAGTAACATCATCTTCTGAAGAATACCTGTTCGTGTACGTGAACGAAAATACTGATTAGTGAGGGGGAATGTGGATACACATGGTAAAGTGCTTATATAAATGTGGAGTTTTCATAAATGTGTATTCCCTATTGAGTATTGTTGTACAGTTATGACATTGTTTGGACTGATATATTTAAATGTATATGCCTCGTTCTTATGAATAAAAACATAAACACCGTTATTTGTTATGACAGAATGATTCATGAGCCTGACTATGAGCCTTGTTCTGTAAACAGTGTAATACCTCTGTTCGTTTGTGATAAACTACTTCCAGCCTCAGCACTTTGGGATTTCCTTTGACGTTACACTGGCACGACGTGGAGGCGGCGTTCCCCAACTCACCAACTCAGTTTTACTATTACATATCATATCACTTACCGCGCTGAGTTCAGCCTTCTTTGCGTTGAATCATCATTATAAGCCCTGTGAAAATACCGGCACCAAAGGCCGGTTTCCATTGAAACACTTTTTGATTTATGTATACCAATGTGCAATCCCTTTAAATCCTGTAATCCAGTCGCCTTCAGAACGAATTCTTTCACGATTATGAAAACCTTGAACTTCTCACGCAAGAGCATGTTCCTGTCTGAACCCACACAGTGCTGGAACGTCAGAACAAGTGGGGCGTATTCCACGTGGGTCAGCTGAACCTGGTGTGCCGTGAGCATCTTTCTGGTGAAGTCATGTAACGCTGGGTGATCCTTGAGGAGGTTGTTAACATGGTCGGGGGTTATGACTGTTGACTTGTGGTCACCATTTGCTTCCGACACTGTAATACTGGACATCTCATTCCCAATATCGGTGTCGTCCCAGTGCAAGTGAAAGAGCTGCATGGATTCTGAAACATTATACAATATTACAGAGTGCATAGTTTGTGTAAGCACATGTTCGTCACCAGCTGTAGTTCAGTGTTTGTAGTATACAACAGATGACAGACATATAAAGAACTATATGGGGAGGGCATTGGACGTGTCATTAAATGTATTTCCTTAAATCCCAAAGTGAGATGAACGTATATACATTGACCATAAATAAAGAAAAATAATCTGGTGAACATTTATCATTTCCTACACCCTTACAATACACAAAGCACAATTTCAATGCCACTGCTTTTGTGAAGTTGAATGTCATTAGATATGTGCTAGTATAGCAGTAACTACTGTAAGTGGCATTTTAGAGTTGGCATGGTGAAGAAACAACTGTTCTGTGGATTGACAACTTTGTGGATTATATGGATTGATCAATTCCAAAATGATGTCATTAATGCATATAACTTGTTCCTCTTTAGCAGTAATTAATATTGGCATTGTTGTTTATATACATTGTAGCAAAATGAGTGAGTGAGTGAGTTTAGTTCTACGCCGCACTCAGCAATATTCCAGTTATATGGCGGCGGTCTGTAAACGATCGAGTATGCGATCAACAGCATGAGCATCAATCTACTCAATTGGGATACGATGACATGTGTCAAGCAAGTCAGCAGGCCTGACCACCCGATCCCGTTAGTCGCCTCTTACGACAAACATGGGTTACTGAAGAACAGTTCTAACCCGGATCTTCACGGGTTTGTAGCAACATGACTGGTGTGTCCCCTACCGTTGTGTTGTATGTCAACATCATTGTTTGTGCATATGTCAACGACTGCACAGCAGTTCCTGTTTCCTAAACAGGCATTGTCTGGCCCAAAGTGACGGAAATGTACCGCGGATACAATACCACTCGGTTCCTCCATGCCCGTTAACTCTGTAACAAAATCCGGGTAATAAGCAGAGCAGATATACAAGTGATTAACAAGTGCTGTCATACATTGAGATTTTTAAATGATAACAAAATATTAATGCTATGACGTACACAGAAACAGAACATTAATAGGACTCAAACAGAACATCGACTGCCACAGAACACCATTTTCAAATAAATTCACCATTCACCAGTGAAATAGGTACATATATTTTTTTCCTGTCATTATGTCAACCAAAGTAACAGCTGAGATAAAGATACCTTGATTCGTACAATTGTGTTGTATTCGGGTTTAGTCTGGCTGGAGTTATGGGCCTTTATGAGTCATGGGATTTCGATCGCGCATATTCACGCTCGCGATGTCAGTCACTGGATTGTCTGGTTCGGACTCGATTTAGTTACAGTCCGCCGTCGTACCTCCTGAATATTGCTACTGAGTTAAACAGCAAACGAACGAATAATTTAACGAGTACTTTAATAAGTGAAGAAAAACGAAGCCATCACTATATCACAAGGGGCGTTTAGACGATGTTTATCCGGCATAGTATTCAGACACATAACTAACATATGTATACAGCAAGTTACTTATGTACAGTACCTACCGTCAGTCCTGTAGCCAAGGGCCAGAAGGTACTTCTACTTTCCCTATCACGGCTTTTCCATGGGGACTATTTATAGACGTGAAGTGTGTTGTCCTGGTCAGGTTAAAGGATAACTTCCTTGTTTTACAATGTTCGCCTACCAACGAAGTAATTAGTTACATAGAAATCGCTCATACAATTCAGCATACACAGATACATATTTAAGAACTCGGTTTTTGTGCAGGTAACAGTTCCTGTGTTTGTATTCCATTGCATGCCTGCTCAGCGTGTGATCAAGGACACAATTCCATGTCATAATGTTTCTTACTTTAGAGATAACTAAACTGTGCACCCGGGGCTCAGCGACCTGGATATCAGCTTGCAGAAAGCATGGCTCAAACAGCAGTGTGGGTCAATAAATTCAAACTAAACACACGGGAACAATAGCCACCACGATATCTGCTCAGTATTCAATTATTATACGTCAAGCAATAAAAGATAGCGAATGGGCACTGCATGTAACATCTCAAACAATAACAGAACCTATGCTATTTAACACACATTACTTCTGCAAATTTGTTGCGTTTGAACCATTAATATTAAACCCAGAGTTATAACAAAGATGACGTTATACTTAATTAGGTTTGCCTAAGAAGGGTTCATGTGTATCACGCTGTCCTATGTAGCAGGAGCAAAATCAACACCATCATAGGGAAGTATAACATGCTGAACACGGCCACCGTGGCGCTATATATAGCCTCACTGGAAAGGCCAGTTTAACATGGCGACTTGAAGTTTACACCAAACAACGGGTGTATAAATGAACGACTGACGCTGAACTACAGAAGGTAATGCCACATAAACACACCTTCACATTGTATGCTCATCGTAATTTTGTATACATTTGATACATTTGTATCTTGTTTTCGTGAACCAAACCACAAATCGCATTTGTCACTTTGATACTGCTTTCAGTTTGGGTAATGTCGTTATATTTGTTCATTAGTCACGATATGTGGGGTCTTTACATCGTGTGTCAAAATATGGCACATATGCATGTATATGCAAGTATATGCTACTCTAAGTTGTACTGAAAAACACATTCAATTGGTATTGATATTTCCGTTATCGCTGATATGTAAAGGGAACTAACTCTAGTGAACATCTTGTGTTCAGAACGATATCAATGTTCATTGCACAGCTACTCACAGCGCCGTGTAGAGTTATATGAAATACACGGAAAATGAAAATGGTTTAAGCAAACTATATATTGGCATTACCAGGCCTTCAAAACGGTCGAGACCGCCTCCGTGGTGTAGTTGTTAGAGCGTCCGCACGGAGAACGGTAGGTCGCGGGTTCGATCCCCGACCGCGTCATACCAAAAGACGTTAAAATATGGTACTTGTTGGTGCCTGTCTGGCGCTCGGCATTAATGGGTACAACAAGGACTGGTCGGCTCGGAGTCAGTATAATGTGTCTGAGTGGGGTATTGATGCTTCACTGCGGCATGGTATCTCAGTGGGCTAGCACTATAAAACCAGCTTTAGTCTGGGCTAGTACAAGCAGCCACACATACACACGCATGCACGTCGTCATATGAGCGAAACATTCGTATGTACGACGTTAAACCCCATTTCACCTCACCTCACGTCAAAATGGTCGACCATGACATACTTGTTTTTTTTCTTCTAAAACTCATTTATATAATATATCTAATATTTACGAGACGGATGTGCTGAAACAGACTATGATAAAGGTTGTTATACATTTTACAGGCAATGGCAGACATTCACTTTCGAAAGTACACAGCTGGAAAGCTGGTTCAGTCTAGTGACAATCGACAAGTTGTTGATATCATTTTCAATGAAGATTTAGTCCAACGAACTGAACGTGGAGAAAACCCCAAAGGTAACTATCCAGATCGGCGTTCTGTATAGGTATATATGCTTTAGGGTTTATGATATGGATCAATAAGATTAAATCAAAGTAGATAAAGGGATGTATTTGTAAGTAAAATGTTCCCTTAATAAAACCTTAGTGCTGCTTGAAAATAGACCACATCAACATCTGATCTTTGAAAATAATCAAATAAAGAAACCATTCTATATAGGAATCCAAACAGATCTAAGAATATCTATCTTATAGTCCAGTAGCAGTTAACGTAATGGTGAAAGGTTTCGAATTTTTATGAAAATATAAACATGTAAGAATGCATTATGTATTTCAGAACGGGAAACCCTTTTGTGGGTCAACTGGGGAACTGACGACCATGGTAAAAGTGTTTTCTCCGCTATTACGCTCTCAACACAGGATCCTGATGACGGGGCGGACACTGTAGGCAGAATCACGCACATCTTGAAATCAACGAATGGAACCATGTCTCATTTCGTGACGAACATGTTGAAGGTGTTTCGGGCAAGAGTGCAGTCAGTGACTTTGTGTCCAGTCACCTTCGTCATGAGACATGCCAGACGTGAAGATTTTAAGTCTATGTTAAATAATGGCTTACAACTGAGGCGTGTGTTCAGGGAACTGATGTCAGAGCTACATGCCCCAGGAAAACTGGATATCAAAATCAAATTACTGTCGCATTCGCCAAATCCACCAACGCACGAGGAATGTGAATCTCACAAATCATCGTTACAGAGGCTCAGGTTAGTCTGCATTATTCCTTTGAAGTTTTAGTAATCGAGTTTGGTTCAATGCTGCTTTCGGTAGTATTTCGGTTTTTTCCTTTTCGTTTGTTAACTGATTACCACGGCACTCAACAATATCCTCAGCTATATGACAGCAGTCTGTAAATAATCGAGACTGGACCAGATAATTCAGTGATTGACATCATGAGCACATATCTATAATTATGCATTTGGGTTACGATGAAATGCATCAACCAAGTCATCTAGCCTGATCACCCGATCCCGTTAAACACATTATCAAGAGAATCTTAAATCCGAGCCCAGGATCATAGGTTTCTGGCAGGTATGCAACCACCAAATTGTGGCGCCATTGACTAACCGGTACTTCACCCACCACCACGATCCCCAAACACTCCCACGTCCCGCGACCCACGCCCTTTTCAGTATTTGAAATGTGTAAGTACTTGTAGAAATGAATGCCATCAAACCTAACAGCTTTAATATGTTCTGTGTCATTTGTTATAGCTCCACCGAGACAGTAACTCATGAAATGACTGATCCTGGCAACCTCTTGATTGAGGAGAGATTCAGCCGTATCGATGAAGAAGTTGCCAAGCAAAAACAGTTCTTGGAAAAGAATATAAAACAACAGAAACAACAAAGCGAAGCTTGTCGAGAAATTCTGTCAAGAATTAACTTACAGCTTCATCCGCAAACAAAGGAAGGATTGCTTGTGTCTATTGACGACGACAGACATGAAGCAGATGGAGACACTATTGGTCACCTAAACCAGTCTACTATTCCCACATCAGCAACGGACATACAATTAGATACTGTGGGAAAATCCCAAACAGTATCTGAATCAGGTAAGCCTGTAACGGATACCCTTGGATCGACATCTACAACTACAAGTACTGATGGATTACGACAGCATCTGATTGAAGGCAAAGACATTGAGGTAGATGCAGTTGAAGAAGATAGGTCGATACCACTTGAACATGAAACAGTTAAATCTGGGTCTGGAAGTTCAAATGTCGCAAAGGGTGATAAGGAGAAGCAAACTAATGAAAAGGTTAAGCTTGCCTCGAAAACAAAGGAGAACTCGAAATATGACTCTCCTGTTGTGGAGGACATTGTAAAGGAGCTCAAGGGAAAGGACAGCATTACTACCAGTACAAATGAGATGCCAGGCAATCGGTCTGTAGGAATAAACAAGATAACAGCTCACGTTGGAAATACGTCGAAAACGTACAGTCCCATAAGTACTGAGGACGGACCGAAGTCATCAGGTGACGGTGTCTTCAAGAAGCCCCCTCCACCAAGAACTGACGCACTATATCAACAGACGAAACAGAGTTCACAGATTAACGAAACATATGCCACACAGCAGTACTCAAACACTAAAGACTATTATTCTACCTCTTATATCTATCCCAAAGACAATAGCAATACCTATGGTAACAGTGCTGGGAAAGGATCTTACAATCCATCGAGTGACGGAAGTGTAACACAACTGTATCATAGTTCCAGATACTATACAGAGTATAGTCCGAATGACGGGTTTTACGTTACCACCCGAGAGACTGATTACACATTATACACAGCGGCAGGAGAGGAGAAATGGACAAAATTGGTCCGATATAGGAAAGGTACCCCAGAACCAAATATCATGGACAATCTGCCATATAATTTAGTGCCTGTGTCTGCCCAAAGATGCTCTTATGCACTGCCTGGTTCATCGGAAAGTTATAGCGGGATTGAAAAGCTTTTGGTCAGGTGAGGTTTATTTTTCTTTGATTTATTACTGCGCATTGTCTTGTGCACGGCCAAACATTACTGAACAGTATAATATAAAGCAGCTAGAAAGGGGTAAAACGTAAAACATGATAATTCCTGCATGTGTTATATGGGCAAGGCAGAAGTAATAGTAATAGTGAGGTTGGTTTGTACATATATGTTTATATTCAGCTCCGTGCATCTACTTTTATAGGATGGACATTGCAGTTTCAAAGGAAGAAACCCCAAAGGGGCAAAAGGAAAAAAGCCCAGTCTGCACACTAAACTACCTGAGGGAACTTCTGGGTGATGGGGACTCTGTCTGGGAAAGTGCTGAAGAGGCTCTCCAATCAGGTCGGCACTTTACTGAATGCATCTAATCATCATGAAGTTTATCATTCATTTATGCTTCGCAACATCCCTTATCTTACCTCACACATAAATGTCGCTTTCTGATTGGCTGAACGCTCTTTTATTATTTTCAATGTACCCCGCTTACAAGCGAGTAATGTTTCAATGTACCCCGCTGTCAATGGCAACTCATTTGGTACTTCGTGGTAGTAATTCTTTATCTCGAATTACATTGAATCACGTATATGATGTACGGAAATTACCGATGTTTTGCGAATGCAAATCGTTGGAAGGGAGATAACTCTCAATCTGTTTTTCTTGTCAGCAATATCTAACGATGGCTACAAAAAGATGTGTACCCGCGCTTCAATCAATTCAAAATTAAAATTAAGGTGTTCGGTAAAATAAATACGTTGTTCATTGGTCCCTCGGGGCCCATGGGTTGATGTACCCTCGATGTTTGTTTATGTTCCCATGCCCCCCTCGTGACCAGTGAACAACTTATAATATTTTCCATAGCACCAGTATGTCAGCATTAACCACAGCACAGGAAGTTGTCTAACCTCGATGGTCGTTTAACGTTTACAAGTGCGATCATCTTCAAGATTCCGGCATATAATCCTCAAGACCCCACATAAGTGTCAATAACCGAGCACAGAGTCAATATCTGGTGTGACCTCCGCCAACTACAGTAACATTATATGACGCTTGACTGTATCAGACGTTTAATTTGACGTTGAAGTTTTGGAGTTCCAATTGTAGGATTCCATATGAAGGGCTAGTTCCAATACATCAAGACTTTGCTCTATGGGATTGAGATCTGGGCTCCTGGTGGGTCAAGGTGGAGTTGCTACAGCCTCTTGATCTAAGAAATCATCTATGGCACAGCCATAATTTGGTCTAGCATAGTCGTCCATGATGACTGGCCTTGTGTTCACAGGATGATCTCTGACATGTGGCACAACAGTCATGTGAGAGGCACCAGCTCAATATCAAACAGTACTTGCTCCAAGATATTCCTTTGTGCATATGCAGTGGTTATGCTTGGCCAAAAACAAGGTCGGCCATCAGTCATGAACGAAAGAAACGTCCGACCAGTGGACCCTTCTCCATGACCTCAAATTCCAATGACGTCGAGCTCTCCGGAAAACCACGGACGCGTAGCCCTAGCGCCGGTTTGGGGAGATGTTTTCTGACCAATCGTGTGATCCGATAGTCGGCTGACAACCAACTTGTCATTGCCCTCATTGACATGCCAGCATGCCGCATGACAAACACCTGCCACCTTTGAGCAGTTGTCACTTGAGGAGGCTACATTTGTTCTTATCGACAACAAAATCAATTGACTTTCCAATTTATCGAGCTGAGAGATCAGTTTTGGGAAACTTGATATTTGCTTAATAACGGATGCATGTACTACACTTGATGTCCGTCTTTGATCGTTACACGTGAATATCTAAAATCAATGTAAGATGCCCCCGAAGGGTCAAATGAATCATACAAAATGGCAAAGTTATGATAATTATGAATATAAATAACAATGGTTAAAAATAATTAGTGTTGCGATACATTATTCCATGTGTATATTTCACTGTCGATTGTATATAAGCGGTTGTATCTACAAAATTCGGATAAGGATGCGAATTACAAGTGTTTTGATCATGTTCATGACAGAAGTGCTCGTTATGAAAACTAACTCATTGTTTATTGTTTCAGAAACGTGTCCTGTACCGCGAGTACAAAACGCAACGGATACACTTCTTTGTCTGGATGTCTCCAGTAGTACATCACGGGAATCATATCATCAGTTAAAAACAACGGCTCTCAGCTTTATCAGTGGTTTGTTTCTTGATCAGTTTATGTGTGTCCCAGATAAACAGAACGCTGTCTCTGCTGATGGAACAGTACTTAGATATATGGGGGTAGCTTGGTCGTTAAAACGTTTACTCGTTACGCCGAAGGGTCAGGTTCGATTCCCAACATGGGTACTGTGTGAAGTCCATTCTGATGTCGGCCGCTGGTCTTACTGGGTACTGCGGAACAAAAAACCCTCACATTCTACCATCTTCGTTTAGGATGGTAACCACCCCAAACCCCCACAGCCCATAACTCCTATAGCTTCTAACAACAACGTTCATGGTCCAGTGCACTGCTAATCTCCTGCCTGTTACCTATTTCATACAATGGACCAGCCCAAAGACTTAGCAATTGAGAGAATGATTTTAATGAGCAAAACGAAAACTAAGAGTTTGAGAGTATGGTTTTAATGGATGATAACAAAAATACGTTAAGTTCAATAATATTAGACTTGAGGTTTTATTAACTTCAATACAAATTAAATATCAATTTTCATCCATGTACATTGTTCCAGTGCCTCGTATCGTTACAAAGGTTCAACGATATTTAACTTGAGGTTTAAGAGTGAGTGTTTCAGTGTCTATCCAAGTTTGAGCAGGTGGCCCACATGGTCCAGGACCTGGAGAGGTGTTTTCAGTCCACGATCAACCTGCTGGCTGAGGCGACACATGCGTTGCTCAATCTCTCTGTACATCCTCTTTCTGCTTATCACAGCTGCACCAAAGTGCACCACGACTGCACCATTTCCGCGTGTTGTTTTAACTACAGACCCGTGCCGTGTTATATTCGGACACTTGATGTACTCTCCATAGACTTTTAATTTTCCGTTGCTTATTTATGGCAACAATTTAATCAACATACGTACAGTGTCGTGAACTCTTTAAACATGGCGGGCTATGGGATTGTGCATTGTGGAACCATACGTAAGTTGATAAATTTGATGTCATTAGTTAAATAGTGGTCGGAAAATTGAACTGAAATTATGTGTGGAGAGAGGAGAGAAGATTTCACATTTTCACAAATTTTACAAAGATCCATCCTAAACCCACTTCATGAAAATTATCTATGCTACACTGAAATAACATGTAAGTCTATGGAAATTACGTGAAGTGTCCGAATATAACTGGCACTGTAGCCAATATGGGTACTGGGTAGTAGGGGTTTTGGGAGACAAACTTTTCGATAGGTAGTAAGTGTTTACATTTTGTTCCCGGTTAAACTATTGCCATGTTATTGTCGTTTTCAAGAGCATGATGGTACATAACGGAGACATTATGTTTGTTTAGGTGTTGAAGACATAGCAGAAGAACTTGGCGTTGAGGAGAATATAGCCATTGTTACCCTCGGATCCAAAGCTAAAGTTGTGCACCACTTGACCAATGACTATGAGAGTCTCAGAGACGCCATAGGTAAATCCCACTTTCAAAGCTTTATGATAGCTTCATGATAAAATGTGGAACATTTCACTGGCAAAACAACAGTTGAAACAAGAAGATAACACATGGTATTCTAATATTAACCTTTATATGCTACCCCATTAACCTTTATCATCTTTTATGCATGTTTTGATATATTTATCAGGGTTAAACTGAACTCTCTTTCGTATCCCACGGCATGGGTATATCTCAGAGCAAATCGTGATTAGCTGAGTTGTGTGGCTTAGCCGTACCAGGATCCGCTGATCGGGGATATTAATCCGATATTCGACTGAGATGAAGCGTCTTGATATAAAGGAAATATTAGTCAAGGCCAACCTGTATTAATCACCACTCACTTTTGATCCTTTATCCTTTATGATATAGTATATATTTTTTTATATTTCTAGAGGAGATGGAGTGTTGCGCACGTTCTTCAAAAACCTACCTGGAAGGCATTCTCGTTTGTCTTGCAGCTCTTACTAAAGGTACTATTTTCACATGCTCGCATACATCGTATCTTCTATGCCTGTATCGAATCATGGGATGCAGACATGAAACTTATTTGACTGACACCGCCTGTATCCCATGTAGAAATATGTTTATTTTTCTCACTTTCTTCGACCATGCTTATATATACAACGTCTATATACACAACGTGTATATACTTCTGTACTGTCCCCAGTACTGTAGAAGTTCATCATGATGCTCTCTGACACAGGTGGAGTGTGCAACTTCGGGGGATTTCTCCGAGTACCCCCGCGACTCATCGTTGTAACAGATGGACTGACACCAGAAAAAATGGACCAATGTAGGGACTCTCAGGTATGTACCTATGTCATGTGTTCAGGATAAACAGTGATTCTTACGTGCGTTTGGCTTATGTATAATCCTACTTGACAATTATTTACTAAACAACTAATAAACATAATCCCTTGATGTAAATAGGATTGTGTATTTCTGATCTACTGCTTATTGTGTACGTGCAAATGTTACATAAAATGAATAACTTGAAGACGTGGAACATTTGTAATGTGGGTACTCTGGATGCATGACACGAATTTCCTTTCCGAATAAATGTAACTTGTATTTAAAAAGTCATGGCTATTTCTAGGACAAAAGACGCTTGGTACAGGCACTTCAAGAAATGGGGAGCGAATTTGTGAGGAGCAATGTGGTCAGTCCCATTCTCGTTGTCCCTCATGGAAATCCCAACGTGGTGGTAACTGTACGACATTTCTTTGAACTTAATGTTTTCCAAAATCGTCTTATTATAATGCGGTCATCTATAGTGATTTAACAACGCAAGCTTATGATATAAACTACTGGGCAAAGGAAATTATCACTTTTAAAGTAATTGTATAAAAGATCGGGATGATCAAGAGTCACAACAATAGGGCAGCATTTGTAGTCCTAGAAGAACAACACTGGTTATCATCCGTGGAAATCTGATTGTCCAACGATACCAGGATGAAGTGTTGAAACCTTTTGTGGTTCCCTATAATCGACAACAGGCAAGAGGATTCATTTTGCGCGACATTAGCGCCAACGTATTGCTTGGGGACGCGTTCCAGACATGAACCCCCATTGAACATCTCTGATGATCTTTATTGTTCGTACTTTCCAACGAACTGACAGGTGAACAGACTCTCTATAGGATGCCTTTTCTGACTACGTCCTGTTGGCGTGTATGGAATTAATCGCTATTGCGACGTGTCCCCTGAATTATTGATTTTATTATGCACTGTTCGTTTTGTGAATTTTCACCCCTCTTTCGTAATTAATGAATGTAATTGAATTACAATAAAGTCAGTCACGTTTTTGGAAAATGATTTCTGTTTGTAAAAATACGTCTTTGTTTCTATTCGGTAATAATCAGGTAAGTCGATGTAAGGAGAGATTTCGTATGCTTGGTTGTTGTTATACATCTGAACAATTCTGCTATCCGATCTATTTCTGTGGCAGGTGTGGCTGACATCCTAAAGTAACAGGGATCAATGATATGTGTCAACCAAGTCAATGACCCCGCTCCCCGTCACTTTTTACGACAAGTACTTTGCCAAAGGTTCATTTTAACTCGAATCTTCACGTGTTGATATTAAATGATTATTTAAAGGGTTTGGGCGATTGTATGAATATATCTATCCAGGATCATAGGAAGATATCTCGTCAAACTATCTTGTTTCAGGATTACTTAAAGACAATGGTGAGGATCTGCAAAGGAGAAATTGTGTATGACATAAAAAGCGCATGCAGTTATCAAAGAATGCAGGTAATGTTCTCAATGAATGCATAACAAAAAGCATACCCATACGTAGCCATTAGACATATCTCACACATTGCCGTAGACAACACGAACCTCCTAGATAATAATATTATCATGAACCGGAAGTGAGCAATATATGACTTTGGTGAAGTGTGAACACAGATGATGATGTTTGTTGTAGAAATTCTGCGCCCAAATCATCCGATATGTGAAAAGCCAATGCGGACTGAAGACAAGCACTGCAGCGAATGTGGACATCATCCTAGATTGCCTATCTGCAGACTTCTCCGCCACGGAAAAGGTGCACCAAATAATAATCCTTCCTGTCTCACCTACATGATTAATGATAACAGGTGTACGTGCAGATACATACTCCTTATTAAAGACTGACGGAGGGGCAGACCAAATAGATCCGCCTACGATTTAATAAACATTCAGGACAAAAGAGTGGGGTTAGAAGTGCATCTGAATCTGCCAATGTGACGGCTATGATTCCGTGTGTAGCTTGTCCTTGCAGGATTTGTGAAAAATTGTGATTCCTGTGTATGTTTGTATCTTGTAGAACACAATCAGATCTATTGTAAGAGACCAGCTGGATCTGGAGGAGAAGGATGCAGGAGATACAACGCTGTTCAACAACATTCAGGAAAGTACCAGTTGCCATATCCTTCTACAGCTCGGCACAAGAGTCGCCAGAGGCCCTGACTGGAAGTGGGCAAACGAAGACTCCGACTGCCCCGGCACTGTCATTAACCATGGACCTAACCACGGTGTGTAGGTCCCAAACAATATTTTGGCCTTTTGTAAAAAGGGCTTAGATTAAAATGCTGTCACCGCCGAAACCGATCCTGTTTTGCGTCGACAATTACATGGATGGAAAACTAAACGTCAGCGGCATCGCCAGGTGTATCAGATTCTATAGTATCCTGTAATAAATACATGTACAATAGTGCTTACAGTATTTTATTGTATTTCTCTAGGTATGTTGTGGGTGGTGTGGGACAACGCCTTGAGCAACACCTACAGATATGGTTACTATGGCAGCTATGATGTATGGCCGGTGGAGGACCGACCTAGATTGCTTGGTGAAGATGGAGATATTGACATCGGTGTGCAAGTCGAAAGAGGTGATGTGTTATAATCGCTAGGGATGAAATCATGAATGATCTTTATTCACACCAATAACTTCGGAGAGTAAACACAAATGTTAGTTGTTCATTTACCCAAACATATTTACGGAGGTATTATAAAGGAAATTCATTTTTTCACAAAATCCCATATTTACATGATCCTGGTGAGAAATAAGTCTATAGATACAGAAGTAGTCGCAGGCTCGGGTAGCTTATGTCAGGTGATAAACATGCTATGGTCAAACTGTCACGGCTCACATTCTCAGCAATAGCGGTTATACCACCTCGTAATGTCAATATTTTGACTTCGTCATCTGCACAGTCTTCAATACACATGTACTGTTCGGGGCTTAGTGTGTCAAATAGAAATGTTACTTGCATCAGCCAAAGCTGTACGACATACCAGTTGGTGGTTTATTATGTCATCGCACTCTACAGCACACATTAAACACTGCCCAGGTGAGCATTTTTTAAATTGAAATCTCATTTGTAAAATGCATTCACAGCTTCATGTGAACAAAATGTAATAATTATATGCTGGTTCATTATGTTGTTTTCAGGTCCTGACTGGCTAGAAAGCTACTCCGATCAGGATGGGGGGCCAAAGTCGTATGGAACTGTCATACGAAAGAGGGGCGGTCGCGTTATGGTATGTGTATATGTGTGCGTGCAATGTAAGTGTTGCTGTTCATTTTCAGAGTAAAATAGGGTGGTATTGTAAGTGTTGCTGTTCATGTTCAGAGTAAAATAGGGTGGTATTGTAAGTGTTGCTGTACATGTTCAGAGTAAAATAGGGTGGTACAATAAGTGTTGCTGTACATGTTCAGAGTAAAATGGGGTGGTACAATAAGTGTTGCTGTACATGTTCAGAGTAAAATAGGGTGGTATTGTAAGTGTTGCTGTACATGTTCAGAGTAAAATAGGGTGGTACAATAAGTGTTGCTGTACATGTTCAGAGTAAAATAGGGTGGTATTGTAAGTGTTGCTGTACATGTTCAGAGTAAAATAGGGTGGTACAATAAGTGTTGCTGTACATGTTCAGAGTAAAATAGGGTGGTATTGTAAGTGTTGCTGTACATGTTCAGAGTAAAATAGGGTGGTACAGTAAGTGTTGCTGTACATGTTCAGAGTAAAATGGGGTGGTACAATAAGTGTTGCTGTACATGTTCAGAGTAAAATGGGGTGGTATTGTAAGTGTTGTTGTTCATGTTCAGAGTAAAATAGGGTGGTACAGTAAGTGTTGCTGTACATGTTCAGAGTAAAATGGGGTGGTATTGTAAGTGTTGTTGTTCATGTTCAGAGTAAAATAGGGTGGTACAGTAAGTGTTGCTGTACATGTTAGTCGCTAGTTAAACATATGTCTTAAATTCACAGGTGCTTTGGAGAAACGGAGATGTATATGAATATAGATTTGGTGAAAATGGGAAATACGATTTGACAGCGAGGTGAGTATTTTTTACAGTTTAATGCAACATAGTTTGCAACAATGTGGTCTTCCATCCTTATTTATCAATAATTTGTTGTGTTTAGGGACCCAGCAGAACTGCTGATGGATTCACAGCAAAATAACCCGGATGGTGAGAGGTCAGCAGGGAAGCACGAGAAACAATGTAGGTATACATACCGAGAAGCTGTCATCCCAGAAATGTTGCATGCTGATACAGTTAAACAGCTGCATACTTTCAGGTAACCGAGGGGCGGTAGGGGTAGCCTAGCGGTTAAAGCGTTGGCTCGTCACGCTGAGGGCCCGGGTTCAATTCCCCACATGGGTACAATGTGTGAAGCCAATTTCTTGTCTCTCCCGCCGTGATATTGCTGGAATATTTTGCTAAAAGCGGCATAAAACCCAATTCACTCACTCAGGTAACTCCTGACCAACGTTTATACTGATTGATTCGTTTCGCGAAACTCTTTGATAGTAACTACTAATCGCCAAAAGAGAATAGTGGTGGCGAAATTAGGGTAGTGAATACTTAGTAGAGCATCAATGAAGTACCACTCTAAGTGCCACTGAGCATAACCTAGGGACGTGTAATCGTACGAACAATAATATGTAATTATCACAATGGATATGGCATCAGCTACTGTCAACATCCTTGCTCATTTATAGCTAGACTAAGATTAAGGTGTGTGTTTATCACAATATATATAACTATAACTATATTTATAGTTATAGTTATATATATTGTGATAAACAATATAACACGATATCTCCTCGGAGGCATCGTTTTGACAGTAGATTTTGTACAATAAATTTTTATGAGATCAGATTGCTTTGACATGATCAATGTTATGACTCACAATGCCATGACGTCAAAAACCTAATGACATCACAATGCTATGACATCATAAACCTGATGACGTCACAATGCTATGACGGAGTTGCCCTGCAAGTCTAATGGCAGCACCGTGCTCAGAGGTGTACATTTTTCACTGAAACTAATGAAGAGTGATTTTTAATGATAAGTAGAATCTCGCCCTCGAGCAATTTGGAACTGTATCAACTCGTGTTGATATAATTGATATCAGTAGACACTTGGGTGAGATTCTCTACATAATTGACATTGATACTTTATAGACGAAACGAAGCAGCAAATATCGGGTAGCAGGTCCTCGTACACTTGGCAGTGGTTGGATCCTCAAGGTGTTTGGCAGACATATTCACCAGAACAATGTGCCAAACTCTCGCAGACATATTCCAAACGTCCAGATGGGTCATGCTTAGTGCAAAAGAATGGGAAGAGGTAACTACAAGCTTAGATCTGTGACATGCGGTGATAGCATTCAGTTCATGAGCCGGAATTTCAGATTCTTGTGATCTGAGAAAAATGATTAGTTATAAGTGCAAAAATATATTGTTGACATGACACTATAATATACTTACTATTTTCCGACTTACATGTTTGAGATGAATGACTGTGTACAAAATGTGCCGATACCCAAATTAGTGTCATGTTATGTGCAGAATGGGGACACGTGCATGTGATCATTGGAAAAAACATCAATATTTGTCAATGTTTTTCTTGTGTTACCGCTAACGTTATATTCATGGTGATGTTATTGTATAGCTTCAGAGTGTCGTTCAGGAATCAAACGGAGAAATCTGTTGATGATCATACAGTCACACAAGTAAGGCGAACATGGTAAGTGTAATCAGTAGGCGATAATATGATCATATTCATGGTTCAAATAGGTTATTTAGAGTCCCGTTATCATGGCATTTAAATCGACACTGATATAAATACAATATTTTCGTAATCACACACACACACTTGGTTTCCTAACCATTATTTGTACAGATGTAAATCTTCATATACTTCTTTGCGACTTTAACATATTAGCACAGTCGATTTCAGAGACACATATATGTGTCCAGGTGTGACAATCCTTCACTCACAATGTGTCGTGCGTCCTTTCAGATGCACGTGGCCAGCGCTGCAACAAGTCGCTCAGGAAATCGAAGCTTACATGGGACAGTGCTGACGAACGGAAATTAATGATAGACATATGATGCTATGAAACAGTTACCAGTATCTAATAACAACTAATGTATGTATGTATGTATGTATGTATGTATGTATGTATGTGTGTGTGTGTGAGAGTGTGTGTGTGTGAGAGAGTGTGTGTGTGTGTGTGTGTGTGAGAGAGAGAGAGAGAGAGAGAGAGAGAGAGAGAGAGAGAGAGTGTGTGTGTGTGTGTGTGATATCCACTAGCAGGATCACTAATTTGGAATGTCTTCAAAACATGTTTCAGCTTAACAATACCTAAGACATATCTTTTAGCATTAATGAATGTAAATGTCTTCATTGTGGTTTGTCTTCATGGTGGTCTGTTTCTGTGTCTCATGAGCCTTTTACTTCTGTGACGATCCTGTCTCATCTGAGATATTTTCTTCATAACCAGTCATATGTCTGCGACAACTCTTCTGTGTACTACAACTTCTTTATCGAACATACTAGTCATCACAGTTTATTAAAGACAACCTCGTGGTGAAGATGCCGTTACCGGAAAGGTCCTACTAAAAGACAAATGCTTCTGAATAGAGTGCCAGTGTTAAACATGGCATCTCAGTTGTTTCGCTATGTCAGTAAAATAGACCTAACAATGTGTATGCTTATAATTATTGTCCGTGCCAGTCAGGCCCTACTGTATTATATATAACTCCATGAATCGTGTGTACGTTTATCATACGCTGGTTTTAGTTCTCCATATAATTGAATCGTTAACAGTGTATACAAAAGATATATGTGAGACAATAAAATATTTCCTCCACTTTTATTGAGTATCAATTCCATTTGATTCAGTTACTGTAACTGATAAATGCATGTATTTCAGCATTAGAAGTTATTTATGGCTGCAACAGTAATGTTACATAACACTATTATTAGCAAACCAGTTAGGTCGGGTAATGAAATAAACCCACATTGACACAAACAACAGCTTATTTAGAAGTAAACGAATGTATTTCTGATAATGATAATGATATGTATATAAAATACCATTCAGGGCGCTTGTTAATGTAGCTTGTAAAACAGTATTATTCACAGGTGTATATGAACTAAGGAAATGCTATCAAAACTTAAACTGATTGCAACCAATGCTTGTACTTTCTGTAAAGCAAGTGTCGAAACCATAATACACATATTCTATGAATTTGATATTGTCAAAGAGATCTGGAATAGTGTTATTGGATTCAACATAAGACGGGCACTCTTCTTCACTTAGATAAGAAAAAAATAATATTAGGATACTGTGAGAAAAGAAATGATGTGCTCAGTCGCATTATAATTATTACAAAATACAATATTTTCAAATCAAGATTAGCAAACAGACATCCTAATATTTCAAATATTAAAAAAGGTGTAAAAAATTCATATAATTTAGATAATTACAACTCGAAGATAAATTGTAGTGTAGCATCATTTCTACAGTTTTGGTCTTCATGCCATAAGCTTTTTAGCTGAAGATGTTATCTATTTAGTTTATTTCATATTCTCTGTAATTCTGGAAGATCATTATAGAAATTCCAGGAAATGTCTGGAAATAGTGAACTATTCACTGTACGTTAAATTTGTACGAAAAAAGGTGAAATGAAAAAAAACATTAGAAAACAACAGCTTATAGCTGAAGTTCCTTGTTATCAGTGCTGATGGCTAATACGCTTTATGGGGCACGTATACACCCAGCACAACACTGGCGTATGTAGATTGGTATTTAAAACTGATTCAGTGTAGTCCAGTACAATAACACACTTGAGGTGTGGGGTATGTTACTTATGTAGCACCCGGATTAGTCATGGATCACTCTCTCATTGTGTTTCACCGGTATCAACGGGTATGGCATGTCTTCTGACGGTATTATGTCTGGCCCTGTGCCACGTTAAGACTGGGTCACTGCATGGCATAGAGCTGTGTAGATACATTCCCTGCCTCAATGCACACATGTAGAAGTGAATCAAAGCGAGCTCGCTTCATGTAGGGGTGAGTGAGTATAGTTTTGCGCCTGTTTTAGCAAGTTCCAGCAATATCACAGCGGGGACATCAAAAATGGGCTTCACACACTGTCCCCATGTGGGGAATCGAACCTGGATCTTCGGCGTGACGAGCGAACGCCATAACCACTAGACTACCCCACCGCTCCGCTTCATGTAGGAGGCCAGCCCGAAGGCATATAGGTTACAAGTGGTTACCACGTTACCCACGAGTCCAGGTATAGCACTGGCCACACAGACATAACTAGACTAAGGCTTAGTCTCTGAATATATATAATTTTGATAGTAACAAACAAGCCCATTTATATTGAAAAGGAGCCCTAGGGAGACCAGAGATTATTTAGGGCTTTAGCACTGCAGAGAGGGCTTGGCAGTAGGGAAATTAATGTGGTTCAGGGACTGTGAGACAGACTAAGACATAACCTCCATGCCCCGGTTCCCCTTGCCCCCAGCCACATCCTACACATTTAGAAATGACAGTAACGGTGCAGTAGTATGGCTGTACGTGCAATGTAACAATGACTTGACACCAGCATAGTACACCAGCATTGCTCAACCAGGGAAGAATAGAACTAGCTATTCCCGAGGAAAAGCGACTTCGCGTCCTGTTTCGTCATGTGATCTCGGGCCAGGTCACCATGACATTATGTCTTTCCACGAACACGGCTATGATCCCTGGGAATTCCGTATCAGTCGTATCTGTGACCTAGTTTGTCGTGTGCCACTTCATGTCTAAAATTAGCACCTGTCGGAAAATACGCCCAAACAGAAACTACAATGAGACGCTGACATGGCCGTGTGAGTAGGTTCTGTATACTTGGTTTCAATATGTTTTATCATTTATAATGACCCTTGGTAGAATCCAAGAATCATAATAACGTTGGGAAGTAATCACAGTTTTATTATCTGCAGTCTTACCAATATCGCTCATAGCAAAGCCTCACCAAGCATTCATTCGTTACATATCAAATAAAGGGACACAACTCGGGGTGTCTTGTGAGTGCCAAGCAGACATTGCAAATACATGTTTCGCGAACAACTTACCCTGGAGTGGCAAAACTCACACATGAATACGTTTCCTTAACGCACAGAAAACATCAATTATGTAAAGATTTACACATAATTATTTGTGAATCATATTATGATATGAATTAATATGAATGTTTTGTGTGTTTACATGACTGTTTCTCTCAAAGCTACTTAACGCCATTAGTGTGTGAGTGTGTGGTCTTACGCCGCTTTTAGTAATAATGCACCGTTATCACGTCGGGGGTCACCGGAAATGGGTTCACACATTGAGAATCGAGCTCGGGTCTTCGGCGTAACGAACGAACGCGTATAACAATTTCGAGTATTGTGAAGTTTCCATATGTCGACATTTTCTGTTTTTCGATAGGGTATACTCTGAATGATGCCCTCAGTGCAAGCTGAAGTATGGAAGAAAGCAAGGAACCGGACTGTGAGACGGAAGAGCGGGAGACTCAACTGCGGCTGCAACAACTGATGGAGATGAGTGACACTTCTGCTCGTGACACGTGGGATCCCAGCGTGACCGTAGTATTTAGTGAAAGAAAAGGCACCAAACTGATGACCTTAAGTGAAGATTTTCAGGCAGTACAGATTTCCCTGGATGAATTTGGAATGAAACAGATAAGAGATCGAAGAAAGACAACAGGCAATACATACACTATGTACACATATAATTAATTTACTATTTCATGGATTCATGTAAGAAGCTATCTTTAAGAAGATATTTTTTATCATTCCAGTTGTCATAAACAGCTGTTGTGAACATGTCGATACAAAACTGTGAGACTCCTTTCTATTGATGCTATACATTAATATATGAATATATTTTCAGCCGATCAAACTGTCATCACGCTAGCGTGGGAGGAACATCCACAAGATGATGCCTGTACCTACACTGCTGAGATATGTCTTCGCGAAGAACGGGAAGATTCTTTCATCGACGTTATCCTCGGGATGTGTGAAAACAGATTCGCGTCGCTAAGACGACTTGCGGCGACATTATTGAAAGAATGTCAAGTTAAAATAACTCGAGTACAAAGTCAACCATTTGCTCTAGAACTCCTTCATCGCAGTTCTGGCGGTTTTGACAACTTAGCATCTCGTGTTGGTGAGCTGGAAAATATCTTGAAGTGTGCGTTTTCAGAGTCCACAAACACAAATATTTCACTTGATCTTACTCTGCATGTACAGGACCAAGAGCAGGATTTCGTAGCTGAAGATATGGAATTTACCATGACCATATATGGATCGGAGACTGAGAGTGAAGATGTGCCTGTCATGATTGTGCGAGAGGGGGACACAAGGTAAGTACATTATACCTCTTCTTGTATTCAGAATAGATGAGTTTGCTGTTAATATTCATTTATTGATAAATGCTGTTAAAAGTTAACTGCCTGATCACTTCGTCTCCACGTCTTTTTGTGCTTTGTTACTATATGTAGATGATAACTAACGAAAGCTGTTGCATTGATGTTTCTTTAATTCATGATTTACTTTTGTTCAAACAGTTCCAAATCGGGAGGGTCACAGAATCTGGACACTTCACACAACGGTAAGAAATCTTAGAACTTGTACTGAATGTATTATATAACTAACCAGGTAACTGTCTCGCCTGGTAACTGTATTAGTCTTCACATGACAATGACAGGAGGTAATCTACTTTTAGATTCTGAGATTGATGTTCGTTTCGGCTTATTGGAGGAAAATATACATCGTCAAAAGATCGATGTTAGAAAACGGTTTGATGAGCAGAAGGCATTCAACGAGGAGCTAAGGCACTCAGTCGAGCAGCTGGCTCACTCTGTTCATCAGTTGGTCGACAAAACTCACAATGGAAGGAGTGCTGGTATCTCTGATGAAACTAGAGGATGCCAGCATGATACGCTGGTTTCTCTCCATGGCACTACCGGGCACACGGCAGAAACTGGTAATGATAGCATCACGAACTTAGGCTTTGAGCAACAGGAAGTGGACACAGGGTCTGAAGAAGAGCAAATAATGCCCGGTTCGTTTGAAGGAAAGTCAGGGATGGAGCAATCCCAACGGGAGAACTCTTTTACCACCCCATCCACGACGTCGGAAGTGTCTCATAATGATAACTGCTTTTCTGACGATGAAGAACCTGCTAACTATTCCTCCACTGAGGAGATGAAAGATACGTATCCCGAACACCAGTCTGTCTTCAAATCAACGCTGTCCGGGGAGGATGCTAGAAAAGACCATTCACCATCCGTCACTACAAGAAATGAAACTTGCCTAGAACTGGACAGTCGCTCCGAAGATGATCCTCCTGGGTAGGGTGCCTTACATTTTTTCAATGTATTTTCAATCTAACATCATCATCAAAGCATTTACTTTTGCAAAACAACACTGTTGGGTCTTCTGAAAATGTTTTTGTTGTATGTAGGGCACCATATTATGTATGTAATTCGATTATTTTGTGTTTAGCGTTTGTTGTGTTCAGTCTTAATTTTCTGAACGTTTTGTCGATCCAGTTTACCCGTGGAGACTTTGCATTCATCGGTACTAGATGGCAGCACCGGCGGTAGGTAAAATCGTTTTCATTCTAATGACAATTGACATATTCCATGCAGTGTTAGAGATGCATGCCTTTCATGAAGCCGTGATTGAACAATATCACTCCTCAACCACTGGGAATAATCAGTCTCAATCGTCCGACGAAACAGATACCATTTTAGCATGATAGACGAAAATTAGATGAATAGATCACCGAAAATCAGTGACGACACTAGGTGTTCTCTAATAGGGTTGGCATATTCTACTCTACCAGTATAATCCGCCGTTCACAATAAGGCTATTTCATCACCATTACGATCATTAGAATGATATGTAGTTTATCTCATATTCAACAAAGTATGTTACTAATGCTTTAGGAGCTTAAAAAAACCTTATTGCAATTAATTAAAATGTTTTTAAATTCTTAGGTAAGGCACGAAGTTTCCTCAGTCGCTATGGTGTCCAAGGAACTTCAGCTGGGGTTCAGAGATTGGTAGCCACCGTGGAATCTGCAATGAAGGATGGTAGGCATTGAAAGTGCTGCAATAATTTCTTGTTTGATCTAAAAATTATTTGACAAAGTGACAGTTGGTGGTATGTCTCTATAACTAAATTCTCTGTGTTTGGTTTCGGTATATAGATGTTCCTATGCCTCCAACTGCCAGGGGCCTCCATACAATCTTGTGTCTGGACACGTCGAGCACAATGAGCGAGCGAGGAATTAAAAAGATGAAGGAAACCGCATATAGTTTTATAGACGGTGAGTAGCCACAATCTTGCTGAATAAACAGTTCACGCGTGTTTCTAGACTCAAGGCAAGAACTCCACAACAAAGTTTCGCCTTAATATTCTACACGTTATGAAATATTCCTTTACTTAAATCTGTGTGACTTGTGTATGTTCAGGAGTTGAAGATGCTGCTGCTGAGTATGAGATGGAGGAGAACGTTGCCATCGTGTCCTGTGGAGGCCCCGCCCGCATCGTTCATCACCTTAGTAATGACTACTCAAGTCTCAGGGCTGTTATAGGTTAGTCAGTTTCTCTCCTACAAAACAAAAAAACGGGCAATATAAAGAACTGATTTATTCACATGATCATATTAACAAAGAATGAACTAATCTTCCATTCTGATTAGGTCTACAAAGCTCAACGTTTAATGCAATTTCACCTTTCCAGAGAACTTACACATTGGTGGACGCTCTTGGATGTTCGAAACACTTCTAGTCTGCCTTTGTGCCATACTGGGAAGAGGTAGGTTGCTTTCACTTTTCCTTTTACAACACTGGAGTCTTTCTTATGCAATGGTACGGACTGGCGTCCAACGTTAACATTATATGCTAACTCCAACAAACCCTGTTTGTAGATAAACTGAAAGGCAAAAGAAACGTCATGATATTAGAAATGACATTTGAGTATCAATGGAGTATTTGAACCTATTTTTTTTAATATACACCGAAGTCAAGTTTGAGGAAACATGAATCGTGGTCGTATAGCCTGTATTGCCCAATAAAGTATTGTTTGAGATTGAAGTTAGAAATGTTTTTGTGTTTTTGGAGAGGGAAAAGTTCCAACAAACACAACATTGAAATGCATTCAGGAATAAATTGCCGGCTTGAACGGCAACCGTTCACTTGTTTTCTGATCACAGCAGCTATGACTAGGTTAACGAGAGATCAACCACAGCAAGCTATTGGACGTCTGCACGCTGGTCAACATGCTCGAGTCATTGCTAATGACTTCAGTTGCAGCGTACGAACGATAGAACGTCTTAGAATGCGATACAACGCCACCAGCAGCACTGATGACCGTCCACGTAGTGGTCAACCCCGTGTAACTACACGTCGCCAGGACCGTCATATCGTCCATCAACACGTTTAAAAACCTATTCGCAAGGGGCAGAGAAACAGCGTGGGTGACCATAGGAAACCACCAGCGACCAGTCAGTGACCTACCATTCGGCGACGTCTCCAAGCCAGGAACCTGTTTTGTCGATGTCCTGCCAGGAGACCCATATTCACCCAACGTCATCGCCGGGAACGTATCCAAGTGGACACAACAGCGGCAAAACTGTCGTGGGGGACAATGGAGAGGGGTTATCTTCTCTGATGAAAGTCGGTACTGCATTTCAGTGGCGTATTATTTTGAAAAAATAGGTTCAAATGTTCAATTGATACTTAAATGACATTTCCAATATTACGACATTTCTTTTGCCTTTCAGTATATAATAATTCTATATGCAGGTGGTGATCTTGACATAAAGGGTGTTCATCGAGTTCAACCCAGAGTAATCGTCATTACGGATGGAAGTACTGCTGATGAACTTGGAAGTACTGATCACGTTGGGGATATGGAGAGTGTGAGTCTCAGTCCATATTTCAAGGATCCGAGTGGATACATGCGGTAAATTCATGAGGCTATCCAAACCATTTAGTACTTCATTTATGCCTTTTACAAGCAACTGTTTACAACGACATCTTCAAGAAGACTGAACCAAGCACAGGTGTTGTAGGTATTTAAAAACTATTGCTTAGCAGAGATTTGTGAATGCGGGTTTTGTCCCCTTTGTGTATATTTTGGACTCAGTTGATTGAAAACCAAAACGTGATAACAATTAATCTGTCTTGTTGTACAGGAAGAACGTCGGGTTGTCAGACTGATGGAAGAATTCGGTGAAAGGAAAAGTGAGACCGCATTCCCCAATCCGTTTGTGTGGGTTCCTATTGGCAACACAAACAGGGTACAGTTAATATATGTTTGTTTTACCTTTTGAACTAATGCAAATTGTAAACCCAAAGTGACTGTGTTCTTTAATCTGATTGGTTGAAAAACGTGATCAAATGGTATTCGATTCCCGGAAATTCGCTGCGTATTAATACATACAAACATCGCTCACACCATTGTATTGTCACGTCGTCAGCTGTGATGACATCATTCAAATCATATTGTGACGTAAATTCCAAATGACGTCACAAATGAGCAGTTCAAGATGCTACCATGAGAGACAGCCGAAACGGCCGGCTGATGACACTTCACTGCTGTACCCGTACTCAATGTCAGTGAGTGCAGACACAAAAACAGTGTGTGGACCTTTTGGTTTACTTTTGTGTTTACAATGTAAACATATGCCTCAATACTTGTAAATTTGCTTTAATTCCTCACACAAAAAGGGTACCGTAGTAAATCAGTTAAAGATTTGTATCGTCTCATTAATTAGATATTATACGGAATTTTCAGGATTTTCTGGAGACTTTGGGAAGCATGGATAACGGCGTGCTTGTAGAACGTGAAGATGTTGGTGATCTTTGCAAGTATCAGCGTATTCAGGTATTTCTTGCAGTATAATGATATATACTTGTCCAAGAAGCCACCATGTCTTACACCTGTTGGTGAATTGTCCTGCCTCAGTCTATTAACCCACACAAGTTACAAGCCATATCCTGTAAATTTTCAATGTAAGCAATTGGTATTATGAAGATGTACTCATATGTATAACACTCAATACTTACTTGCAGATTCTTATTGGACAATCTTATGCGGTCATCAAGAAAAAGATTATATCTGAGGAGGAAACCGAAGTTGATTCTGATGACATTGTTGCCGTAGTAAACGGAATTGACAAACATTTGGACACTGATGACAAGGTCAGTTTGTCGAATAATTATACAATTGATTACTTTTATCTGAACATGCATTTGAAGGCAATATATCATACACACTTCTCTAAAAAAATATATTTCTCTCAGGAATACTAACTATCAGTCCTCAGGGAAGCTACCATATAATTTATTCCAAAAAGTACGTACGTACATTAAAAAGTTCCAGCATTTGTTTACATTCCATATATGGCAAGTGTTCTCTGGTCGCTTCAAAGTTGCAATTATCGATTTCAAGTCGTAAGGGATATTAAGTCTTTTATTGCGTCAATATGAAGCTAAAGTGAGTGCATATGCCCCAATATATATAATAAAGCCAAACTATTGTCGAAAATGTGTGACATTGTGCCTTTAACAATTGTCTTATGATAGCAGATGTACGTGTCTATACTTTACTTATTTGTTCAGGAAACTGTTGTTACTGCAATTGAAGAAAAGATCGAACAGAGACTTGCCAGTCATGCCTTTTCTACGGAGATTCTTACCCAAAATTTTCGAAACGTGGTGGAATTCAAAGATGAGAGCCTGCCCCGGCTTGGGTCTCGAGTTGTCCGTGGTCCACAGTGGAAATGGGGAAACCAGGACTCACAGGGTCCAGGGACAGTCATCAATCACACTGAAGGAGACGACGATGACAAAAGTGAATCTCTTTCATGAATATAATATCAGAGTAATTTAAGGCAATACAATATTATCCATTCCATTGTTTAGGTTTTGATATTGCATAGTAAAAATTAAAAAAATTACGATTTTGCTCCATTTCATATTTGAAAGTTGTGATAGTATGTATCTTTATTGTAACAGAGCTGCTATGGGTTGCATGGGACAATGGCGAGTGTCAGCAATATCGGTATGGTTATCAGAACGCAAGGGATGTGATCGTAGTGCACGACCAACCAAGGATAACTCCATCGGAACTGGTGATAGAGATCGGCTGTGAGGTGACACGAGGTAAAGAAATACGTTAGGTTTCTCATGAACATGGAACATTACATATGCACGTCCGTATCCTTAAACATGTGACCTGAAAAGAAAGATCATCTTAATATACGTCTTGTGTATGGTGTCATGTCCTGATCGAATATCCCCTATGGTATTTCCATATACAATAAGCGTCAATGTTTACACAGTTTAATCCTTACTCTTTGAAGTTTCACAAGGTGAAAGGCTTTTAATAACACAATAAGCATAATATACACAGTCATACACATCTGTGTCGAGGTCGGACGGACATTAGCAATTGCTTCGAGTGATCCGAAGGATAAAATTTTACTTCGAAACAAGCATGTTTCACATAGTTGTGTTTGAGTGTACCAAGTTATTAGATGCAGGTTCATTAGCATCTGTTTTCACATTGGTAATAGGGACCATCGGTATTGTAGCAATATTGTATTGTTCTGTGACGTTAAGATAAGCTAAGCTTAGTCACGTGTACTACTATGAGCTTGAAACAATTAACACACACAAATGTCTAACCACAGGTTCGGACTGGAAGGACAAATATTTGGACCAGGATGGAGGCAAAGGGGGCATAGGGGTTGTCATCCGCAAAAACAACCGGGGCAAAGTAAAGGTAACAGTGTTGTAAATAGATATAGAGAAGCGTTTTAGCGGTAATTGCAATTGTTGAAATGTATGGGAACATAAGAACTATTTTGGTTTACATTTCTGCCTGTGCACATCTATAAACTTGTATAATAATGAATGAAATAAACTCTTATGTAGGTCCGATGGAATCGAAACGGTCACATCAACGAATACAGATTTGGGAAGGGTGACAAGTTGGATTTGTCTATCAGGTACAAGAAGACCTCCGTATGTTTGAAATGTGTCAATTTCTCAAACAATATTCTCTACCGGTTCACATGTTCATTGATGTAACTGTAAAAGTAAAACTAATGTGTTCACACAAACGACGGATATATTGGACACAAAATACTGTATATGTTTCTGTCTATCTGACCAGAGATCCTGCCGAGTGTTTGATGGAGCTTACTCAGACTGAAATGAATTCCTTTGAAACTGATGCCGCTCCTGGACAAGCGTTACCAGATGACGGTAAATGATGCATTGCCATAACCACTTAAATGTTTAAGGATATTTGCAGATTGATATCTACATAAAACAAATGTTAAATACATGATGTGAATAACTTAATACTTTTTAAAATTACTTTTTGGTGTTTCTGAGAAGCTTTGTCTTAACCATGTTAATGTTTTTTTTAATCTTTCTGATGTAAACGTAAGACTGTTTCATCTCTTATAAACAGCTGCTGCAGAAGCACCAGGTGTAGGACAGTGGGCGTGGCAGTGGGAGGCTGGGTCAGATGAATGGCGGTTGTATGGAGACCGGGAGATGCACAAACTGGAGAAGGAATACCTGAGACGCCCCACAGGATCGTGTGTGATACAGAGAGACAACACAAGGTAATAACAACTTAAGGCTACTTGAGTAGGGTGTATGTATGTTGTGAAAGAACGCTTTAGAATGCAGGTTTGAAAACAAATAATAAGAAACGGGATGAGCAATTTTCAGGATATTGCAGTTATTTGCGAAGATAGATACTTCAAAGATGTATGTGTTGCCAATGTATTTGTTGAAAGCCTTGCACGGTATTATGGCTGGCACTGAGTGTCTTCATCGCCAGAAGAAGAAGAGGTATTACAGATAGTGTGTCTAGTATTGAACACAAGATGTATGTATAATAATAGTATGGTCTAAAAAACATATTTAGGAAAATCATTTCTCGATTTTCTATAAAAAACACACAATTCTTCGTTTATTTGACAGTGTCATTGTTTATAAATATCTTACAGTTTTAGAGTACTCTTCAAGGACTGGCACGAAAAGAGAATTGATGGTACCTCGAAGCGAAGAGTAAGAAGAATACGTGAGTGGATCACAGTTTTTATTATATTCGTTAGATACGCAGAGTGTCAATCGACTCTGAAAAATCCACTTTTATTGCTTTGACAAGGCACAACTAAGAGCTGTAAATGTTCTAAGAGCTGGACGTCTACCCCCCAAAACGGTTGATACATGCATATTTCTACTTGGAAGAATGAAGTATTTTGAGTAATGGTACAAAACTTCAGTCGATGATATTGTACCTCCTTTTGCAGGTGTAAATCAGAAGGACTAGAGATGTGCAAATGTTACGGCTTCACTCCCTGGACTCAAGGATATATTTCAATGTTTCTAGTTCAGTATTTTCATTAAAAATACAAACTTGTGAGATGATGAACATGTCAAAATTTAAATCGACACGATGCCATGAATATAAGCACGAAAACTTTAAGAATTAAAAAGGTTAAGACGATGATCTCTGAAATGATGGTATATTTGGTCTTGACAAAATGGTCATGCTGTCTTGTGAACTGGTACATAAACAGTTAAGAACTCATTAAGATATTTGGCGTTATAATATTGATTCCAAAATCTATTCAGATATAAAGTTTAAATCATGTATTGATATGATAGTTTACCAACGCATGCACTGATGATGTGCAATGTGTATGCCAGACAGGTATACAGGTGTAATTCCCAGGCGAGGTCTGCTTAGTAGTCGTTAGTAATACAGTACGTGAACTACATGAACATTTTACTAAGGTTTTATGATTACGAAGATGACATTTAATTTCGAATCCGTCACTAAAGAAATCAGTAAGGATAAAGAAACTACTTGTTTATTCCATGCTTCTTGAAAGTCATAACACTTGCAAGGCTTGCGTTGTTAGTTATCTTCTAAAACATTTATAAGGGCCATTATGATCAAGGTTCCAATCTCGGTCCCCCTGGTTATATTTCTACACCTGTCTAAACCATGGACCATACCAGTGGGTTTCACCGAAGTTGTAAACCTATGAAACCTTCATAACTTCGGCTGTCCTTCACATCATGTTGTCACTCAGTAATATAAGTGGAATACTGTTTACAACAGCGCTAAACCCCATTCACTCACTAGTTCTTCACTGTCACTATCTTATCATTGGTGTTCTTACATGAAGTATTTCTGGTTCGTTCCTACATGCTAAATGTTTATAGAACTGTCATAGGAAAGCCGGTATTTTTCAATTTATGTATAATTTTAACTTGCATATGCACGTATTATTTTGTTTGGTATGAGAGATGTTCATAGAGAATAAATATTGGCTTACTTCTTGCGTTATATTTGTTCATCGAAGCATGATAGTAAATCACAATGTGGCAGATGGGAGACAGACAGTACACCTGGCAGTAAATCACAGTTTGGCAGACGGGAGACACAGACAGTACACCTGGCAGTAAAGCACAGTGTGGCAGACGGGAGACACAGACAGTACACCTGGCAGTAAAGCACAGTGTGGCAGACGGGAGACACAGACAGTACACCTGGCAGTAAAGCACAGTGTGGCAGATGGGAGACAGACAGTACACCTGGCAGTAAATCACAGTTTGGCAGACAGTGTGGCAGACGGGAGACACAGACAGTACACCTGGCAGTAAAGCACAGTGTGGCAGACGGGAGACACAGACAGTACACCTGGCAGTAAAGCACAGTGTGGCAGACGGGAGACACAGACAGTACACCTGGCAGTAAAGCACAGTGTGGCAGACGGGAGACACAGACAGTACACCTGGCAGTAAAGCACAGTGTGGCAGACGGGAGACACAGACAGTACACCTGGCAGTAAAGCACAGTGTGGCAGACGGGAGACACAGACAGTACACCTGGCAGTAAAGCACAGTGTGGCAGACGGGAGACACAGACGGCAGTACACCTGGCAGTAAAGCACAGTGTGGCAGACGGGAGACACAGACAGTACACCTGGCAGTAAAGCACAGTGTGGCAGACGGGAGACACAGACAGTACACCTGGCAGTAAAGCACAGTGTGGCAGACGGGAGACACAGACAGTACACCTGGCAGTAAAGCACAGTGTGGCAGACGGGAGACACAGACAGTACACCTGGCAGTAAAGCACAGTGTGGCAGACGGGAGACACAGACAGTACACCTGGCAGTAAAGCACAGTGTGGCAGACGGGAGACACAGACAGTACACCTGGCAGTAAATCACAGTGTGGCAGACGGGAGACACAGACAGTAGTACACTTGGGAGCACAGTGTGGCAGACGGGAGACACAGACAGTACACCTGGCAGTAAACAGACACACAGTGTGGCAGACGGGAGACACAGACAGTACACCTGGCAGTAAAGCACAGTGTGGCAGACGGGGAGACACAGACAGTACACCTAGTAAACCACAGTAAAGACGGGAGACACAGACAGTACACTTGGTAGTAAATCACAGTGTGGCAGACGGGAGACACAGACAGTACACTTGGCAGTAAAGCACAGTGTGGCAGACGGGAGACACAGACAGTACACCTGGCAGTAAAGCACAGTGTGGCAGACGGGAGACACAGACAGTACACTTGGTAGTAAATCACAGTGTGGCAGACGGGAGACACAGACAGTACACTTGGTAGTAAATCACAGTGTGGCAGACGGGAGACACAGACAGTACACCTGGCAGTAAAGCACAGTGTGGCAGACGGGAGACACAGACAGTACACTTGGTAGTAAATCACGGTGTGTGGCAGACGGGAGACACAGTGGCAGACGGGAGACACAGTCAGTACACTTGGTAGTAAACCACTGTGTCCTAGACGGGAAACACAGCCAGTACACTTGGTAGTAAACCACAGTGTCCTAGACGGGAGACACAGCCAGTACACTTGGTAGTAAACCACGGTGTCATAGACGGGAGACACAGCCAGTACACTTGATAGTAAACCACAGTGTCCTAGACGGGAAACACAGCCAGTGCACTTGGTAGTAAACCACAGTGTCCTAAACAGGAAACACAGCCAGTACACTTGGTAGTAAACCACGGTGTCCTAGACGGGAAACACAGCCAGTACACTTGGTAGTAAACCACGGTGTCATAGACGGGAAACACAGCCAGTACACTTGGTAGTAAACCACAGTGTCATAGACGGGAGACACAGCCAGTACACTTGGTAGTAAACCACGGTGTCCTAGACGGGAAACACAGTCAGTACACCTGGTAGTAAACTAGACGGGAGACACAGTACACTTTGGTAGTCCTAGACCACAGTGTCCTAGACGGGAAACACAACCAGTACATTTGGTAGTAAACCACAGTGTCATAGACGGGAGACACAGCCAGTACACTTGGTAGTAAACCGAAGTGTCCTAGACGGGAGACACAGCCAGTAGACTTGGTAGTAAACCACAGTGTCCTAGACGGGAGACACAGTCAGTACACTTGGTAGTAAACCACAGTGTCCTAGACGGGAAACACAGTCAGTACACTTGGTAGTAAACCACAGTGTCCTAGACGATAGACACAGCAAGTAGACTTGGTAGTAAACCACAGTGTCCTAGACGGGAGACACAGCCAGTAGACTTGGTAGTAAACCACGGTGTCCTAGACGGGAGACACAACCAGTAGACTTGGTAGTAAACCACAGTGTTGTGGAAGGAAGATTCTCAGCCCATACACCTGTCAGTACCTTATAAGCTGGTGATATTAAGAATATATGTAGAGTCATATTTACTTATTGACTCTGTGACTTGAATGAAGCAATTTGTATGATAAAATATCAGTTGTCATATTGATAATCTCTCTAATGGGAGGTCGTTGTTATACAAAAGATTATACTTGTATGAATTGTGACTATTGAAACAAAACAATGAACCAGTATGTATGCTTTGCAAACACATTTATAAGTCAGAAATCAAATGTAGGAACCACACGCGTCCTTGGCAATACCTTGGTGAACATAGATCTTGAATTTCATTACCAACATACACAAGCTGACACTTGAGTGGATATTGAACAGTTCGAGCCGAGTGATCCTGTGATATTCAACTAAGGGGACGTAACCCACTGGCAAGTTAGTTGTATACAGATATCTGCCGTGTGGGTGATCAGGTCATGTACGCCATGTCATGTCTATATTTAGCAAGATCGAGGATATAAGTACCACTGGCAAGTGTGTTGGAAGACTGCAAACTGAATGAATACGTGCAGATAAGTACGCCTTCTATCCTTGTTCCTTGATAGGCAAACATATCGATTTTAAAGTAACAATCACATGTTTGATAAGCTCGGTACCAGTGTCGCCTAAATCTATATTTAGTAACATGACAACGACTTGCTCAGTTGATCACATGATAGTAAGTCGGGGCTTCTCGCACAAGCACAAGGGCTAGTACAACTACATGCATATTCATATATGTTTATGCTTCTATTTCTACAGCATCTGCAGTTATATTGAATAAAGAATGATAACAGTGTCTGCCCCCATATGGTACTTATACTTAATTATAACCTTACGATTGTATTATTTTGTCACAAATGATTGTTTGTAGATTGCCATGGGAGACCTACATATTCGATGCACCCTCAATGGACAGGTGATTACAGATGACCCCTCACATGTTGTAGTGGATGTATTCTTTAACGAGTGTTTTCTTGAGCGAGGCACAGGTCAAACAGGTTCGTACACGCCATAGGTCTTCCATCCATTCAGGTATTGTGTATGTATATAAGCACATTCAACTCTTACTCGTGTAAACACATTTTACTTTTATCCGTGTAAACACAATTAACTCTTACTCATGTAAGCACATTTAACTCTTACTCGTGTAACCACATTTAGCTCTTACCATTGTAAACACAACATACTCTTGCTCCTGTAAACACATTTAACTCTTACTCGTGTAAAGACATTATATTTTTACTTTACTCGTGTAAATTTTAACTCTTACTCCTACACACAGTATACTCTCATTCGTGTAAAGACATCATATTCTTACTCCTGTAAACACATTTAACTCTTACTCCTGTAAACACATTATGCTCTTGCACGTGTAAACACATTTAACTCTTACTCCTGTAAACACATCATACACTTACTCCTGTAAACACATTATGCTCTTGCACGTGTAAACACATTTAACTCTTACTCCTGTAAACACATCATACATTTACTCCTGTAAACACATTATGCTCTTGCACGTGTAAACACATTTAACTCTTACTCCTGTAAACACATCATACACTTACTCCTGTAAACACATTATGCTCTTGCACGTGTAAACACATTTAACTCTTACTCCTGTAAACACATCATACATTTACTCCTGTAAACACATTATGCTCTTGCACGTGTAAACACATTTAACTCTTACTCCTGTAAACACATCATACACTTACTCCTGTATACACATTATGCTCTTGCACGTGTAAACACATTTAACTCTTACTCCTGTAAACACATCATACACTTACTCCTGTAAACACATTATGCTCTTGCACGTGTAAACACATTTAACTCTTACTCCTGTAAACACATCATACACTTACTCCTGTAAACACATTATGCTCTTGCACGTGTAAACACATTTAACTCTTACTCCTGTAAACACATCATACACTTACTCCTGTAAACACATTATGCTCTTGCACGTGTAAACACATTTAACTCTTACTCCTGTAAACACATCATACACTTACTCCTGTATACACATTATGCTCTTGCACGTGTAAACACATTTAACTCTTACTCCTGTAAACACATCATACATTTACTCCTGTAAACACATTATGCTCTTGCACGTGTAAACACATTTAACTCTTACTCCTGTAAATACATCATACACTTACTCCTGTATACACATTATGCTCTTGCACGTGTAAACACATTTAACTCTTACTCCTGTAAACACATCATACACTAACTCCTGTAAACACATTATGCTCTTTGCACGTGTAAACACATTTAACTCTTACTCCTGTAAACACATCATACACTTACTCCTGTAAACACATTATGCTCTTGCACGTGTAAACACATTTAACTCTTACTCCTGTAAACACATCATACACTTACTCCTGTAAACACATTATGCTCTTGCACGTGTAAACACATTTAACTCTTACTCCTGTAAACACATCATACACTTACTCCTGTAAACACATTGTGCTCTTGCTCCTGTAAACACATCATACACTTACTCCTGTAAACACATTATGCTCTTGCACGTGTAAACACATTTAACTCTTACTCCTGTAAACACATCATACACTTACTCCTGTAAACACATTATGCTCTTGCACGTGTAAACACATTTAACTCTTACTCCTGTAAACACATCATACACTTACTCCTGTAAACACATTATGCTCTTGCACGTGTAAACACATTTAACTCTTACTCCTGTAAACACATCATACACTTACTCCTGTAAACACATTATGCTCTTGCACGTGTAAACACATTTAACTCTTACTCCTGTAAATACATCATACACTTACTCCTGTATACACATTATGCTCTTGCACGTGTAAACACATTTAACTCTTACTCCTGTAAACACATCATACACTAACTCCTGTAAACACATTATGCTCTTGCACGTGTAAACACATTTAACTCTTACTCCTGTAAACACATCATACATTTACTCCTGTAAACACATTATGCTCTTGCACGTGTAAACACATTTAACTCTTACTCCTGTAAACACATCATACACTTACTCCTGTATACACATTATGCTCTTGCACGTGTAAACACATTTAACTCTTACTCCTGTAAACACATTATACTCATATACTTCCTGATCATATCTCAAAATGAAAGTGAGGACTGAAGGGCACACACACTGACACTGTATGAGATTCTGTGACTAACATGTATGACGGAAATTACTTGATGTGGAAAGATGATGAGATTTACGGTCATTTTCCACCAAATGAAAATTAGTCAATCAATACACATTTGTTATATTTACTGAATGAGTCTTATATCATGAAGTTTGGGCAACATAATTTCTTGTTTCTGTGGCAGTAGGTCACTGATAAAATATGTTGATCATGATTATAAACCTGCACTAATAACCGACTATATTTGAAAAGAATAATGTCTATATTATAGTGCATATGTAGTACATGACAAGTGTGTGATTAGTAAACACATTCCTCTATTGTTACCGTGCAGGAACGTACTGTATTTGTCTGCAAATGAAAGCAACCAAAATATGTCAATGTTTCTTGCAGATCTACATATTTGTCCTTATATGTCCCTATCACTAACACATGTAACACACGCATAGCAACACAGATTATATTAGTGTATCTCAAGCACATGCAATGGTATAAGAACTAGAATGTACCTTTATGCTAAGGGATATGACTTGATTATTAATTCCTATTCGGCTACTCAAATGGATCTACTAATGATAATCCTGAAATATTAGAATCTATCCAATGGCATTCTTTCATTGTATTGCCAGCCACATTTGTGTTGTAGCACTCTATATTACTTTCCGACACAAGTAGTTTAAATGTTATACGCAGAAAACTATAGTTATTTTGTTTTGTATTTGCATCTCGGAGCGGTATTCAGATCAGCAACATGCTGCTTGTTTTCCGATCCGGTTCCACTTTTTCAAATAAATATTTTTAGACCGTGCATGCAGCTGTTACCATAAATAACGAATTGCAGTTTTGTCGAGTGGGTTCTTTTATGTGTGCCTAACTGATGATAAGCTGACCTTTCTAATTCAAATGTGCGATAAGCATGTGCACAGTCATGCTATTGAAAATAGTATTCAGTACTGACGTGTTAAACTGTAAACCTTTGTAGTGAAAAAGCTTAAGAAATTAAGAAATACATTACTGAAACGTATGAGAATTAATCAGCTATCGTTGTTGTGCTGTGTAAACAAGAAAGAAAATATTTAAAACTACAGGTACTAATGGGAAATGGCTGTCAACGTGATGCACAATGCATATAGTGTCGATTATTTATAGACAGCCTCCATATTGCTGGAATATTGCTGAGTGCGGCGCTAACCAATAAACAAACAACACACGAATAGTGTTATACATGTCCTCTAATTGACAGTTTGTTATATAATGGGACTTTTATAACAATCACCACCCTTCCTGTTTTTGCATGTTTCTGCAAACTCGACTATTTGTTGCATATATTCTCCAGTGATTTCCTTCACAACAGGGGAACTACTAGCATGTCTGCACTGGGAAGAGCCTGAGGAAGCGGTGACGTCAACAGTTGAGTTAAAACCAACGAAAGACAACAGTTCTGTTGAAGACGAATTCTGCAGACGAGTCATTCAGGAAAAGAAACATCTGTACTCTTTTGTCAGTGAAGTTTATGAAACAATTAACGTTAGACTGGTTGCAGTGAGATCCCCGCCTCTACATTTTACTTTCCGGCATCCGAGAAGAACACCATTTCCCGAGAGATCAGATGAATTTTTCAGACTGCTAAGAAAGTTTGTATGTAGCTGCGTGTCATTGAAGTCAGACATCAACGTAGCACTGAAATCAGATGGACAGTACACAGTGCCCTGTACCACATTCTTTCACAGTTTCAACCAGAGTGGAGAAAGATTTGATAGACGAACCAAAAGGTGAAGTATTATTGTGAGTGGATGAGTTGAGTTTACTGACCATCGGACCAGTATGCCATTTATATCAGCGTGATGTTCAATCCGCTCTGTGCACCTGAAATGTTCACCGGTTAGGTGAAACCATTGCAACATTACACGTCTATTGTGAGCGCCAGTGACGACCTAGCCACCATGCTCCTCGGGTCAATAGAATGGTTTTTCACTGCAGAAACATGTTCAAACACGTGACTGTATTTAAGTACCTAACCACGCCATGCAGTGGCTGACATGTTTGAATACTCACTATATCAAAGAATCTACATCTACTTCATATAGTTATAAATGTTACATTTAACAAGTAATACTACTTTTCAAGACAACATGTACAATTTTGCATCAAATAAGGTTGATATGAATGGCGTTTTGCACGTGTTGTTCTTATATCAATATATTTCTTATTCTGTAGTACTCACGTGGTGTACTTATATCAATATATGTCTTATTCTGTAGTACTCACGTGGTGTACTTATATCAATATATGTCTTATTCTGTAGTACTCCGGGTACTCAATCGGTACAACAACAACCGCTTCATGAAAGGTTTGCATTGATAGAGGAAGAAATATCAAGCCAGAGAGAACTCTTGACAGAGCATGATGTTGCTCATAGGGAACAAATCAAGAACATTAAAGCTACATTAATACGTGTCTTAGACTATATCGAAGGTAGCACGCCATCCGTTGAGGAGATGGCTCTTGAAGGGAGTGAAGCCAGCTGTACCGCAGTGGATGGCAGTGTAACAAAACAGGACATCGTTACTGGTCTGGATTTTAGTGCTAGAGACATGAGTTCTGGTTCTGTCTACCCAGGTGGAATGAGAAGCATCATACACATTGGAACTTTATCAGCAGACAACGACCACGAAAATGAATTCACCAAAGACACAAGTAATCAGGAGGAATTGTCGAATCTTGACAGATGTGCCAGCTCCCAACAGCATGGTGTAACATCAGACCTTGCACAATGCAATCTTAGGGCTACAAACACGGAACCAGAGCCTGAATTAGCAGACAGGCTCACTACAAATGCACAGACACATATATCATCAGTAGGGAAAGAGGATGGTTTGAAAAAGCAACCAGAAAAGGATAATTTTGCGAAAGACACTTCAGCTGAAAACAGTCCCAAGGAACCGTCAAACGTTGAACACCGTGCTAAGAGACAACCCCATGGGAGAAATTCCAGTTCTGAACTGCTTTGTCAAGGAATGGGGAGACTGGCATCTGTGAATGTACCTGATGTTACAGACTTAAAGAGTATGCTAGTCACAATGAGACGGGACAACAGGGAGACGCTGTCGAAACTGGCCAAGGGGTGTGTACAATGAGATAATAACTGTCACATAATTTGTGTATAATGTGAGAGCATTAATGTGTAAATTATCGACGTTTGTTTTCGTCGGTGACTTCTTTATTGCATGCGGGTCATAGCATATCCTGGATATCATGAACTTCAGTTTTTAATTATATCCAGGGGAAGGTTTGACACTGGCGTGACTAAGGAAGGGAGAGCTGTCACGGATTCTTTCTTGGAGAGTATGCGACAGATGACAGAATATCGGAGTATCCTTGAAAACATTCCTGGTGCAACTAGTGTTTTGGATGGAATGATGGGTGCATATGAAGAGGCAATAACCAGCGGTATGTGTCAAAACATGCTCTTATTTTAAACTTCATTTTTCAGGAAATCCTTATTTTTCTCATGTCAGTGATGTAAAGTATGTAATACATTATTCTAAGCTTATGTGTGGTATCGTGTTTATGTTTGGATCTAATATATAATTTAGTGAACTCCTGTCATTCCAGCAATAAGAATGAAATTACCTTACTGGTTAAAATTTGCAAATTACAAATGTAATATGAAGCAGTCCACGGTGATACATCCTGGTTACTGATCTCGCATAGTTTATTTGGTTACAATGAATGGGTATAGAAGCTCTTCCATAGAAAAGAGTGATTGTGTTACCCAGGCGCCTTTGACAACAGTTGGCACATCAAGTCGATGGTCATCAACGTTAGTGTGTGAGTATGGTTTACACCGCTTTTAGCAATGTTACAGCAATATCACGGCGCGGCACACAAGAATTAGGCTTCACACATTGTAACCTTATGGGGAATCGAACCCGGCCTTCGGCGTAGCGAGCGAAGGCTTTAACCACTAGGCTACGCCCCCGCCCCCTGTGGAGGTCATCAACACCTACATTTGGGATACACCATGTTTTTGAGGAATGGAGGTTTACACTTTTCATCCCGAGTTCGTCATTTTTGCCAAGTACGTCGGTCAGAATGTAGGTTATGGTTCCGGGATGACGACATACGTCATGCTGCACTCGACTGTCTGACGCAGGTGAGAATAGCATTGTCATTCCATTGTCACAGCATTGTCATAGCATTGTTACAGTATTGTCATAGCATTGTCAGCAGTTACATTGTCATAGCATTGTTACAGCATTGTCATAGCATTGTCATACAGTATTGTCATAGCATTGTCACAGCATTGTCATAGCATTGTTACAGTATTGTCATAGCATTGTCATAGCCAGCCATGTCTCAAAGATGATGTTGGTGGAATGGTTGGCTGTCGACCTCAGAATTTCGCAGAGTTTGCAACATGAGTGAGTTAGGTTTTACGCCGCACTCAGCAATATTCAAACTATATGGTCGATAAATAATCGAGTCTGGACCAGACAATCAAGTGCATGAGCATCGATCTACGGGTGGAATTTGCAATGGGCTGAGAAAGGTGTACAAGAAGAACGTTACGACGAACGATTTCAGTATGGCATTTGGTATATGGAAACCAGGATTTCGTGTCTGCATCAATGCTAACGGAACATGAAACAGATATTGTAGGTACCGAGTAGGCCGACTTCTACATTGCGGGGTGTCCCTAATATTCATCCTAGTTTATTCACTGAATATTTGTGATGAAATAGCTATTACATCTCATTGTAATACCTGATGATTTTTTAAAGTGATACTTTGCGTGGCTATTTCTCCAACAGTATTTTCTATTGTGTATCCGAACTGTTTTACATTAATTTTCACTGAGCTGCACAAGTCGTCTATGTCGTCCAATGTTCATTGCAGCAGGTGATTCTGAAGGCATTCCTAAAGCTCTAGGGTTAGACACCGTTCTTTGTCTCGACACGTCCGGCAGTATGAGGGGGGATGCACTGATAGAACTGAAGAAAACTGCCCGAGAACTCATCGATGGTATGTATACAGACGTTTTGAGGTGATGGGAATTTATCAACAGAAAACTCATCCCCGGCATCTTTAAAGCAAATGTAGTCATATATGAATACATATAAGAATCGATTATGAGATTTCATGTCTTTATGACATAGTATTTATAACAGGTAAGTGTCCAAATCGTCTAAATCTTGTATGTTTTGAAACAGGAATTGAGGACATAGCAGAAGAACACTCCATTGAGGAAAATGTGGCTCTGGTTACGTTTGGGGGCACAGCAAGAATTGCCCATCACCTGACAAATGACTATGAATCGTTGCGTGACTGTATAGGTACGTGGACGTCAATACGATATGTTAATGGGGTATGGTTTATCACATAAAATAGAACAAACGAAAACGGCAACATAATCTCAACACAGCCAAATATAATACAGCACGCAATTAAATACTTTGCACCCTGCTGTCATTTAGCGTGTCATGTAACAAGTAACACTGATAACGTTTCTCGTCATTGAGGTCATAATTTAGTATATTTACATTCAATGTGATTTTATAACCTCTACGCTTGTCCTTAGTGGCATCGCATCGTTTGCTTTACTTAAAGATGGACTGGAAGCACATGGGACAACTCCTCTTCTCCAAGGTCTCGTCGTAGCCTTGTCTTGTCTTGTCAGGGGTAGGTGAAGTGCTAGTCTCCCAATGATCAACAAGCATCCACTAAGAGCGGCATTGTACATGTTCCTGTCCGTATGTATGAATTGGTGCAAGGAATGGCATGTACGGCATCGACATGTTCCTGTCCGTATGTATGAATTGGTGCAAGGAATGGTATGTACTCCCCCAGTTTTGTTGGTGTGTTTGTTGTTTAACGCCACCAGCAGCAATATTCCAGATATACGGAGGGGGTCTGGAAATGGTGATCTAGTAATCGACATCATGGGCACCGATCTATGTGAGTGGGACACAGTGACATTTATCATCCAAAACCATGTTCCACAGGACATATTACTTGTGTGAGATCATAAGATATCTCCTAGGGGATATGGTTTTGACAGTAGATTTGTGCAAAGCCCTGACAATGCTATGAGGTCATGACCTTGATGACGTCACAATGCCATGACATCTCTGCACTGTAAGTCTAATGGTAGTACATGTACAGTGTTCAGAGATGTACATTTTCATTGAAAAGTAAAGAAGAGTGATTTTTGATGATAAATGGAATCTCACCCTCGTGTCTACTGATACCAATTATGTCAACACTCGTTGATAAAAGTAAAAAATATGTATCATATTTGTAATTTTATCATCTATGTGTCAACCAAGTCAGTGAGTCTGACCACCCGACCCCGTCAGTCGCATCCTATGACAAGCATGGGTTGTTGCAGATTAATTCTAATGCTACACTCCACATGAACGTACAAGCAGTTGTATGTACGTTCTTCATGTTAGGATCATGTATAGACCTACGAAAACTCATTAGTTTGCTTTAATCTTGTCATCGACTAACACAAGAACATACACATGAAGTATTGTTATCCGGTCTAAACGACACTGAACAACGATGTATTTAGCTTTTATGTTCTTTTAAGGCGGAATTTGCAATTTTGGCGGGATAAAAACGACTCCAAGAATAATTTTCATCACTGATGGTTTAGCTACGGTCGAAGGCGAGGTACACATGGAAGACGGAACGCGTCCATGTGAGCAGGTATACATTTCACATTTTGGTTATATGTTGTATAAATAACTAAACAGTCTTTTAGTTCAGGTGACTGAGCATGGCTCATTAGGCGCTTAAATGCATCCTACAAGACCATATCACTGCTATTATCTTTTAAAGCTAACATTTTAAGACAGAAATTGTTGAAACAATTACCATATCGTGATTACATTTATGTTTGTTCACGATAGGCCAAGCTATGTGTGATATCCTCAGTCAATGACCTAGGACATGATGGCTTCAAATGTGCTGTGGCCGGACCCATCGTGTGGATTCCGGTAGGGAATGCGGATAAGGTAAGACTTTTACTTTCTGTCATCCCTTTAAACATTGTTTAGGTTGTTGTTTTATCCCCATGGAAGACAACTGTATGAGAGATCAATGTACCCTACCTGTATTATTTTTAATAGGATACTGTACAGTCATGACTGAATTCGTCTACCGTGATAATATTCACACTGTGATGCATGTATATGCTCTTAATATTGCAGAGTTTCCTAGAATCCCTTTCGACAATTTGTAAAGGCGAATTTGTGGAAAAGACAGACATGAAAAGACTCAGTAGATACCAGCACATCAGGGTAAGTCGATGATTACGACAAGAAGGGTTGGTAATATGAATAAACAAGCAATCTGACAAGGTGTTGAAGACAATTGTTGGTTGATTAGATGAATAAGATTACACTACTCAACATAGATTAACCACCTTGCAGCAACAAACGTAGTCGATACACTCATAAACTACTGGAACTACTTCTGGAAATCGGATGTTAGGTCCGTGAGATATATTTCATCACGGGCTGACATTTTGTGTGTTCGGTTCACAGCGGCTAAGCAGCAGTGTCCTCGCCTGTGTGAGAAGTGAAGATATTGATCCCGCCGAGTTCCACCACAAACTCGATGTCATCATTGATGCCATAACTCATGATGTAACAACGGAAGAGAAGGTAACAATTTCCATCTTTCACTGCAATCTTTGTAATGTTACCGTGAAATATGGAAAACTACTTTCAAGGTAGCTGTGAAACTAATACCTGTATTTGTATTTTTCAAGGACGAGGTTGAAGCCATTGTTAGAGAACAACTCTGCAGTGTGGAGGTTGACTTAGGTGCTACAGACGACTTCAGCAACGCCATTGAATACGGCAATCTTCCCCCTCTTGGAACAAGGGTAGAACGGGGTCCTGACTGGAAGTGGGGGAATCAAGACGCTGACGGCCCGGGGACTGTCATCAACCACGGACAATCAGCAGGTGCGCATATTACTGAATGCATCTATTTTTTTACGTTTCCGCCCATTATTTAGGCGTGTTTAGTTATATGTGAATGTGAATAAGAATGTGAATGTGAAAATAACCCGAGTACATATCAGTGGAATACCGGCGCTACATGAGACAGGTAAGGGAGTTTGACATATTTTATATATATCGTTGGATTCTTTGAGGTCGTTTCAAAGAATCGGTAATAACTTCCTTACTGTAAAATCATGTAATTTACAATATATTTGTCATATTTGCAGATTCTCTATGGGTCAAGTGGGACAATGGAGGCAGAAATGTGTACAGGTACGGCGAGGAAAGTGCCTTTGATGTCCTGATAGCAGACTATCTACCGCGTGTTGTGGAGCATAGTCAAATCACAATCGGTGTCCAAGTAGAAAGAGGTATGTAGCAGGTGCACCAAGCGAGACCATTTCGATATTCGTATTTTCGACCTCCTCAATGGACTAGTTGCTAGAACACCAGACAGTGACTAGATCTATGAGTGAGTGTGTATGATTTTACTCCCTTTTTGCAATATTCCCGCAATACCACGGCGGGGGACACCTGAAATGGGCATCACACGTTGTACCCATGTGGGGAATCGAACCCGGGTCCTCAACGTGAACAACGGACCCTTTAACCACAAGGCGACCCCACCGTCCCTCGATCAATGAATAGGAATTTATGTTACTTTGCCTGGTAGTAGGCATGAAGGGGTAAAACAAAGACTTGTTAGCTTGCAGTCAGAATATGGTTCTGCCTGGGTCACTGTTTAACTGACTCATTCCTCTCTGCAATAATTTTGAATTCGACGTTAATTCCTGTTTCTCTTTTATATCGAGAAAAGCAATAATACAATAACAATACAACTGCTTCAGGGCCGCACTGGTTGGACGCCTATCAAGATCAAGATGGTGGACCCGGAAGTTTAGGCACCGTCATACGTAAGCGTGGCCACAAAGTGAAGGTAACCCCCACGCCATTAATAAATATATGGATAAATATCTGGATCCAACAAATACATGTCATGTTCAGTTTCGATATTCTGTTCTTTCATCAAACAAGGAGTGACCGGTATTCGTTTTTGTTATCTCCAGGTTCGTTGGGAAAATGGAGATACGTTTAACTACAACTATGGAGAAAACAATACATTCGAACTGAAGCTAAGGTAGGGAATCATGGGTCGGGTCATAGGGACAACAATTGGTTTCAGCTTACTCACACTGCTGTTTGTGAACCGACTAATAGATTATGTGTTCTTTTGATAACACTGACTTGTAAAATCATACTTTCAGAGACCCATTCTCATGCCAGACAGTGCAGGTTCCGGAAACGAACGGTTCTCTGTGTTCCACTGGACAATGTAAGCAGTCTTTGGTCACAGCATATAACATTTGTCATTTCTTGAGAAGCACGCTCGTTTATCAAGCGTTCATAAGCACCACACACGTGCTAATGGCGAGGGCACCTAAAGTTTGTCATGCCGGAGTAAAACTGTGAAAACCTTTCTTGGTGTAACGACTTAACCCTGCGAACTGTCATGAGAGAAAATGGGTCAGATATAAAACGCTAAGCTGTCTGTGTCATGTGTAATATGACGAGGTCATTTGGTCGTGTTTGTTGAAGTAACGACTGTAGGAATGGCATTAATGCTACTACCAAGCTCCCAAGGGGCTTGTAAACGACTTGATCCATTAAAAGCAAGGTCTTTATATGCGAATAGAAGTACTTTTGCTTAAAAGAAACACATCTTAATATCATTTTACGATTGTGTCAGTGTCAACCGTGGATTAAACTTGAGTAGGGGTGGTGGGCATGATAGGGGGTCGTGATTTGAATAACGAGAAATTGTGTAAGTCAGCTGGTCATATTAAGACATGCAAGTTTGTTTTTCTAGCACTGAATATTATTGATTAGGTCCTGAATATAGGAGAGCCAAAAATGAGAGCGGTAGTTTTAACGTCAAAATATTTCAGCAAACGGAAGGGATGAAGATAAACCGGGTGCGCAATACGTGTGGCAGAGAAGTGATGATGGGACCACATGGCACAATTACTCGGAGGAGGAAGACAGCAAGCTGAAGAAGGAGTATGAGAAACGGAAAACTGGTTCATGTCTCCTGACAAGAAATGGTGAAAGGTATTCAACAAGTAAACACACATGGAATCTATAATCACCGATTTATAATACAAACGAAACCCAATACACAACATGTTTTATTATGCATCAGGAAAATGCATAATGTAAGTTAAGTACAATACGTTTCTCGGTAAAACCTACTGGGAAATATATTTCCACCAATAGCTCTAAGTGTCATGAAGATCAATCCTGTTTTATTATGTTCTTGAGCAACATGCCATTACCCCATCATCTTTGTGTCCATGTTCCTTAAAGCTTCAGAGTTTCCTTCAAAACAAACACCGAGAGGGCAGTGACCAACAAGACCACAGCACATATCAGAAAACGATATGCGGGTAAGATTTTTATCATCCTGAATCCTCCCGTTATAGTGCAAAGTACACATTGTATGCGTTATAAAACATAATAATTCATAAATAACTAGCAGTAGCAACAGCAGGTTTTTATTTTCAAATAATACTTTGTAATGTAGATTCCTAAAGTTATACTTTTGATCACTTTGGACTTTCATTTCATATATATTCGATGTGACTATAATACTGTTCAAAGCAGCCCTATACCCGATCACTTATTCCTAATGTGTTCTTCATTTCAGACAAATGAATCATATAACAGAACATGCACGATCCGAACATCTGATATGAAGTGCCCAAAGTCTTGGGGAAATTCCCCAGAGGCATCATTTTGACATTAGATTGTGCTGCAGTAGTATAATGAAAATGTGAACATAAGTAGAGAAGTATTTATGATGGGAAGAGGTTAAGTGGAGTGGGGCGTCTGTCAAGACATCGATCAGTATCGTTTGCTCTGCCTTTCGTTATGTTGATTCAAGTCAGCAGTTGCAATTCCATAATAATAGCATCGTAATATAATTACCGGAAATCACAATTCCTCTTTTAAAAATCACTCAAATAACGTTACGGTATATATCCACACGCATCAGAAACGCGTGAAAGTCCGGATAAGCTGTTTTCTTTAATCCGCGATTGTCTTAAGAGGCGATGCTGATCAGGCTCGTTGATATATTAAGTGGGTAGATCTGCTGATGACAGCCAGTGGATTGTACAGTCCACACTCGGGTGTTTCACACATCACCGTCACATAGAAGGAATATATGTAGCTGAGTACGGCACTGAACGTTAATCAAACTTGCGACCAAGTGTAAATGTTGTCTATATGACCTGAAACGTTTCTGTTTGAGGTCTATGCTTGATATGTTTTCAATAAAATTCTCCTTGTGAGTTCAAGAAATTGTTTCCTGGATTGGGGAAAAAACAAAATTGTAAATATTACTCACTGAATGACATTTGACATGGAAGTGAGAATTGGGAGGTTGGTGTACCCTACAGTTATAAAATTAGAGATTGCAAAACCTTATGGATGATCAACTTCTTAACAATGACGACGTTTCGTTATAGATTCTTATACAGTTTTCAAGCATGTTTTCAAGCATTCTCCAAAACGGTATAAGAATGTCGCGATTGTTAACATAAAGAAGTTGATCATCCATAAGTAATAAAGATGCTACTTTATGGTTCCGACGAATGTTTGTGGTTTTATATCAGTTTCCGCTTCTCTGTACGCTACAATATGAAGATTGATGCTCATTAGTGTGGTTTACACAATGACAATAAAATATATATTGCCCTTTATTGTGCTGTGGTTTGTGTATGTTCGCTACAGGCATTCCAACTCCATTATAGTTTTATGTCGTTACTTTCAATTGGCGTCACATGTGAACTCATTATGAATGCTATCGAAGTGATTACAATAAGTGGAATTAATGAAATATTTGAGACACATGAATTCTCAAAAGCCAAAGGATCTGATTGATTAAACATAATTAATTCGAACAAAAATCAACAGCTCAACATTGGACACTAAGTAACACAATATCCCCAGGGGATGTCTCCCTGTACATACACATCTAAGTTGGTCTTGGGGGCAAGGGATAGCTTAGGGGTTAAAGCGTTAGCTTGTCACGCTCAAGACTCATGTTCGAATCTCGCACACCTCGTTTTCTTTTCTGTGATAATGTCCCTAGAACCTCCGTCGATAATATCCGTGTTTATTCATATGCAAAAAGAACCCAAGGATGATGACAAATGTACAAATACAGTCAGTATACAAATATATGTTCAGAACATGAACAGGGTCAGTGTGTATACAACTGCTGTTCATTTCACCACGTTTACAAAGACAGCACTGTACAATTGGATGTACGTACCCAATCAGTATACAGCAACTGTCCATCAGACCATGTACGCATCCAATCAGTACACATCTACTGCACATAAGACCATGTACGTACCCAATCAGTATACAGCTATTGTACCTCAGACCATGTACGTACCCAATCAGTACACATCTACTGTACATAAGACCATGTAGGTATCCAATCAGTATACAGCTATTGTACCTCAGACCATGTACGTACCCAATCAGTATACAGCTACTGTCCATCAGACCATGTACGCATCCAATCAGTACACAGCTACTGTACATCAGACAATGTGCGTACCCAATCAGTACACAGCTACTGTACATAAGACCATGTACGTACCCAATCAGTATACATCTACTGTCCATCAGACCATGTACGCATCCAATCAGTACACAGCTACTGTACCTCAGACCATGTAGGTAACCAATCAGTACACAGCTACTGTACATCAGACCATGTACGTACCCAATCAGTATACAGCTACTGTACATCAGACCATGTACGTACCCAATCAGTATACAGCTACTGTCCATCAGACCATGTACGCATCCAATCAGTACACATCTACTGTACATCAGACCATGTAGGTATCCAATCAGTATACAGCTATTGTACCTCACACCCTGCACGTATCCAATCAGTACACAGCTACTGTACCTCAGACCATGTAGGTATCCAATCAGTATACAGCTATTGTACCTCAGACCCTGCACGTATCCAATCAGTACACAGCTACTGTACCTCAGACCATGTAGGTACCCAATCAGTACACATCGACTGTACATAAGACCATGTACGTACCCAATCAGTATACAGCTACTGTCCATCAGACCATGTACGCATCCAATCAGTACACATCTACTGTACATAAGACCATGTACGTACCCAATCTGTATACAGCTACTGTACATCAGACCATGTTCGTACCCAATCAGTATACAGCTACTGTCCATCAGACCATGTACGTACCCAATCAGTATACATCTACTATTCCCCAGACCATGTACGTACTCAATCAGTACACAGCTACAGTACATCAGACCATGTACGTATGTTATCAGTATACAGCTACTGTACACCAGACCATGTAGGTATCCAGTCGGTACACAGCTAGAGTAAAATTCCGGGTATGTACGTATCCAGTCTGCATACAGCAACTGTGTCACCTCATGTACAGTTTAACAGTATAGAGCTACTGTTTAGTTCACGATATGGACGTACTCAGTATGAATACAGCCACTACTGTACATAATCCTTGTCCGCCCACATCCATCCCACGTCACGATATGGACGTACTCAGTATGAATACAGCCACTACTGTACATAATCCTTGTCCGCCCACATCCATCCCACGTCACGATATGGACGTACTCAGTATGAATACAGCCACTACTGTACATAATCCTTGTCCGCCCACATCCATCCCACGTCACGATATGGACGTACTCAGTATGAATACAGCCACTACTGTACATATTCCTTGTCCGCCCACATCCATCCCACGTCACGATGTGGACGTACTCAGTATGAATACAGCCACTACTGTACATAATCCTTGTCCGCCCACATCCATCCCACGTCACGATATGGACGTACTCAGTATGAATACAGCCACTACTGTACATATTCCTCGTCCGCCCACATCCATCCCACGTCACGATATGGACGTATTCAGTATGAATACAGCCACTACTGTACATATTCCTTGTCCGCCCACATCCATCCCACGTCTTCTACAGCTGATGTTTGGGAGATGAGCTGGTCCAGGTCCTTGGTACTCACAGCTGCACAGAAATGTAAATCATGAAATAAAAACAGTTATCAGGGAATAGAAACCATTCTATGAGCTATTTGTCTAATACTTCTTCCATGGAATAAAACTGCTCACCGAGTCTTTGAACATCATATCTTCTCCCATCGTTGGATGACTTCTGTGACATGGGTTCTTTGAATGTGATACGAAAGCTGAAAATGAAAATTACACTACAGATGTATATTAGCTCATTAACTGTGTTATTCACAAAAAGGTATGCACACATTTACATGATGCCTAAAGGTGAGTTTACGAAATGGTTGAGCATGTGGGTTAGTACTAACAATTATTGAATACATCTTTACAACATCCTTTACAGTGTGTAATGTGCAGTGACCACATATTTACCTCTGATCCCCTTTCTGAAGAACGCAAGTCCTGGCACTTGTCCGGCTGTAATCCCTCTCCAATTTTTCTATCTGCTTATGTGTGTACAGTCTCCAGACGCCACTATCGTCTCTCCATTGCCAGACTATGTGTGGTCTGTCCTCTGTCTGCAGGGTTCCCTTGACTTCTTCATCTATAAAAAACACTTGTTTTGAAGACCCAAATATCACTATAAAACACTCAGTTCACATGATCAAATATTCACAACTCACCTGGGACTCTAGAAGGAGATGCTGTTTCTTCCAAGGACGCTGCTATAACAGCAGATAATTCGTCTTCTTCAGAACTGAAAAGAATGATAACATGTAAGGGATAAGAAGAGAACAGAGACAATGATCTGAGCTTAATCTATTAGTTGCACCTCCTTGTGTGGCTACTGTGATAACTTCAAGGTGAATGACGCATATTTTCGTGAACGCATGTCATCACTAAATATATGTCATCCAATGATCTGATTTTCATCACTTATCACTCATTTAGCCTTTTCAGCCCTTTGAAATCTGTTACGGGAAATAATCGACAAAGGTTGGTGTTGACATGTTAGATTATAGACGCTAAAACAAGTATTTATGCTGAGTCTTACCTGATTTCGAGATCAAATTCCCCATGGGATCCAAAATTGTAGGAGTTGATGTGGCCGTTGTCCCATCTCACCTGAAAGTGTATAAGTACATAATTGTCGAATCCTGGAAAGTTTTCTTTCAGTATACGATATTATCATTTGGGGGGGTTTTGAGAGAGTTATACGAACCCATGTTTAAATGTGTGAGATAATTCGAAAACATTGTATCATTAATAAATGTTGTATTTTACTTTCACTCTCCCATCCTTCCGTTTTCGTATCACCATCCCACGGCCGCCAGGACCACCATCTTGGTTTCCATATGACCAGTCAGTTCCTGGAAATAGGATACAATGTATAACAGTGGCTGTCAGCTGTACATCACCGAGGACTCCTCCATCATTTGTAAATGGCTGAATCCGGGCGACTTATGACACTGAGAATACTCCACCAATATCAAGGCATTAATACTGTCTGTACATTATCGGCCGTGTGTTTAACGTCTTATGTTGCGGCCAGTTCTGCATCAGGAGTATTTTCGACAAATCCAAAAAGTATTATAACATACTAAGACATGAACAACGGAAGTCATATATGACATACCCCTTTTGACCTTGACACCAATCTCAATCAGCTCATTTGCGGCCAGGCGTCGTGACTGGTCGACTAGAAGAACATCGAACTGTTCTTCATACCCATATCTGTACCTGCAGTTGCTGTCGTACAGATCCCAACGTACCCACAAAAACTCTGACAAAAAGTAAATAATACACCATTACTTCTTCTGGAATAGTCTCATTGTTGGAATTTGCGTTTTGTCAGTGGTGTATGATAGATGATGTACCTGACCAGGCTGACTTTATACAAACATATGAATCGTTATAAATCGTTATATGATCTGAATCGTTATAAACTACAAAGTATAACAACATTACTATATATACTTGTTCATGAACGTTATTGTCCTACAAAACGCTCAACAGCGACAGAAATCCTACTAAACTACTGAAAACAGATTCAATCATGTGTTTATGAATCACTATCAAATAATGATGATGCCAGATATTGGGAAAGAGGTGAGCGTATCTTGCCCCAAGTAATAAATGTTTCTCACGATGATCATTTGCATGATTGACAACGGTTCCAGGCCCTTCCACATCCTGGTCTCCATACTTCCAGTCCGGTCCTCGTATCACCCTGGACCCAAGTGGAGGTAACCCCTCTCGTTCGAGGACATTGTCATAATCGCTGGGACCATCATCTGGTAGTATGCCATCTTTCTTTTCTATCTTTTCCGTCACTGCTTTGATTACGAAAACCTAAAACAACGTACATCTAAAAATTATGCACAATGGCATCAACTCTTCACTTGTTTCATTCCTGACAAACACTTTCAAAATAGAGTCTCTTTCAGAAGGGATTCTTTGCATTTATATTTTGTTTAACGCCACCCACGACACCGTCCAGCTATATGACGGTGGCTTGTAAGTAATCTAGTCAGTACAAGATAATGCAGTGATTGACATCATGAACATCGATCTTGACATTTTAAATGCAAAGATATGCACCAACTGTGTCAGCAAACATGTCCACCCGTTCCCGCTAGTCACCTCTCACGAATACAAGTTCAAACAGGGTTTTGCTAAAAGACACTTATCAAATATCTAATAGATAGTTGTTACACTCACCTGTGCAATTGGAAATAAATGTGCAATATACCACGCCTTTCGAACCTGGTGTGTATCGGCTACATTCAGATATAATATGAAAACAGTTACAATTCACACATTGATGACAAGTGATGGAAGGTGAAGGACAACGTATATATTCGAATAATGGTTTCCCAACTTGATGTTTGAGGTATGATGTCACCTTTTCTTCGTGAGTCATGTCACCCATGAAGGCTTCAGCTACTGCTTCGATGTTGCGTTCTGTTCTTTCTCTGTCTTTAGAAAAGCTCTTCTCCAAGCATAAGTAGATTTTTGCGATCGTATCCTATAACAGAGTTAAGTGTTGATTAATAGAGAGTAGTAATGTACTTTGAAAAGCGAAGTTAAATATATTTGGCCTATCCTCAATAATAGTGTAAATGTTCAACACCTAACAAAGTTGCGGTGCAATTTGACATATAACCATTTATATAAACAACAGATTTTTGTCGAGATAATGTTTACGAATTGGACTGTCTCACTAGAAGGACGCAACATCTATCTATTCAACGGTAAAAGCTATTATATAGTATATTTACCTGTAACCTGTAACGGCTACACAGACTGTGAATGTCCTTCCCTTCGACCAATTCTTGGTTTCCCAGTTTCGCCAACGAGGACAGAAACGTCTGAAAATGATACATTTATTAAATATACAAATAACAACATTCGTTACTTGTGTTTAATGTCCTTATAACATATTTATTTGCATAATGTATGTAACAAAATGTTATACAGATTATCAATAATAGTTCAATACCGTATCAGCGTTTCCCACTGGCACCCATATCAGTGGATCCGTGTCACTCTTCTCTCGTGCCAACATGGTTGTTAGACGGATAATCTGGACCTTCAACTAGTAACACAGGTGTCCGGGATTTATATTGGTAGAAATACAATTAAAACAATTCTCATTTTTATGTTTCATTTTAATAATTGTTGTACACTTATACAAATTACTCTATATTTATTCAAACACCATATCAGGGTTAAGATTACAAACACATGTACATACATTATGTAACAGGTATATAGCGAGGTTATGTGTAATTTCTATGACCCTTCCAGTCAACTATTGCATCTGTCCTTTGATAGATGATATGTGAAAGAATAACAAAGCATACATTTGAATCATTGATAACAGAGTCTGGTCCATCGGGGTGATCTTCACTGGTTGCAAAACCATCCGTGAAGAAAATAATCCTTGGCTTGACTTTGTGAATTCCGCCAATACGGAGAATACCAGCTGTGGGACACAATCAGAATAAAGTGTAACAACATGTAGTGCAGCGTTAAACTGGTTATTACTTTTCACCAGGTAAATAAACTGTATCAGCAGGTACTTCAGCGCTAAACAGGTCATTACTTTTCACCAGGTAAATAAACTGTAACAGCAGGTACCTCAGCACTAAACAGGTCATTACTTCTCATCAGGTAAATAAACTGTAACAGCAGGTACCTCAGCACTAAACAGGTCATTACTTTTCACCAGGTAAATAAACTGTAACAGCAGGTACCTCAGCACTAAACAGGTCATTACTTCTCATCAGGTAAATAAACTGTAACAGCAGGTACCTCAGCACTAAACAGGTCATTACTTCTCATCAGGTAAATAAACTGTAACAGCAGGTACCTCAGCACTAAACAGGTCATTACTTCTCATCAGGTAAATAAACTGTAAGAGCAGGTACTACAACGCTAAACTGGTCATTACCTCTTATCAGGTAAATAAACTGTAAAAGCAGGTACTACAACGCTAAAGTAATCATTACTTCTAATCAGGTAAATTATTATAACAACAGGTATGTCAACGCTAAACTGGTCATTACTTCTTATCAGGTAAATATACTGTAACATCAGCTACTACAAGCGAGTCTAGTAATTCCGCGCGTCCGGTAATTCTGCGCAGCTGCAATAGCGTACTTCCGTATCGAAGGTAAACATCGTCTGCTACCACATTTACGCTTGAAATCGGGACATTTCTACATGAGGCTGGCTTTTAATCACCAAAAGTATGTAAATAACAGTAATTGACAGATAAATTGACAATTTTATGAAAATTCGTTTTCTTCAGACTTTTAGACCTTTTTCTTCATTATTCATAATTGGAGAGACTGGGCAAGCTTGTGGCCGCCCGGAGATTTGTACGAGGCAATGCTTACCTCTGTTCTTGATTGATGCCACGGAAACAACAATAGCTTCGAATATGGGACTCGCCCCTCGCAGAACCAAGTCATCTACAAAGCAAAATATGTTCAAAATGACGAAACTGTATTGATTCACAGCTGGACATTGGAAAACAATGAAACAAAAACCTGTCAACAGAGAATTCATTAGCATGTTGAATTCAGACCACAGGCACCACAAACGTGACTGTTACAGCATTCATCCCTTAACTACCGGTCTACCTATTGCGTCCCTGACCCTTCCATAGTCATTTGTGATATCCTGCATCACCGTGACATCCCCGCCCATGGCCACCAAGCCGATGTTCTCCTCCAGACCCTGCTGTTCAGCCATTGTCTCTATGCCTGCAACACAGAGTAAGTCAGATGAGAATCTGTATAGCAAAACATCCCTTTTGTCACAATCAGGTCCTGTTTGATTTGTCTGTTAGTCATAATGAATATCAGTCAGTCTATTACTCGCAACGAGATCCCCTTTGTTATAACACTGCATTTAGTAGTCAGAATGAGGTTTCTGTTTGGTATGACATTGAACCTAGCAGTCACAATGAGATTTCTGTTTGTCATAACATTGCATCTAGTAGTCAGAATGAGATTTCTGTTGTTATAACATTGCACCTAGTAGTGAGAATGAGATTTATGTTTGTTATAACTTTGTACCTAGTAGTCAGAATGAGATTTCTGTTGTTATAACATTGCACCTTGTAGTCACAGTGAGATTTGTTTGTTATAACTTTGCACCTAGTAGTGAGAATGAGATTTCTGTTGTTAGAACATTGCACCTAGTAGTCACAGTGAGATTTCTGTTTGCTATAACTTTGCACCTAGTAGTGAGAATGAGATTTCTGTTGTTATAACATTGCACCTAGTGGTCACAGTGAAATTTCTGTTTGTTTTAACTTTGCACCTAGTAGTGAGAATGAGATTTCTGTTGCTATAATAGCATTGCACCTAGTAGTCAAAATGAGATTTCTGTTTGTTATAACATTGCACATAGTAGTCAGAATGAGGCTTCTGATTGTTTCTGTTCTGGTCAGAACATCATGAAAGCTATTAGTCAGAATTAAGTCCTGCTTGGTGTATTCAATCTGTAAGTAACTTTGAGGTCGAATCTAGTAGAACAATCAATCTAATCAAGATAGTGTGAGGAGTTGGTGTCTGTTAAATACCTTTAGATGCACGTACATACTATTGTGCAATTTATGACATAGATGCTGTAGAATTGAAGTGTGTCCGTACCATCGATAAACCTGTTGACCGTCTGCTTCATTTCTCTCAGGCCTTTTTCTCCAATACTTTCGGAAACATCGACACACAGCACGGTGACGGCTGAATTAGTTCTTGGAGGTGTGGGATGGGCTTTGAGTAAAATGAATAAAGTGTTACAAATGTTCGTCGATCAAGGGAACCACGCCATAGATGATATAAACGCAATTAACCATATCCTACTCTGATAAATAGGATGAAAACGTCAATGATACCGCTATGTTAACTTGCGTGATATCCAAATACTGCAAATATATATACTATGAAATGACACAATAATAAGGAGCGCAAATCGCAATATATTATTTTAGACACAACAAAGGAGATCATGAATATATACTACTCACACTTTGCTAAGGATCACAGAAATTAACAACTTTAATTAAACGTAGATTTATAATTTGAAATTGTATCCATTTAAAACTGGGAAAATAAAAATATCGTAACCCCTCTTTAGGCAAAAAGTCACTTTATTCTAACCTTATGCACTGTATACACGAGTAACCATAAAAATGGTTTTCGTGGCACCAATCAACCATTTTGCAAATCATGGAACGAGTCATTGACAAGAACACAACACCTGTCAATAGCAGGTATGGGATCCACAAGATGAAATGGCATACTGAAACCTAGGATCCATGCTTACAATAAGCTTAGATATTTAAACCAAATTAGACCCCACATCATAGATTTGATCCTTAGCAAAGGGTGAATCAGTACATATATACTCAGCAGCAAGAAAAACGTCAGTATGAATTCAAAATTAGATAGGCACTGTAATCAAATCATTACAGAAATGGACATAATAAGCAGATCAAAAACATCTTTTGTGTACAATATCCTGACACATCAATGAATGACTCAGCACAATTTCAAGTCATTACGTGAACGTTTGCAGCCCATTGAGACCCTTGACTTCAGTATCTAGTGTGACCACCACGAGCGGCAATAACTGCAGCACAGCGTGTATGCATGGAGTGCACCAATCCATTGATGAAGGCCATTGGCACCTGGAACCACACTCTGAGAAAGGCCTGGCACAATAAATCGGGTGTGTTCGGCCTTGGTATGACATTATTCAGTCTCCTCTGAATTTCATCCCAAAGATGTTCAATTGGGTTTAAATCAGGACTAAGGGCTGACCACTGCATAATGTTGACACCGTTCTGCTGAAGGAAGTCCCGTGTAGCTCTGGGGCGTGGGCCCGGGCGTTATCATACTGGAAAATGTTGTTCCAGTGACTTGCGAAATGTGGTATGACGTGGGGTCTGAGAGCTTGGTCGATGTAGCGCACCGCTGTGATGCCGCCTCCTCTCCCTGGACCAAGGTTCTGTAACACCACAGGGCCCACTCTCTGGTTCAGGCCTATTCCACCCCATACCATGATGCTTGCACCTCCCCATGAGACTCAGTTGATACGCAGTACCGACTCTCATCCGTGAACAGAACAGTTCTCCACTGCCTGTATCACCAGTTTTGGTGTTGTAGGGCAAACTTTAGACGTTCACGCCGATGACGAGGGGTGAGGATAGGTCCACGGTAAGGTCCACGGCAATGGAGGCTCCAGCTGTTAAGACGTCGGCGTACTGTATCAGTACTGACTGGTCTTCCGTGTGTTCCCACTGTCTGGCATGCTGTTTCGGATGCCTGCATGAAGGGATTCTGTACATGCTGTCGCACAACATGGCGGTCTTGTCGTCTTGTGGTCACCCTTGGTCTGCCAGTACGGGAGGCGATCATTTGAGGTGTCGGTGGCCCGGAAACGTTGCTGCAGCCTGTAGATGGTCCGAACGGTGACCTGGAAGTGATTGGCAACGGCTTGTGCAGTGTGGCCAGCTTCAAGTCTTCCTAGCGCCTGGTTCCTCTGAGCTGTCGTGAGTCGCGGCATCCTGCTGGCGTTGTAATGTTCAACCAGGTTTTGGGGTGCATTTTATAGGGCTGGTCTTGTGAACAGCACGTGCAGCATGGAGAACACCGTACCATCTCCGAGATCATGTTGCGTTTCTGAGACCATTTCCTGGGTTCCATTCTGAGTTTGGGAAGGAATGTCTTTGCTCAGGTAAAGTTGAAGATGTTGTCAAAAATATACAATCAAAACATTAAATGAGTTTACAGTTATCCGTTTCTGCGAAGGAAAATTCCAAACTGACGTTTCTTTTGCTGCTTAGTATATATATATCTACAACCACACAAATATATATGAATGAAGAAATGCATACCAGCTTCCAGGGCCAGTGCAGTTGCCTCTGTCAACCTTTTCCATCCGTCGAGATTTATGGTCAGAGCTGTTAGCAGTTGTTGGGCTTCATAATAGTTCTCTAAACAATAAGAACCTCACACATGCTTAAAAGGTGAACATTAACTCCTCAGAGGTATTCTTCAAACAACTGTATCATTGTGTCCAGATGTGTAAAATATCATATATTATTATATAAATTATACAAGTCCATGTAAACAGTCATTAATGTACTTTACTGAAACCGGGCACAGGTTACACTGTAACGCAGTAAAATAAAACTATGAGAGAATGTGACGTTCTTACTGCTTATTATTTCGCTTGGTGACATTTGCTGGATATTCTCCGAACTGAAACAACAAGGTTTGACAATCAATACAATTTCCCTCAGTGCGGCACCTAATGTCTAGCAAACACTAGCTGTATCTAAGTATGTCATACAGCTGTATCTAAGTATGTCATACAGAGAGCCGGAAGGTCAACGTTAATCCCAGGAAAATCCCAGCCAGGAAAATCCCAGTTATAAAATACATGATCAAGGAAGTTATCTTGCATGAAAATAGTTGATGTTTATACACTATTTACATTAATGAAAGGCAATAATCAATATTCGGTTAATTAGGGCTCCTTGCCTCTGGGCAGGAGACCTATTGTAATCGTTCGGATTATTATTATTATTTATTATTCCGCCGATTTTTGTACCAAACATAACTCCTAAGCCAATGCTCCGAATCACTTACAAAAAATCACACAGATGCGCACCGAGGTGTAGATATTCCCCCTTAAAAATCTCTAGGCTCTTGGCCCAATAGCAAAAGGGTGATAATTCAAAATTAATTCCAAACTTTTAACGTTTGACAGCAAATATTTCAAGAACTAATTGTTCCAACACTTCCAAATTTCTTGCACAGATGCACAATCGAATACCCAACAATTTTGCCTGGACAGGTCAAGTCGCTAAAACGTACCGTTTGGCAGTTATTTTTGTTTTCAGTTTTTCTGAGTAGTTTGCTCCCAAAATGTGCAAATTCTGCCATTCTGCCAGTATGGTAGATGATGTCCTGGTGATTCCAGAACACTAATTGTTTTGAACGTAGACCCAAGAACAACTGAGATACAGCCTTTTAAAGAGGGAACTATTTCTTCTCCGGAACTTCTTAAAAAAGTACATGACCCCCGTGACCCCGGCTGTATTTGGAAGATCCGCTCACCTGTTGAAACATGTGTTCTGGCTCCGTTTTGGACGATGATATCTAGCCCTCAGATACAATAGATAGAAAGTAAAGCCAAGGAGACCTCATCGTTGCCCGCAACTATATTTCACATTATGATCAGATGGTATATTTTGTGAGTTTATCAAAAGTACATGTAAATACTTTGAAACATTTGCGAGAAAGCAGTATCCGGCGGAGAGCATATGTTAACATCTAGGTTTCTCATGACGTACTAAATACCTCAGCCATGATGTATGTGTCTCCAATGTATCATCAAGGCCTGTCGTTGGTACAATGTTTTGATCCACGTCACGAGAACCAGGCATTTCTTCTAACCCGTTGTCGTTACCTCCCTCAGCTCTGTTGTCTCGATAGCTGCGGATATAAATCAGATATTCAAATCATTCACTTTTGTTGAACGAGAATTTGTGAAGTTTAACCCATTAATGGTAAACCTGCTTCAAGGAACAGGTTCTGATGTAATAGCAATCATCTGAACACATCACATTTTTTCTATTAAACATCTCATACTGTTCGTCATTTTTATACCTACCTATCTGTAGTTTCAGGAACTGGTGACTCCCGCTGATCGTTAACACTGGTGCCCCCGGACCTGGCAGGGTCTCCCTTCGGTGGTGCTCCTGCATCTGTTTCAGGAACGTGTCCTTGGACATTAGAAACCCCTTCAGTGGACACCGGTGTTGCGTCACGTTTATCGGCTTCAAGGACGTGTCCATGTACACTGGCAACCCCTTCAGTGGACAACGGTGTTGCGTCACGTTCATCGGCTTCAAGGACGTGTCCATGTACACTGGCAACCCCTTCAGTGGACACTTGTATTGCGTCACGTTCATCGGCTTCAAGGACGTGTCCATGTACACTGGCAACCCCTTCAGTGGACACTTGTATTGCGTCACGTTCATCTGGTTCTGAACGTACAGCCAGTGCAATGTTCCGGACCTCTCCTTCCATATAAGTTTGATTTGTCTGAATCAGAGTGCGGACAAGGTTTTCCATGTTTCTAAGTTCGCAAGACATTCGTTCTTGAAGTCGGTCTTCAATCCTTTGTAGCTCTAGCTGTGTGTCTGTGGAAATAGATGCATGTTTTGAGACAAGAATGGGAAACATTCCGTTACGGGTGACTGAAAGCAGAACATGAAACTATAGATTATGTACCTGATGACAATTATTTACATTACACTGAGAGCGTGCAACCGGACATACCTGATAACGTTGACGTTCTGCCGCCGTTGTCATAGCCGCTCTTTTCTTCAAGCCTGAATCATGGACAGGGATGTGATTAACAGTAACTATAACTGTTTGAAACATTATCATGCTTGTCTCATATTTTGATTTGAATATACACACGAAGCAGTTGAGTTCTGACGCCCCATAGGTAAAAACAGATAACTCATTTAATCAATATGTTTACTGTTTTGAGCGCTATTGTGAATTTGACCATAACATTACATTTCATTGTTAGTCTGTTTTCATATGCCGATTAAGACAACATACAATTCTAGCGACACAGCATAGTTCCTGTGTGTGGAGGGTGTATTGATGAGATGTTGAAAGGACGCCAATATGTTTCGCTTGAATCCATCCATCTTTTCCTCAGAATACTGTCTGTGTTGACATGCGAATATCAAACCTCTTTCAATATGAGTCAGTTCAGTGTCATGTTCCTTCCACAACCTATCTGTAAAATGATGCAGGTGGGTAAAGGTGTCACTCCCTAAAAGTCGAAAAACATCACTTTCATCGGTTTGTTGAGTGTCCGGTGCACAGACATGAAGCTTCCATCGTGTAGTATGTGTGACAGAACGGTTCTTGCTCCCGCCATCCGCCCAGTCACAGCGGATAAAGGCCACGGCGGGGCATCTCTCTAAAACAAGGAATGCTGTATAAGCAGCTGTACGATACTTTGTATCTATTGCATATGTTTTGTTTGATTCAACATGAATGTGCCAAGCTCATTTCTGGTGCCCCCCGACGTGATATTGCTGGAATTGCTAAAAGCGGCTTAAAACCAAACTCACTCACTTCAGCATCCACATCCAGTAACGACTTTGGAGTATATTTGTTGTTCTTGACATATACTGATTCCATAGTGAATATAAACGTCTTTTATAAACTAACTGAAATACTATTTAAGTTATTGTATGTTGGTGTTGGTCACAGTGTTATATTTATTCTATTCATGAGGGTCGGGAGTTGTCTCCTGACATGCCCTTCCCCCACTTCCTGTCGTGAGAAAAAAGTCTACCTATCCAGCCCACCATTACCTGAACGGTTATGCCCATCTTCCAGGAACTTCCATAAGTGCCTGGTTATAGTTATGTCACAGCACCCCTCCATGTGTACAGATGGGGATCCAGAGGAACCTGACATTAATTCCGGAGTTCCCTCTTCAGTCGTTACACATCATCCCCGCACTGTGTCATGTGTGCGACTTTTAGGTCTAAATGAAAAACACTTTCTTTGATAGAGTAAATCACCTGAATCACTTGAATCATTTCCAGAGAAAAAATCCCTTAATACTGACATACCTAAAATATATCAACAGTACAAGATCATGCATTAACATAAGTTACATTTGAAATAATTCTTTATATAAGTTATGCCAGAACGCATGTACTATCAAGTATTATGTTGTTTGGTATTAGTTGGTGGTTTGTAGACAGCCCAAAGATGCTGTCGGTGTATATATTCTGCTGCTCAATGAAACCTGTCCACCCGACTCCCATCTGGAATGTGTTCAGTACGTGAACCAACTCCGTGCATTAACACCCACGGGATATATATTACATCAGAGCACTTACTGAAATGGTGGAGAGCTAGCCGAACAGTCAACACTGAAGTATCACATCAACGCTCAAATATCAACTTTGAAACTGTTATTCTAGTTATCAGTTCAGTCATGTTGGGAACTGATAACCCAACACCTCCAGCACACATGCATGGCTGCTGTTACAGCGATAGTTTTTAACTGTACATACAACTACATACACAGACCGACCTTCAATGCAGATAGCACGCATCATAAACCAGTACGTTATATGTCCACATGAATAGTGTCCGACATGATTACATCCCATACCACCATACATCAGGGGCGGACCCAGTTGTTGTTGTTGTTGGTGGTGATGATGATGATGATGATGTGTCTGTGCATGCACCAACCCCCCGCCCCCTTCTTCCCGAAAACATTTCCCTGAGGACCATTTCCTCCTAACCTTTCTACTTCATGATTGATGTGCAACCCCCATGTCCAAAATCCTGGATCTGTCCCTGTATATAAGACTAAATGTCATTTGTACTGGGCTTCTCTGTAAAATGCATAGTACTAAGTTCCCTATCAAAGAAAATACAAATCTTTGTAACTAATTGTACATTGGCTTCAGAAACAAGACTTTGCATGTAGAAAGCTGACTAATATATTTCTTCATGTCCCAAAAGACAATGAGTCAGAGATCAAGGCACTATTAATTTCTCTTAAGCACGTTTCAATTTGACTTACCTGGAAAAGTCGAAACGTATGTATGGATGAAGGGACGCAACTCTCCCAATATTACACAAATGTACGAGAGGACTCAGCTATCACTGCTCATGTGCTCCCATTGTGGTGTATTACAGCACGTATTGTGTCTCTCGCTGTCGATAGGTCAGCTCGACTCTTTTCACCGATCTGTTCACGAAACGATATCAGTGACACTTCGACGTATTTTGGAGAAAGAAATAGGTCAAAGCATACCGTGCGTTGTTGATTTCTCGATCACGTGTTTCTGGCACTTCGCCAACTCACTCTCAAGGGACAGATATTTATAGGTGGGGATTTCCCGTTAGTGGTGGATGATATCCTCCTGATTGCTACATTACTTCGCTGTAGGAATTACAACCTTCACCTTAAAAACTGTGAGTAGATATTGCTTTTAAACCTCTACTTGGAATAATACGAATAATATGAAACTATTACAAAGTGTGTTCGGACATGATAGGGCCAGAGTCATATCCTACTTGTAATAGCACAATGGTCCTATTCACAATATTCAAAGTATAAAGAAGGTTCATGACCTACAGATGGCCATGACCAATTCGTAAATGAAACTATAGGAAATTATCCACGAAGAAATGTATTAATACCACTTACCCAGGACGTGATTTGTAGAAAGACGTATCTATGACGGTCTTGTGTGTGCTTGGCTAGTGCAAGGGAGGTAACCGACTCTTTATTCGTCAACAAGTATGCGTATATCACTGTCGAGATTCGTAGCCATTGCGAAAACATTCATTTTGTTATTCTGAATATCTAGTCTCACTATGTAATACGTTCCACAGAGAGGCCAAACTATAACTATCATATATTTATCAATGACTGGAGACATTTTGCATGCGCCATACAGGCAACACAGATACGTCCCCATCACATGGAGTGTTATAACTAGATCCGTATCACACCTCATTCCGGTAAAACATAACGTATCAACGGATTTTAAATGGTGATGCATATCATGCAAGCTGGAAAGAAACTGGAATAACATGCCTTGCTTTTGAAAGAGGTGAAAGTGCATTACATTGACATGTAGGTGATTGTGCATAGCATTGACATGAAGGTGAAAGTGCATAACATTGACATGAAGGTGAAAGTGCATTACCGTGACATGTAGGTGAAGTGCGTTACATTGACATGAAGGTGAAAGTGCATATCACTGACATATAGGTGAAAGTGCATTACATTGACATGTCGGTGAAAGTGCATTACATTGACATGTCGGTGAAAGTGCATTACATTGACATGTCGGTGAAAGTGCATTACATTCTGATGCTATGGTATGTGATAGGGTTATGTCAGTTTATATATCATACTCCATGCGATCCTTTGGCCCATGTGGTTATTAAAGGGGTCTGGGGTTGAGTTGAGGCATGATATGAAGGAACTGAGACAATATTCACACATTTGCTTTCTTGTCATCCGGTGTCCTGTGACAGCCGTAAACATAGCCATAAATATGTTCATAGAGGATTCAGCGTGATATAATCTTGATACGGCACCAAGGAATATGCAGATACACGTACTCAACTACGGAAAGATGAAGAACAGTCTGTACAAAATACTGACCACATTGTATATTCAAATCAATTACAGGAAAAAGACCTACAGTGACCACAGCGGAGAAAATGTCTCTAGAAAATGCTTCTGGGCACCTTCATAGTCATGGCAGTCTGGTCGCAGAAGAGGTACATTTCAGAAAGGTGGAAGGGAACAGACTTGTGAAACTTGGGCAGTGCTGTACCATAGTGGACATCCATGTACTAGACGTGGGTCTACAAGGTGAACCAAATGTAGAGTTTCTATTAATCGCTCATACACGTTACAAGTTTTTTTTTAAAACATTTATCTTCTAAAAAGTAGGCAAGCATGACAGGAATTCCTTTGCATTTTTTAATGATTTATGACAGGTGTATATACAATTTTCATTTATTCCTTTCAGATCACGAACAAAAGCAAAGGCTCCTCACATTCGTCTGGAATGATCTTAATCTGTCAGCAACACTAAAATTTACCAAGCTACAATTTAGCATAACATATTTGCCCCCTTCGTTCCAAAACTCAATGTGTTCAGGTCTTGAAGAGGACAATTTCAACCACTGCAGAAAGTTTGTTGCAAATGTGTATAAGGAATACAAGGCAATGGTAGTTGCCGTCACTCCAAAGTCCACTCTTTTTGAGGTGGTTCATCAGGATGAATGTTCACTGCAAAGTATGATAGAAGGGAGGACTAATCTAGAGAAAATGTTCAAAGACTTGGTATTTGACTGTACAAAAACTGTACCAGAAGTGTCACTGGATATCTTTGAAACTGGTGATGTGGAGCACCTGAGATACAACATGGACGAGGCAACTCAAAGGGACCTTGAAAAGCATTGGTCATCTGCTGCGGAACAAAGCCGGCAGGAATTATGAAATATTATATCAATATGAAACGTCTTGTCCTGTTCCACACAATATTAATACTAGCATTGACATACTATGCTGCTCACAATAAGTTAAAGCACACCTGAATCTTCCATATTAGTTTAATTGTTACCATGGTAATAATGTGGAAATGAGTGGTTAAACCTTTCTTGAGGAATGGTTATTACATTTTTATATAGGTACAGGGTCTTTCCATCACCTTTTATGTGGAGATTATTGTTGAGATATGTTTTAGAAATGACAGGTATGAATATAAATTTCAGATCTCTTGCCTCTTCAAGTATGAGGTCCACTTTCATGACAAGGGGGTCGTCGCAGGAGAATCGAAGAAATACTGGTATGTTTGTAGTAGATTATGTGATGTAAGTTTCAGCCTTATACCATTCAAATGAGGATGGACATATCTTACATGAAATAAAAGTAAAGCATGTGAATATCCAAAGGTAATTATTTACGTGATGTTGAATCCGCAGATCAGAGTGAACTTAATGAGATCCTAAGCATGCTGGCTGGCATTGAGGAAGATCTGAAGATGCGAACAGAATCCATGAAGAGATCTCCATCCTCACCCAACACCATACCAGACCGTGGTCTGCCTATCGATTCACAAATGAAACAGCTTCGGCTTGCAGTATCTAACACAAATCCATCTCCACTCCCAAACTTGCAACAAGGAGGGGCAAGAATACCAGTCAGTAAAGCAGATCTGGCTGAAAGGTGAGTGGTGTCCGTTCGGTACTTCAGAAAGTTCTATGTATATGTTTACTTAAATAATGACTATTTTCTCATGTTAATCAGTCTCAAGGGTGAAGCCGCGGTTGGTGAATATGCAAATGTTTTACCAAAACTGGAACTCAAACAACCTTCCTCGGATCAAGCGGATGCAGATCACAAGAAACTACCATCACCATCATTCCAATCCCAAGAGACGTAAGTATCTTCTACATTTGTTGGTTTTCATGTTTCTTTTTTAATGTATTTAATGTACTTGTTCACAGCCCGAAATGATACTGATCTCAAATCCAATGTTACTGACGATGAGATCCATTTTCCTCGAATAAATAATATGGTTGACAGATCACACTAAATTTTATGTATATTGTTTTGCCTCAGATCCTCCCAGGGCACTGCGTTTTCGCCAGATCGGACGACAGTTAAAATGAAAGAAGGTACATATGTTGTAAACGGTTATGGATGTGATTTTTATCTTTAATAACATCTTTTACACCAAAAGGGGACTTTCAGAGCACTGATATTGTTAAGTTGTTTCGTTGAACAGGCAACGTATCTGAAGGTATGATGGCATTGATGAGACATGCTCGAGGTGGTGGTGCTGAAGAAGATCTACAGATACTCAGACTGACTGAAGCTGTCGAAAGAGCAAAGATGGATGGTGTGTATTTTTGCCACGAAGACTTATCTCTACATCTTCATATGTACAGATTCAGATCATGTTAGATTCAATAAGAACAATGGCGGATAGTTCCGACGTGTTCGTTTGTCGTAAGTCATGTGACTCTTTAGGCTCAAAAGTTGTTCCGATGACGAGTAAAATATTCGCGACAATAGTAAAGCTTTCAAAAAGTATTACCAACATGTATTGTTAACATTTGTGACAGGACATGATTCACATCAGTTGGATAGGCGGGTTTGTAACCTATAAATGACATATCCATATCTTTACACCCATTCGCTATTTTTACATTATGTCAGAAGTGCCAGTTCCACCACGAGCTGATTCGCTGGATACAATATTATGTCTGGATGCATCAGAGAGCATGATGGAGAAAATAGAAGACGTGAAAAGGATTGCCCACTCATTTGTAGATGGTGAGAACGTGAAGTGTATTGAATGAAGTTGCAATGTTTGAACTATTTTCATGAATTATAATCTTCCTCAGTGTTCAGAAATCCCTAGCTGAAGGAAATATTAGACCCTCATGCATGGGTGTAGTGCTGTCAAACCCCGAAATATGTTAGAGGCTATTGGGTTTTCGAACCAACGATCATAGTTTCCTTGCGTGCCCTGGGGACACAACTCTGCATACGGCGCCTTAGTCGACTGGATCATCCTTTCTAACAGTTTCCAAATATATCCAGAATTTTTAACAGCAACACAGAATTTCTTCATTTACTCAGTTAGAAAACTTGGTGAAAGTAGTGAACATTTTCAGGCTTAGAAGACATAGCAGAGCAATATGGTCTTGAAGAAAATGTCGCCGTGGTCAAGATAGCTGGCGAGGCTAGTGTTATCCAGCATCTTACAAATGACTTTACAAGAGTCCGAGATGCTATAGGTAAGTTGAAAACAATAAGGGTGACGATGAATGCCATTTACAAGGGATGGCTCAAATGTTCTGAGTCTTAGTACGAAGCATGTGTGGTACACTCTTAACATACACCCTTGAAATACCATATGCTTGCTTGCTGACTCCCGTACACACCCAAGGAACATATTTCTGCAGGTATCGAAGTGACCAGGTCTTCTCTGTTAATGAAAACAAAAAATGGTTGACGGGCTATCATATCGAAGTATATTCAACTGAACTTGGTCTTTATTATGGACACCATGTCACTGTTAAGGGGCAGAGACCGGAGTTCAAGCGGGAAGAGAGAGGCTCGAAGATGATCCAAGATCAGGAAATAATTTAACAGCCATCACTAAAGAAATTGATGATAAAGTATAACGACGACCCATATCGCGAGAAATTCGAAATTGTCAGCGCAGTAGGTACCTGTGATGAAATATTGAGAACATGAATTTCTGAGGAATGCTGTGGGCATGACAGACGTTTCAGCTCGCTGGAAGCCACTGTTGTTGGATCCTGACTGTCGTAGAACTTATCAGTGATAAAGGTATCCACTCTGGTTGTGCTCGCCGTCTTATAACACAGATGAGACGAAGGTTCAGCCATGTCAGCCGGAGACAACCCAACAATCAAAGCAATGAATAAATGTCCATTGAAGAAGGCAGAGTCTGTACCCTCAGCTGGCAAAGGAATTCTACTACTGGACAATCTCCGAGAGATCAAATCTTCTTTATCCAAAATTATGCATATGCAATTGCGTGAGAATATCAAGGATATGAAGTCAGGAAAACACACACTAAACGTGTATTTCTTCACTTTGGCAATGCAAGTGCCTTATTTTGCCATTGCAGAATGCATGAACGTATTAAACATCCGCCTATTCTCCAAGTTCATCACTGATGCTGGTGATGCCGTCATGACTGCTGTGGTTGACCTTTCAGGCCTCTAAATACCTTTTGCACAAGTGGGAATCAGACACAAGAGCATCTCCCACAGGAGTGCGTAGACGTTTTAGGGGTTTATGTTGAAAAAATGAAGTGTACTATACCGAAGTAAGGATGAAACCTTCGCAGCAAAATCTCTTTTTAATTTACATTTAGACATTTCCCTTCGACCATTCAAACTTGTCTTACACGTCGTTGTGTGACATGCTTAGTTATATTAGCAAGCAAATGTATTACACAATACAGTAAATTGTTTAATGCCTTGTTGAAATTGATCTGACTAACAATCTAACTTATCATTCACTTTTATTTACAGATTCACTGCAACCTTTTGGAAGATCACCCTTCTTTGAAGCTCTTATGGTTTGCCTGGCTTCATTGCAGGGGAAAGGTGAGAACCACAGCTCCTCTACAATACATGTAATGCATTGCACTGTACGCACATACACACTGTGTCAGCAGTGTCATTCAGAGTACTTCAGTTAAACAAGGACCTGTCATTGGTATGTCATTTCAGGGCGAATCGTAAACGTAGCTGGATGTCACAAGATTCGACCAAGGGTGCTGTTTATCACAGATGGCAGACCAACCAATGAAGCTCAGTGGTCAGGACCAGACAATGATCCGGGGAGTATGTCGGTAAGCGTCATCTAATTCAATTGTCATTTTGGACAATTACTGATGAATTAGTAATTACTAATGCAGTTGGTAGTTAATATTATAACGTTCTGTAATCCTTTTATATGAGGGTTGGTTGCGAACGTCAGACGTACTGACACAATGTAAAAAATGCTTACTCGCTCTTTACGTCTCATAGCATAAACTGCCTATTATTCGACTGGTCACTGACTTTGGGTCCAAGAAATCCAGCAAAACACCCAACCCGATAATATGGATTCCAGTCGGAGATGATGCTGATAAGGTACGTGTATACCTTGTTCTTCTTTATTATTTATGAAACAACGTTGTAGCATTTGTTTCATTCATGACATCATTGTTATATGTATTACATTTATGAGGTATCATTGTAGTACTTATTGCATATATGACATATTATTCTTGCATTTGCTGCATTCTTGGCATATTATTCTTGCATTTGTTGTTCGAATGGATAGCGTTACAGAAACATAGTGTTGTAATATGTTTAAAGGGGATGCCATTTCCCTTTTGGCGAACACCTGGTGCCACCACTTGTAAGTGATCCATTACTTCACATGTACGTTCCCTTTACACCAAGTGGAATTTGTTTCTGAGGATAGTCTAGACAGGGATTTCCTTTAGCACTGACGTCTTATGTTAAATTTTAGGACTTCTTGAAATCACTTGCAACATTGGGAAATGGATTTCTCGCAGATGAAAAGGACATTCCAAGGCTATGTCGCTACTACAGAATACAGGTAAAATTTATACAGGTGTTACACATGTAAGGTACAAGCAGCCAGTGTAAACCTTAACTTGCATGGTCTCTCCCGCATAAATCATTGCACTTAACAAAAACATTTGATCTGCACGGTAACAGTTTATGTACAGATGATCAAAGTTAACTAAGTTGTTGTATTTATATAATAATACCGCATGTGTTGATATTGAGGAAACCTTGTCACGGAGACCTGAGTAGGCTGACGTCTTGTTCCAGGAGGGCATTGGCAAGGTGGCCAGCTGCGTTCTGCGGGACAAAGAATACTACGAGAACATATCAGGAGCTGTTGAAGCTGTGGCTGAAGGCCTCCTACCGAATCTATTGCCGGAGGATAAGGTAAAAGCAGTTATCCATAATTAGGCCATAATGTGTAGAATTATAATATCTACTTTCCTTTGTGTGGCCTATCAAAATAATCCAGTCGATAAGTGTCCAGACAACTGTGGTGGGGCCTGACTCATCACCATCTGTAAAGTCACTATCTATTTTATTTACATTACATATATATTGCAGACCAATGTATGGCACATGCCCTTTATAGGATAATGGTAAGAAATCGATACCTGTTTGGGATATTAAGATGGTTTTGCCATTGTATAGACCGTCATACGATACGTACCCAGACTGTGGTGTAATTGAATAATATTTCATAATTCTACATTATATCCATCTGCACAAAATGTGAAATCTTCGTTTAACTGATTCTGTGCATTTTGCAGAGGGAAATTGTAGCCGATGTCAACGTGAAGATGAAAACCCACAAGACCGAAGGAAAACCTGATGATTTTGAAGACATTCACGAAGATATCAAAATGTTTCCCCCTCTCGGATCAAGAGTTATGCGAGGTCCGGAATGGATGTGGAAAAACCAGGACACGGAAGGTCCCGGCACTATCATAAACCATAACCGTCTTGATAGTAAGTAGTCATTTGTCTCGATTACTTCTAAATTGCAAACAATAAATGTTCGAAAGTGTCAGTTTTGTCAACCCTCCTTGACATATGACTTTGTTTTTGTCTGGAAGAATGGCTCTGGGTGAAATGGGATAACGGAGAGCAGAATGTGTACAGGTACGGAGAGGACAACAACTATGACGTCATTCTTGTTGATGGTCTACCCCGCATACCAGATTCAGATGACATTCAGATAGGGGTCCGAGTCACGAGAGGTATGAGTGAAAAGTATATATTATACTGATAATCTATAGATCTTGTTTCACGTTTCCAAATCTACGTATCCCATCAAACCTTACTTGTGCAATATTGAGTAATGGCAGTTAAGTATAAAGCTTACTCATCACAATGAGAAATGTCTACGCTTCGTGAGAAGGTAACTTTTGGAGCTGGATTGGTCTTTTAGATATTTGACAGCAAGGGATCTTATTCAAGCATTTATAGACATACATTGATAGCTTATTGTAGCATATTGACGATAACAATTTAATTCAACGAAATAGGAAATTCACCTATGTCAAATAGTTATGGCAGTAAGTATTAACCTGGAGCTACTTGAGCAGGTCCACACTGGTACACTGATGACGAGGATGGAGGAGAAGGGAGCACCGGCGTCGTCATCAGGAAGAGAGGGAAGACCGAGGTCAAGGTAACACATGACAGTCAGGTAACACCCTTTACAGGGTACAGGTGACCAATTGGTCCAAGACGCTCTTTACAGTCTCGCAGATCAAGTATATAATCCTCATCACAACATTGATGTTGCAATTTATGTAAAACATGTTTTCCATGCAAGAAATGTCACCACCACTACGTGCACTTAACTGTAGTAAGTGTATTTGCACTATAGGTCTTTAGGCCCGAAATACTGATTAAAATGAATCTGAATCTGAATCTATATAATCCTCAGCTATGATCCAGTATGTGTACTATTCAGTACCCCTGGCTTCACAGAACTGCTTCTTTCGACATTCCTTCCACATTATGAGGCCCAAAACGGACTTGACCAAATTCACCAACTTACGTGTGAAAAGGACATTTTGGCTTAATCACATTTGCTTTGTATTCGTACATATCTCACATTAAAACAAAACTTGTACAAAGGCAAAATAGCGTCAAGGCCAACACACACCTTTCTACGTTATAGGTCAGATGGGACAACGGCAACATAAGACGTTATAAACATGGCATGGACGGCGTGTTTGAACTACACATATGGTATGTTAACGTTCATTATAAGTATGTCTTTATTCTGCACTGGAAATAATTTGCAAATTGAAGTGCCCCGTTGTACTCATGAATATTGGACATTGTATATAGTTCTTCACACTCTGTAGTTTAATGGACGTGATATTACCCATGTACAATTGTGACCATGCCAAAAATCGAACGAAACAAGAACCAAATCAAAATATTAAAATATGTCATAAACCAACACTCTCGAGTATAGATGTCTATTTTAACTCTTTTCAGTGACCCTTATCAGTTCGGTCCCGAACCATCTGTACCAGAGCACTTACGTGAACCCGACCCACCAAAACCACCGACAATTGGAAGTAAGATATGACATGTATCATGCTGTTGAAGTAACCGTTTGTATGTGTTTCACTACTAGTATTAGTGAGTGAGCGAGTTTAGTTTTAAGCATCTTTTAGCAATTTTCCAGCAATAGCTCGGCGGGGAATACCAGAAAGAGGCTTCACACATTGTATTCATGTGGGGAATCGAACCCGGATCTTCGGCTTGACGAGCGAACCCTTTAACCACTAGGCTACCTATTAGTATTAGTACTAGAGTATTCGTATTGGTATTAGATACTCATGAGCAGCAGTAGTAGTGTTAGTAGCAGTGGTATAACATGTCCATGTTTGAAGATGTATATCATGGTGTGATAATGTTATTTATGCAATAAGTACAATTAATATGTCCAATAACCTCGATATATTTGACACGACTCTTGCTATTTTCAGCACTTAGACGTATGTCCAATGCCCTTGTTGTCTGGCAGTGGCAGGATGGGGCGGGTCAGTGGAGACTGTACCCCGACTCTCTACAGACTAAAATATCTCAGGCATTCGACAAACGGAAAGGTGGATCATGCTTAGTATCAAAAGATGGACTTAAGTAAGTGCGGATTAAGTGGGAAATAAGCTATGGTACTTGTATCGTAACTGTAATATTTTATATGCTACACTGACTTAACAGACGGTCACCATGCAGTTGTCAGCCTGCAACATTCATAAATGTTTAGCGGGATACAATACAACGTTTTCTCAAAATTATAAGCGAATTTATTGATTACAGCAATGCATGAACATAACCACATATCCCTTTATACAATGTTTCAGCTATAGAATATCGTTTACTAACATGAGTGAGAAATCTGTGGAAGGAGATTTACGACACAACGTACAGCGTATATGTAAGTGTAATTATATTTCGATTATTCTACATATATATAAACAGAAACAACTATTTTTACTCAAGCAACAACTAGAACAAGTGTCGACCATCTCCCTAGAGACACTTCTATCTGTGACTGTGTTCATTAAACCATTGGGAAGCTCTCTGTATAATACAATGTCCGTGTATATATACTGGTGATGTCTGTGTATATATACTGGTGATGGTCTGTGTATATATACTGGTAATGGTCTGTGTATTATACACTGGTGATGTCTGTGTATATATACTGGTGATGGTCAGTGTATATATACTGGTGATGGTCTGTGTATAATACAATGGTGATGTCTGTGTATATATACTGGTGATGGTCTGTGTATATATACTGGTGATGTCTGTGTATATATACTGGTGATGGTCTGTGTATATATACTGGTGATGTCTGTGTATATATACTGGTAATGGTCTGTGTATTATCCACTGGTGATGTCTGTGTATATATACTGGTGATGGTCTGTGTATATACACTGGTGATGTCTGTGTAAATATACTGGTGGTGCTCTGTGTGTTATATACTGGTGATGGCTGTGTATATATACTGGTGATGTCTGTGTATTATCCACTGGTGATGTCTGTGTATATATACTGGTAATCGTATGTGTATTATCCACTGGTGATGTCTGTGTATATATACTGGTAATCGTATGTGTATAATACACTGGTGATGTCTGTGTATATATACTGGTGATGTCTGTGTATAATACAATGGTGATGTCTGTGTATTATATACTGGTGATGGTCTGTGTATTATCCACTGGTGATGTCTGTGTATATATACTGGTAATGGTGTGTGTATTATCCACTGGTGATGGTCTGTGTATTATATACTGGTGATGTCTGTGTATTATCCACTGGTGATGTCTGTGTATATATACTGGTGATGGTCTGTGTATATACACTGGTGATGTCTGTGTATATATACTGGTGGTGCTCTGTGTGTTATATACTGGTGATGGCTGTGTATATATGCTGGTGATGGTGTGTGTATTATACAATGGTGATGTCTGTGTATATATACTGGTGATGGTCTGTGTATAATACAATGGTGATGTCTGTGTATATATACTGGTGATGGTCTGTGTATAATACAATGGTGATGTCTGTATATATATACTGGTGATGGTCTGTGTATAATACAATGGTGATGTCTGTGTATATATACTGGTGATGGTCTGTGCATATAATACAATGGTGATGTCTGTGTATATATCCTGGTGATGGTCTGTGTATAATACAATGGTGATGTCTGTGTATAATACACTGGTGATGCTCTGTGTATATATACTGGTGATGGTCTGTGTATTATACACTGGTGATGTCTGTGTATATATACTGGTGATGGTCTGTGTCTTAGACAATGGTGATGTCTGTGTATATATACTGGTGATGGTCTGTGTATATAATACAATGGTGATGTCTGTGTATATATACTGGTGATGGTCTGTGTATTATACAATGGTGATGTCAATATGGTCTGTGTATATATACTGGTGATGGTCTGTGTATAATACAATGGTGATGTCTGTGTATATATACTGGTGATGGTCTGTGTATTATACAATGGTGATGTCTGTGTATATATACTGGTGATGGTCTGTGTATAATACAATGGTGATGTCTGTGTATATATACTGGTGATGGTCTGTGTATAATACACTGGTGATGTCTGTGTATATATACTGGTGATGGTCTGTGTATTATACAATGGTGATGTCTGTGTATATATACTGGTGATGGTCTGTGTATAATACAATGGTGATGTCTGTGTATATATACTGGTGTGATGGTCTGTGTATAATACACTGGTGATGTCTGTGTATATATACTGGTGATGGTCTGTGTATTATACACTGGTGATGTCTGTGTATATAATACCGGTGATGTCTGTGTATATATACAATGGTGATGTCTGTGTATATATACAATGGTGATGGTCTGTGTATTATACACTGGTGATGTCTGTGTATATACTGGTGATGTCTGTGTATATACAATGGTGATGTGGTGATATACATAACTGGTGTGTGCATAATACAATGGTGATGTCTGTGTATATATACTGGTGATGGTCTGTGTATTATACAATGGTGGTGATGTCTGTGTATATATACTGGTGATGGTCTGTGTATAATACAATGGTGATGTCTGTGTATATATACTGGTGATGGTCTGTGTATTATACACTGGTGATGTCTGTGTATATATATGGTGATGGTCTGTGTATAATACAATGGTGATGTCTGTGTATATATACTGGTGATGGTCTGTGTATTATACAATGGTGATGTCTTGTATATATACTGGTGATGGTCTGTGTATAATACAATGGTGATGTCTGTGTATATACACTGGTGATGTATATATACTGGTGATGGTCTGTGTATTATACACTGGTGATGTCTGTGTATATATACTGGTGATGGTCTGTGTATATATACAATGGTGATGTCTGTGTATATATACTGGTGATGGTCTGTGTATATACACTGGTGATGTCTGTGTATATATACTGGTGATGGTCTGTGTATATATACAATGGTGATGTCTGTGTATATATACTGGTGATGGTCTGTGTATAATACAATGGTGATGTCTGTGTATATATACTGGTGATGGTCTGTGTATATATACTGGTGATGGTCTGTGTATATACACTGGTGATGTCTGTGTATATACACTGGTGGTGGTCTGTGTATTATATACTGGTGATGTCTGTGTATATATACCGGTGATGGTCTGTGTATATACACTGGTGATGTCTGTGTATATATACTGGTGGTGTTCTGTGTATTATACACTGGTGATGTCTGTGTATATATACCGGTGATGCTCTGTGTATATACACCGGTGATGTCTGTGTATATATACCAGTGAAGCTCTGTGTATAATACAATGGTGATGTCTGTGTATATATACTGGTGATGGTCTGTGTATAATACAATGGTGATGTCTGTGTATATATATACTGGTGATGTGTCTGTGTATATATATACTGGTGATGTCTGTGTATATATACCGGTGATGCTCTGTGTATATATACACTGGTGATGGTCTGTGTATATATACCGGTGATGTCTGTGTATATATACTGGTGATGGTCTGTGTATTATACAATGGTGATGTCTGTGTATATATACTGGTGATGGTCTGTGTATAATACAATGGTGATGTCTGTGTATATATACTGGTGATGGTCTGTGTATAATACACTGGTGATGTCTGTGTATATATACTGGTGATGGTCTGTGTATTATACAATGGTGATGTCTGTGTGTATATATACTGGTGATGCTCTGTGTATTATACACTGGTGATGTCTGTGTATATATACTGGTGATGCTCTGTGTATATATACCGGTGATATCTGTGTATATATACCGGTGATGTCTGTGTATAATACAATGGTGATGTCTGTGTATATATACTGGTGATGGTCTGTGTATAATACAATGGTGATGTCTGTGTATATATCCTGGTGATGGTCTGTGTATAATACAATGGTGATGTCTGTGTATAATACACTGGTGATGCTCTGTGTATATATACTGGTGATGGTCTGTGTATTATACACTGGTGATGTCTGTATATGTCTGTGTATATATACTGGTGATGGTCTGTGTATATATACAATGGTGATGTCTGTATAGTATATACTGGTGATGGTCTGTGTATTATACAATGGTGATGTCTGTGTATATATACTGGTGATGGTCTGTGTATATATACAATGGTGATGTCTGTGTATATATACTGGTGATGGTCTGTGTCTGTGTATATATACTGGTGATGGTCTGTGTATAATACAATGGTGATGTCTGTGTATATATACTGGTGATGGTCTGTGTATTATACAATGGTGATGTCTGTGTATATATACTGGTGATGGTCTGTGTATAATACACTGGTGATGTCTCTGTGTATATATACTGGTGATGGTCTGTGTATATACACTGGTGATGTCTGTGTATATATACTGGTGATGCTCTGTGTATTATACACTGGTGATGTCTGTGTATATATACCGGTGATGCTCTGTGACTGGTGATCCGGTGTATCTGTGTATATACTGGTGATGCTCTGTGTATAATACAATGGTGATGTCTGTGTATATATACTGGTGATGGTCTGTGTATAATACAATGGTGATGTCTGTGTATATATACTGGTGGTGCTCTGTGTATTATACACTGGTGATGTCTGTGTATATATACTGGTGATGGTCTGTGTATAATACAATGGTGATGTCTGTGTATATATACTGGTGGTGTCTGTGTATTATACACTGGTGATGTCTGTGTATATATACCGGTGATGCTCTGTGTATATACACTGGTGATGTCTGTGTATATATACCGGTGAAGCTCTGTGTATAATACAATGGTGATGTCTGTGTATATATACTGGTGATGGTCTGTGTCTTATACAATGGTGACGTCTGTGTATATATCCTGGTGATGGTCTGTGTATAATACAATGGTGATGTCTGTGTATAATACACTGGTGATGCTCTGTGTATATATACTGGTGATGTCATCGGTGTATTATACACTGGTGATGTCTGTGTATATATACTGGTGATGGTCTGTGTCTTAGACAATGGTGATGTCTGTGTATATATATATACTGGTGATGGTCTGTGTATAATACAATGGTGATGTCTGTGTATATATACTGGTGATGGTCTGTGTATTATACAATGGTGATGTCTGTGTATATATACTGGTGAAGGTCTGTGTATAATACAATGGTGATGTCTGTGTATATATGCTGGTGATGGTCTGTGTATTATACAATGGTGATGTCTGTGTATATATACTGGTGATGGTCTGTGTATAATACAATGGTGATGTCTGTGTATATATACTGGTGATGGTCTGTGTATAATACACTGGTGATGTCTGTGTATATATACTGGTGATGGTCTGTGTATTATACAATGGTGATGTCTGTGTATATATA